CAGTACAGTTGGAAGTGGCTGAGCCAATTTCAACACGGAGCAGCAGTCTCTTGCTAGGCGCATCTAGTGCGAGACAGGGCAGACTGTGCGCCCTGCAAGGGCAGAGTTTCCTGGGTCTCCCAGGGCAAGTGCTCTGCCTCATTGCCTTTCTGGAAGCAGAGAAAAAGAATGGGGCCAATTTTCTTATGAGAATTTTGCCATGGAGACTTGGATGGGAGAAAAGGAGAAAAACCCGGCCCAGAAAAAGGTTAACATAAAGACCCCCCGACTTTTTTTTTTTTTTTTTTTAGGTGAAAGCAATCAGTGTTGTTAATCTTTTTATTCTGGTGAAAAGTATGGCAGGCCAGCTGTGGGAACGAGCCAATCTGGTATATAGGAAATGAGAAAGACTCTTTCTGGAGGCTTTGGACAGCTTCATGAGAGCAGAGCTGTCCAATAGAAATATAATGCTAGCCATATATGTAATTTAAAATATTTTAGTAAGCAAATTTAAAAAGTAAAAAGAAACAGATGAATTAAAGTCATATACTTAGCTTACCTCAATGTATTCAAATATTAACATTTCAAAATGAGACGAGTCACATTTCAAATGCTCAGTAGTCACATGGGGCTAATGGCTACCACACTGGATGGCACATTTTCAGAGAACTAAACATAAAAAATATAGTTAAGGAGAAAACTTTCATGAGGATAAAACAGTCTTTTTTTCTTAAGGTTTTAGATTTTATGTATTTATTTATGTATTTATGTATGTATGTATGTATTTATAGTGCATGCGTTGGGGGAGGCGCAGAGGGAAAGGGAGAGAGAGAATATCAAGCAGACTCCATGCTGAACATGTGGAGCCCAACCTGGGGCTTCATCTCATGACCCAGAGATCACCATCCCATTGGAAGTCAAGAGTCAGATGCCTAACCTACTAAGGTGCCCCCGAACACAATGTCTTATTAAGAACTCAGCAATGTTACCTGTTTCAGTGTATTTCAACCAAACCACAGACCATTTCTAAGTCATTAAAATCTAGAATAATATTTGAGAAAGAATCCAGGACTTGGCAATGATGGGGAAATGGGTATAATAATACACATCAACACTGATATTGGTCCTAAATGAGATGATACATACGTTCTTAAAAATAGGACAGTGTGTGAATATGCCTCTATGAATAGTATTTCTTTTATTTTATCAGGATATTGGTCCTTGGCTATGTAAACACTTCAAATATCTGTAGATGATTCTTTCCTTCTGATATTTTTATGCTCTTTGCTTTTAAAGTAATTATACATTTGGAAGCACTGACCATAAACACATTCAAATTCCCAGAAATAATCAGTCTGATAAAACCTTGTGGCATTTTCTCTCACCAATCAAGAAATATCTGAGTCTGCACACGTGGAAAATCTAAAGGCTTTCTGAATGTAGCGAAAAATGGGGGTTGGGGGGGAAGAAAAATGCTGATGGTTTCTCAAGCGTTTTCTGGTCAAATATCTGATTTAAGGACACTGTATTCTGAGAGATAGAAGTACCTATAAATATATAAACATATATTTTTTTTCTGCATAATGTCTGAGATTTCTGAATTTCTTTGTAATTACATTTAGCAGGAGAAAAACATCATGCCTGTGCTGAGCAGCTCCCAGCAATCTGTCAGCTTTTCACAGCGTAGTAACCTACTGATCGCTGCCTCAGCCCTTCAATAAATACGTAGGCTGCGTGCGTGTGTGCTTAGAGAACTTCACAGGTTTCCATGGATACAGGAATTTTAGTGCTAAGGCACATTTACTATCGCTTTTCTTGTCACCGAGAGTCCTGTAAACACTTGTGTTGTAAGATTTTGTGCAGAAATTTAGCATTTTGTAGAGGACCAAGTCAGAATTACCTTTTCCCAGATGCATTGTATGATTTTTCCCTTAGGGTAAAGTCCCTGAAATCATTTATATTTGTGGCCTCTTTTTAGTGATGTGTTTCATTTATTAGACTAATAAAAGACAATAAAGGCTTAACTACATCGTCAGTATTACTTCTAAGTGGCAGGTATTTATACTATGTAAATGTTACAATTAATAAATAAGACAACTTGCTCTGAATTTAAAATGGGAAGAGGCAAATAGGGAAAGCAGACATAGGAATATTATATATATATTTAATATTAAATATATATACTATACATATAATATTAAATATATATATATATATATATATATATATATATATATATTTAGCCATTTCTCTTCCTGAATACGGTGAAATTTAAATGTCATTTCCAAGATATCCTGAAGTTGTATCTATTGACCAAGCATAATTTGAACTTATTCTCTTACTCATATTAAGCTTTTTGTATATTTTAAAGACCTTCCCACAGATCTATGAGGATGGCAAGCTATGTGTTATTTTTCCTATTTCACACAGGTATTACTGAGGCTTAGAAGGTTTAAGGAATGTGTGCTGTGTCGTGCAGCTAGCAAGTAGCAGAACTGGAATTGGAACCCAAGACTCTTGACGCACTAGTGGTCTAAGTCTTTTTTCTTGGGTGGAATACAGGCAACTTCTTCTCTAGAAAGCGCACCCATTTCCTTCCTTCTGTGTTTCTGAGTACCTCTGACCTGGGCCCCATTCAATAGCTTTTTTCTTTATCTCTATCCTCTTGGTGGCCCCAGACACTTGGTTCAGCCTAATTCACCAAGTTCAGTAATTTCAAAAGCACATGACCATTCAGAAGCAGTAATCCTAGAGAGATCACATAGCCTGAATGTGCACTGCATGAAGACTCTTTAGGCAAACAAATTTCTAGATCTGATCCTACAGACCAAGAATGTACAAAGCAGACAGAATGAGAGGCTCGAGCAATTTGTGTAAAAATCTGGTCTGAGTAGACATGAACCTGGAAATTGCAGTCAGGAAAAAGGCTTTTACTTTAATAGCATGGATTTGGGGGCACAGGGGTGGAACTATTTGAGTGACTGTCTCAACTCTCACTTGCTATTCTCATGTAGCCAGCAGACTCTGTGTCACCTCAGCAAATATCTCAGCTGAGGCCAGGAGATCTTTTTAAGATTGTTTTTTGTGCTAGGCCTCATTCACCTCAAATTTATACAGGCCTTTTGTTTTTTTGTGGTGATTTTGCATGTGGGTGTCTTTCTTGTTTTTTGTTTTTAATCTAAAAGGAAGATTTCACTTTTACCGTCTAATACAAGAGGGAGTCTGGGTAAAGGAAGAACTCTCCATTAAGAGGCCTGATCTTGGTCCAGTCCCCACAGACACTGAATGAGGAGCGTCCTGGCTCAGGCTTCAGGGGAACTGCCAGGAACTGAGTAGTTATGGGTTTGTTGTGAGGATCAGATGAGAACAAGGATATGAAAGTACTTTGCTGATTGAGTGTGTGTGTGTGTGTGTGTGTGTGTGTGTGTGTGTGTAAAATACCTACACACACAAAAAAAGTGACTTGAACACTCTGACATTACCCAATGCCAATTGGTTTTAGTCTCCATGTATTAATAAGGGAAATGATGATTCGTTATATCACCGGGCTTTTTGCTAGAATGTGGACTTTATTCATTGAACAAACATGACTAAATCATCTCCATTATAATTATTTCAACATGTTTCAACTGTTTCAACCTAATTAGGCAACAACTGAGGGTGCTATGCATGTGGTGCTTCACTTAATATAATAGCTAAAATAATGGAAAATGGTTGTTTCATTGTAATCTGTCATATGTTCTCAGTGTATACATGTGCAACCCATGAGATGCCAGGATTATGACTCTAGATTCTTATAAACTTTGGTTATAACTACCTGACGTTAATTCCTCATTCTTTCTGACTAGAAATTTGAATTCTGTGCTGCTCATCCATAGAGTACCACTGAGTGATTAACTATCACTCCAATCTGTAGAAAGGAAGAGATAACTACAACGCTCTCTCTATTTTTCCTACAAATTTCACTCAGGCATTAAATTAAATTTACCCTTAACCGAATGCATTTTATCTATACCTGGCAGGGATCTAGAAGTAAAATCATATGATTTATTTCATTTTAATTCTATTATGATGCATTTAATCACAAATACCCCCCAAACGAAATGATAATTTATCATTTTGCCCTGACTGAGCAATCCTCCTTGGTTCACGTTCATGAATCCATAATACAGAGAGGAGACTGGATGATTAAGTGTCCGATTAGAGAAAACAGATTAACCTGGCAAACATAATAAATTTAACTCATAAGCAGGATGGCTTTATAAATACTCACAATAACTCTCCTGTTGAAAATCATGAACCACTTCCTTCAGTGATGACTCAATTGAAATAGTTGGGGAACATAAAGCAAAGGCATGTTTATGGCTTTCTCTTTGAGACATTCAATGAGTATTGAAAGACATATCTGATTCAGCGTAGAACTCTAAAAATATATTAAATAGGCAACATGCAATAAAAATATAAGATCAAAACAAACCAAAAGCCAACCCGAAGCAAGTGTTCTAGTTTCCACTTTGCCAGTAATTGTAGATCCTTCATGCTTTTCATGTCTCTCTACTGTTCTGTCTCCAAAGTTGTCAAAGCCAGACCCAGTTTCAAAGCATGCAGATTCACCCTTAATTTTCATAACAGAACCTGATTCCTTTATAAAGGCAGCTGCATCTTTACATAATTCTTATCCCACTGTGACAAAACACATAAAATTAGCAATCTATTTCAGCCTCTGAATCCTTCCTTTTAGCTGAGATTCCATTTAAACCAGAGTAAAAATCTAGGTTATGACTTGTTTGAAGGAAAGGCCTGTGCAGAGCTGCAAAAAGTTCACTTAGCAGTCCAGTCCACCAGGCTTTGCGTACTTGGCTGGCTAGGCTGCCCCGGCCTCTCTAGTTTAGCAGTGAGACAAGGGACACTCTTCATCCCCAGCTTTATTTTTAAACTCACACGGCTTTATTCCTGGAAGCCTCTGCTGGCCTACCTGGCCACCCTGCTCTGTCACATGCACCCAAGTCACGCTGAAGAAGGGAAGGGCAGGACCAGGCCTTTGGTAGGGGAAGGGCCGGAGAGGTGAGAGGGGTAGTGCACGGGCCGAGAGTGTCTTTCTTTAAGGAAGGCCACATCCCAAGAGGAGCCAGGTAAATTTGCCACTGGGAGAAACTAGTACCTGGCTGTGGAGGGGTTGGCACACCCTTCCCCTCTCCTTTCTCCTTCCTTTCTGTCCTCTTTCCACTCTCAAGTTGATCTTAGGCTAGAGGGAGGTGACAGGGAAGGTTCCAAAGGGAGCGACTTGGGGGGCGGGGAGGGAGGGCGTGTGCGACCTCACAGTCCTAATTTGGGCTCCGGATCAGGCTCACAAGTACTCGTCCTGTCAAGTTGTGTGTGTGTGTGTGTGTGTGTGTGTGTGTGTGGTGGGAGACAGGGAGGTTTTCTAAGGTCATCCCCTCCCTCCAACCTTTGCGGAGCTAAATAAAGACTGAGGTGCTCTCTTGGGGCACAGGCACGGAGGGTTCTTTCCCGGGCACAGGGATGTGTGCGGCTCTAGACGGGTGTGCACGTGTGGCGGTGCGGGGCACATTCACGAGTGTCCGCGAACCTCTCCGGGCTCTGCAGGACGAGTTAACTTGGTAATTGCAGCGCCTGGCACAACCGTGGATGCCATAGAAGTTTACATAGAGCGGCCGGGGGGGCGGTGGGGTGGGGATGAGGGGCGGCGGGTGCAGTCAGCGTCAGCTTCCGCGCGGGGGCTGCGCCCTGACCCGCGTGTGTGTGCGCCCGGGGGTGCAGCCGAGCTCCGCGCCCGGGGCAGGGGCCGCAGTCCGGCCCCTCCGGGGAGGGCGGGGCCGCGGAGCATGCGCAGCAGCGTCGGGGGCGGGGCCTCGGGGCGCGGGGCGGGGCTGGGGCGGCCGCGCTGAGCGGCCCCGGCTCCACCTCCCGCGAGCGCGGATGCTGCGGGCGGTGGCGGTTAGCGGAGGCCCGTGGCTGCGACCCCAGGGCGACCCCGGGGCGACCCCGGGGCGACCCCAGGACGCCGGCAGCCGCCCCCGGTGCGCAGGCCCCGCCGCCCCGGGCTTGAGCGAGGTGTGCTGGGGGTGGGCGTGGGGGACGACCGCCAGGCTCCCGGACAGACAGCCCTGTAGGCACCACCGGTCACGTGTGGAAACTCGAGGGACCAATAGAGAGCATCCACCCCCCCTTTTTTTTTGTAAGATTTTATTTATTTATTTATTTATTTATTTATTTATTTATTTATTTATTTATTCATGGGAGACACACACACACACAGAGGCAGAGACCCAGGCAGAGGGAGAAGCAGGCTCCATGCGGGGACCCCGACGTGGGACCCGATCCTGGGTCTCCAGGGTCACACCTTGGGCTGGAGGCGGCGCTAAACCGCTGAGCTACCCGGCGATCCCCCCATCCAGGCCCTTCTTTGTTACAAATGGGGGAACTGAGTCTACAGGGAGAGACTCAGTCCCCAAGTCACAAAGCTATTAAATGGCAGAACCAGGACTAGAAAACTGGTCTTGCTTAAAAGTTTTTTTTTTTTTTTTTTTTTTAGACCCACCGTCCTCCATGAATACGGATAATAACACAAGTAATTAGTATTAGAACATATTAGATTTGGGGAACGGTGATATTGCTTTGGCATTCAGGACTATTGATATGATTTATGCGCTGGATAAACCCAGCTACTCTGTCTTCCCCTGGGCTTGGACTTCTCATTCCCTCGTTCATTAGATACTTGCTCCGCAGATATTTGTGCCAGGGGCTCTGCCAGGAGCTGAAGGTGTAGAGACAAACGAGAAGCAGCCCTCCATACCGAGCGGGAGAGATTATTCCCCGGACACCAGTAACTGACGCAGGTGTGGGAAACGCCATGGGTGCAAGATAAACACACCTTGGAAACGGCATGGCAGGCTGGCTGCAAGAAGACCTTGGGGAGGAGGGGGCCTCTGGCCTGGATCTCTAGGAGTGGGACTTTGGGGGGCACTGGGAAAGGAGCAGCCGTGTTCCAGGTAGTAGGTTCAGTGTTAGCAACGAAATTCCAGGTGAGTGTGAGGAATCACGGTTAGGTTGGTTTTCCTAGAACGTAGAGATGAGCACACGGGGGGCAAGATGGAGAAATCAGTAGTGGAAGATGGTTCATCCAGTAGGGAGGACAGTTCATCTGGTGGGGAGATGGAACCCTCAGCTGTAGGGAGGATGTGGGACCAAAAGCCTTGCAGCTCCTTGGGGGTGTGCAGTGGTCATTCTGGGGGTGTGAGGCATCATGGAGCCAGCTCAGTGCGGTAGAACCAAGGATGAAAAAATGCAGCTGAGACGAGAAAAGGTCCAAATCGAACTGGGAGACTGTTGGACTAGGGATGGTGTGTGGTTGTGTTTCAGACTTCCAACAGCATTCTTGGAAGTAGTTTGTGGAAAAAAGGGTTCTTAGGATTCCTGTAACACGGGTGGCCTCATGGACATGAGCAGCAGGTAATCAGCCTGTCCCTGTCTGTGCAGGGGGAAGTTCCATCTTTCCGTGCATGGGGAGGGACCAACAAGGAGCTCTAAACAGGGCAGCCTGTTTTGGCAGTTGAAACAGGAGATTTCTTTTACAAAGATTGTAGATTTACCTTCATGCCACTCTTTATTATAGACTAGACAATTCTGTGCACATCAAGTGTTATTTTTTCTCTTCAAGGTGACACACAGACTGTAATAGAGGCCTTTATAAATGTATGTTTCATTGGTTCTGTGTTAGCTCATGGATATGAAGCACAGAATTATTTTCTTGTTCCCAAATGAGATGGGTAGATGTGGTCCATGCAGATCAAATTACCCAATCAAGTTATAGCCATTTGCCTATGGTCTGAGTCTAGGCATCTTCTAGATGCTTCTAGCCCGACCTTGACACCTCTCCTGTATGAGAAGATCAGGGATTCCCCAAGATTCATTTCCCATTACTCTCTGGTTCTGCATAGAAATGTTTAAAAACTTTCTGTGTTGTTACATGAAATATATATTCCATGTGTTTTTGCAGCTTCTCCACTTTTTTTTTTTTTTTTTTTTTTAGATTATACCATTTCACATTTATACCGCAATGTTTGAGGGTTGGTTCCGATTTTTCACATCCTTGCTAACATTTAATATCTGCCTTTTTAATTTTAGCCATCCTAGTGGGTATGAAGTGGTATTTCACTGTGGTTTTGCTCTGCATTTCCCTCATGGCTAATAACATTGAGTAACTTTTCATGTGATTATGGATCATTTTTATATTTTCTTCAGAGAAATATTGATTCAGATCCTTTACCTATTTTTAAAAAGTTATCTTTTGACTTGTACCTGTTCTTTACTTATACAGATGCAAGTTATGAGACCTAGAGAAAACATTTGCAAATCTCCTTTCTATCCATTGTTTTTCACTTTTGACTTTGAAGAACAAAAGTTTTTAGTTTGATGAGGTACAATTTATATTTTTCTTTTGTCATCCCTTCTCTGTTGGTGTCTGGGTTTTTGAGAAAATTGTTTAGTAACAATTCCTTTGGTTCACAATGTTAATCTGTGGTATAAAGAGCATGCAGTCTGGAATAAGAAGACAGATCTGGAATTGAATTCTGTCTCTGCCACTTACTACCTTTGTGACTTTAGGTCCGACAGTTAACTCCTCAGAGCCTCAGGTTCCTCATCTGTAAAATGGTGATCCTAATAATCAGCTCACAGTTGCTAGCTGGTCCAACAGTGCGCTAGAAGGGCTGCTGCAGAAATGTCAGCAGTGGAGGCAGTACAATGTGAAGGGAGAAGCAGTTGGGATCAGAAGCCTAATCTTGGAGGTAGGCTAATCTGAGTCCAGTTGTGGGTTCTGGCTTTTTCCATTGTGTGACTTTGGGTAAGTTTCTGAACTGCTGTGAATGTCGTATGCCTCATCTTTAAAATGGGGGAAATAAAGATCTCTACTTCTTGGTATTGACTTGAGGATTACACCTAGCACACTTACTGGGAAACAGAAGGGGAGAACATTAGAGCTGAAAGGGAACTTACAAGGCCTCCTCCCCTAACTACTCTCGCCTCGCCTCCTACCACCACGCTGGAGATGTTATTTTTGTCAACCTTGAGTGTATTTCAACGTTCCCAGTGACAGACTGCGATCTGCACAAGGTGCTCTGTTCCATTGTTGGATCACTTGCAATGAAGTTTTCCTCATATACAGCTGAAATCTGTCACCATATAACGTCTATGTATTTGTCTTCTTCTAGGTCCTGTATTTTTTTAAAAAAAGCATTGATCTCTATTATTATTTTTAGGTAATTGTAGATTCACATGCAATTATAAGAAATAACACAGAGAGATCCCTTGTGCCTTTACCCAGTTTCCCCCAGTGCTAACGTCTTACAAAACTGTACTGTGATATCACAGACAGGTTATTGGCATTGACATGATTAAGATGCAGAACATTTCCATTATCTCTAGGATCTCTCATGTTGCCCTTTTATAGCTACACCCACTTCCCTTTCACCACTTTCTTAACCCCTGGCAACCACTCTTTATTCTCTATTTGTATAATTTTGTCATTTCAAGAATGTTCTATAGATAGAATCATACAGTAACTTTTTGGCATTGTCTTTTTCCACTCAGCATAATCCTCTGGAGATTCATCCAGGATGCTGCATGCATCAATAGTTTGTTCCTTTTTATTCCGTGGTACTGTTCCATAGTGTGCCTGTACCACAATTTACTTACCCACTGAAGGTCACCCTGGGCTGTTTCCAGTTTTTAGTTAATATGAATAAACTGCTCTAAACACTCATGTACAGGTTCTTGTGTACATATAAGTCTTCATTGTCTATTGTCTTCAATCCCCTGGGTAAATGTCCAGGAGTTATCAGAGAAATGGTAGTTACAAGTTTTTGGTAGTTACAATTTTTTAAAGAGTTTGCTTCAGGAGGGGCTATGCCACTTTATGTTCTCACCAGCAAATGAGTGATACAGTTCCTGTGCATTCTTGCCAGCATTTTCTGTTGTCACTATTTTTTATTTTAGTTATTGAGATAAGTGTGTAATGTTATCCCTTCATGGTTTTAATCTGCATTTCCCAAATGGCTAATGAGTTTAACATGGCTTACTTGACATCGGTGTCTCGTAGGTGAAATGTCTTTGTGTCTTTTGGTTATGTTCTAATTGTATTCTTTGCTCTTTTAATCTTGAGTTTTGAGAGTTCTTTATATGTTCTCAATACTAGTTCTTCCTCAGATGTGTGGTTTTCAAATATTTTCTCCCATTCTGTAGCTTGTCTTTTTGAACTTTTAACAGGATCTTTTGTAGTGCAAAAGTTTTAAATTTTGAGGACATCAATTTGTCAGTTTTTCTTTCTATGGATAGTACTTTCAGTATCAAGACCAAGAACTCTTTGTCTATCCTAAATCCTATGTGCTTCCCCCCCCATATTTTATAGTTTTACATTTAATTCTATGATCTGTTTTGAAATATTTTTTGTATTAGACATGAAACTTAGGTGGAGATTTGTGTTTTGTTGTATTTTTGCCTGTTGTTTTTTTGCAATGAATATTCAATTGCTCTAGCACCATTTGTTGGAAATCTTTTGTAAAATAGCATATGAACTTTGGCATGTCAAATTACCTGTTACTATTTCCTCTATCTTGAAAATGAGGGGGCTTGTGCTATAACTAAATGAGTGTTATTCAAGCTCCATTCCTAGAATTTCTGGGGCCCCAGAGAACCTTGGTAGCAACCGCAATGAGGAGCAGATGGGACTCTCATGCTCCTTCCTGACTTCATCCAGGGCAGAGCTACTTTTGTGTTTTATATTTTTGTGGGTCCATCTGATATTTGGTTTAATTCAGGGCCGTGCTGCTAAAAACAAGTTTGGAGAGCAGTGGATTAGGTAATGTCTGACGTACTTTTCTGCAATAAATTGCTGTAATTCTAAGCACTTGGTGTTAGAACTCACTTTCCCCTTACATATTAGTCTCCAATCTCCTCCCTTAGTTTCTTGAGTGGTTACTCATATGAGATGATTTCCTTGTTATCCTGCCATCCTTCATTATAAATGTGATAGGCTTCATGAAATCAATTAACTTACATTTCATAAATCAGTTTACAAACTATATGCCAGAATTGAAAGTGTGTTAAATATATTAAGATTGTGCGGTGGAATCATCTGTTCCACAGAATTATTGTGGCTGAAAGGATAAGGAGCTGAAATCACACAAAAACCATGAACCACCTTCTCAACTATTATAAACAGCCACCTCTGTTTTACCATCCACCTGTTTAGTTCTGGACAGTTCACAAAGCCTGGTCACTGCAGCTCACCCCGGTGCCCTAGTATCGGGAACTGTTTTGTACCCATACAGCCATGTAACCACATTTTTCATTTTCATACAATACTCAATAAATTGCATGAGATGTTCAACACTTTATTATTCAACAGGCTTCATGTTAGATGATTTTACCAATTGTAGGCTAATGGAGGTGTTCTGCACATTTATAAGGTAGGCTAGGCTAAGTTATGATGTTCAGTAGGTTAGATGAATTAAATGCATTTTGACCTATGATATGTTCAACTAACAATGGATTTATTGGGATATAACCCTAATGTAAATGATCTGTTTGAAGGTTTCAATGGGTGTTTTCCAAAAGCTGGCATTAGCTACTGTATATTTTTTCCTATAAAATGGAATAATAACATAATAAGCTCAAATCATTGTTTAAAAAGTTAAATAGGGTTAATTGAAATAGTGCGTTTGAAAAAAATGTTACACTACAAAGTGCGCTCTCTGTTCAAAGGGTGATTATTATTGTAAGCTTGGCTAGGTCTCTGAATTCTAGTAGGCAGCTGTGTGTGCTTGCTGAATCCTATTCATGGGAAATGTGTTTGTTTATTTCATAGTATATTATCTATTTTTCCTTTTAGTACCCATGTGGCCAAATTCTGAACTCCATCTTAAGACTCAAACATATTTGACAGAGTGGTTAGACTTAATGGTTTCCATAAAGTTGTTTTAATAGTTATTTTTCAACAGATGGACAGCTTACATTTGGCTGCATTTCTGTGACAGTGTGATGATTGAAGTTTTCAACAGATGGCACACAAATACTTGGGAAAACACCCTCCCGATATTAAGCGTTGTAAAAAAGACTTTTAGAGTGCCAAAAAAATGATAGTCTGTATTCCCAAGTCCTTAGCCTATGCTATTATGATTATAATTTAGATGGCTTGGAAATTTCCCTTTCTGGCCCTTGGATTTATCTTATAAATGAGCATACATATCTATATTAGATCTAGAAATGATGAGAAACTCTGCTGCCAATTAGAGATTCAACATGGATATAGCACTAAATCTCCTTCTGAGTATTGATGAATGTCTCTAACTTTCGCCTGCTGAGTCATTCTACTTCCGTGCCATACATACATAGGAAATGTAACCTTCCATAAAAATCAACTGTCAGAGGCTTATATGTTTTCTGAAAAGTATTGACTTAAAAGGAAAAAAAAAAAAAGCTTCACCAAACTTAGAATTTTCAGACATATTCATCAGCATGGTGAACTCCCCAACCTTCCAAGTTGTCTCACTTCTACGATGGCCACCTTACCCTGTTTCTGGAATGAGTAAGTAAGAAATCAGACAGTAAGTGAAGCAGTAGGGGAATGGTGGAAATCTGTGGGGATGTTTGTGGTTGTTACATGACAAAGAGCATTTACTGATATTTAGTGGGTAGAGACTGCAGTGCCTAGACCTGCACGGTACAGCTTGGCCCAAGAAATAAATGTCCTGTATCCTGCACTATGATTGAATCTCTGGATGGCCACTCATCTGAGCCTGGAACTTATCTATGGTTAAGTTAAATTATAGAGTAAGTTGTGCAATACAAAGTATTTCTTTGCACAAAACATTAGTGTCCACCAATGCCTTGTTCTTTGATTTTACTGTGCTGATATATGAAAGGCCAAAAGATTTCTCATCTTCTGCTTCTGAACATTGACTTTTTCCTGCTAAGTAAGTGCAAGTACGTGGACACTTTATTATATCTTTTAGTACGGTTGTGACTATATAAGACACGTATTGACACGTAAATTGACTTCCCCTTTATCTTCCAAATAGGGCACTATATTAATATTTTTGAAATTTTTGTATATAGTTAAGTTATATTATCTATTAATTTCTGGATATATTTTTTTAATTTTTAAGGATTTTATTTATTATTTGACTTCCTCTCCAGAGGGAGAGGAAGAAGCAGGCTCTCCACTGAGCAGGGAGGCCAACGTGGGGGCTCGATCCCAGGACCCTGGGATCATGACCTGAGCCAAAGGCAGATGCTTAATTGACTAAGTCACCCAGGCACCCCTGAATTTCTGAATTTAAGGAGAGAATTATAAAATGCTTATTATTGTAAAGGAGCCCTAGGTTTGATCAGAATGAGAAGCATTGCTATAGAAAATTAAGCAATTAGCAGATAAAATTCTTTCTCACATCTTTTTCACTTATGTACACATAATTCAGTGTTGGGATCATTCAAAGAAAAGGATAGTGGCATGAGTTTAATTCTTTAATAAGGAATGCATTCCTAATAAATTCTGTATCCCTATACTTGTATGGAAGTCTTAAAATCAGTTTTCTTTTGGCAAGTCATGTCACCTAGATCTTCTTTGTCTCTGTCATTGCAGATGGCGTTTAATGATTGCTTTAGTTTGAGCTATCCTGGTAACCCCCAGCAAGGGGACTTGATTGAAGTATTTCGTTCTGGCTATCAGCACTGGGCACTATACTTGGGTGATGGTTATGTTATCAACATAGCACCTCTAGGTAAGGTCTGTTTCCAGCAACATCTGAAAGCTTTTGAGTTTTCTTGTTATAAGAAGGAATCATGAATGAAATAATGAAATAAGACAAAATAGAAATAAAACATAGAAAGTAGATTAATCTATCTGAGACAGGTTTAGGGAAGGGCATGCTAAGACCAAAGGGGCATTGCATAAATCACAAAGGCCAATTAACATTAAGATTTAAAACCTCTGGATTAAAAATAAAAGAAACGCACCCAATTAAAAAGTAAATAATTCCCCTGGGGAGCATATTTGTCACAAACAAATGATAAGAATCAGTGTCTTTCACACAATTTTTTTCAATTTGTTCAACATTTATTTACAGATTACCCAGTATGTGCCAAATGCTATTCTAGATGCTGGGGATACTAAACACCAACATTCCCAAAAACAAATGGGTAAAGAATTATGAACAGTTTGTAGAAGAAGAAGAGTAGAAACCATCTTAACTTTAAAGGTAGTAATCTAGGAGTTGTATAATAAAATAACAGGTTTTATGCCTATCATTTAGCAAAGATTTAAAAATGATAACAGTCAGTGTGGATAGGGTATAATGAAATCAAAACAAGGATATTGTTGAAAGAAATGAAAGTTGAGAACATCATTCCTGAAAACAATTTAACAGTATGTATTAAGAGTCTTGAAAGAGTTCATGTGCTCTGATCCAATAGAATTGTACTTCTATTAGATTATTCTTCAGAAATATTTATAGAGATGTAGAAAAACATTCTTTATAAGAGTGCTTACTTCTGTGTCATTTATAACAGTTTAAAAAATAGACAATGGCAATAACAAATGTTGGTGAGGATTTGGAGAAAAGAGAATCCTCCTGCACTGTTGGTGGGATTGCAAACTGGTGCAGCCACTCTGCAAAGCACTTTGGAGTTTCCTCAGAAAGTTAAAGATAAAACTACCTAATTATCCAGTAATTCCTCTGCTGGATATTTACCTAAAGAAAATGAAAACACTAATTCTAAAAGGTATATGTACCCCTATGTGTATTGCAACATTATTTACAATGGCCAACATACCGAAGCAACCTAAGTGTTCATCCATAGATAAAGAAGATGTGGGATATACACAATGGAATATTACTCAGCCATAAAAAGAATGAGTTCTTGCCATTTGCAACAACATGGATGGACCTGGAGGGTATTGGGAAAGTGAAAGAAGTCACACAGAGAAAGACAATTACCATATGATTTCACTTACATGTGGAATCTAAAAAAAACAAACAACCCCCCCCAAATACCCCACCCACAATAATACAAATGAACAAATAAACAAGCCAGAAACAGACTCATAAATACAGAGAGCAGTAGGTGGTTGCTAGAGGGGAGGGATAGGGAGATGGGTGAAATATGTGAAGGGGATTAGGAGAAACAAAAAAATCAACAGTGGCTTAATGTTCAATATGGGACTAGTTAAATGAATTATGACTTTGCCACAGAATACTAGAATATTCTCTGGCAGAATTCTTTAGTTGCAAGTAACAGAAAACAAACACAAACTAGTGTAAGCAAAAAGACAGATTCATTGCTTCCCTGAGATAAACGACAAAAAGGGAAAAAATGGTACTGGCTTCGGGGATGCCTGGATATAGGGATTTGAACATGATTCTGAAGACTCACATCTGCATTTTCTTTCTATGTATTGTCTTAATTCTCCTAGACTGTTTCTCTCTAGGAAGCTGAACTGATAACTGTCAACATCCTTAGGCTCTCATTCTTACAGTCCTGTGACTGAGTAGGAGAGAGCTAATCCCTGTCTGTTGAAGTTAGAAATAGCATGGAGAACTATCCTAATTGGTTTAGTGTGGATCCCTTGCCCATCACTGGACCATTCTGGGCCCAGGAGAATGAGATACTATGATTGGCCCACACAAAATATTTTCCAGAAAGAAAGGCAATTATGGGATGGGGTGCTAGATAGGCCAAAACAACAGCTACTATAATGGCTATTGAAAATCATATTTCTGGCCATGTTTAATTGCATGATAGATAATACTGCATGATATTTATTTGAAATTTCCAGATTAAAAGTGTGGTATATAATATGATGTTTAGTTTGCAAAGAAATAATATATACACATTATTATGTGTTAGTAACACATAATAGAAGTACATCAAAATGATAATTATTTCTGGTGGGTAGATAATGGGTGATTCATATTTACATACTTACATAGTTTTTTCTGTATTTCCTAAATGTTTAGAAATAAGCACATTATTTTTTCAAGAAGTCTGGAGTATTTTTTTTTCTTCAAGATACCTTTAGAAAGAAGCTTTAATAATCCTAGTCTTACTATCTTGGAAACATCTGAGAATTTTTAATGAAGTAATTTTCGCAACATTTTGAGATATTTGCCTCCTGTTATAGAGGGTTGGAAATAGAAATGGCAAATAAAGTGACATTTACGATTCAGAGCCATTAGTTTCTGCAGAGTCTAGTGATTAACATTAAGCAAAGCTATATTTTCTCTGCAGTTTTCACATCTGGAAAATAATAAAGATTGTTTTGCTCTTTCCTCATTTTCATGTGTTAACTCCATATTAATGTGGTTCTAGTACAGAGCTTTGATCGTGTAGACCGAAATTCAGTTTCTGGTTCTATTGTTAACTATTTGCATGATATTTTGCAAGCCAGTTTACCTTTCCAAGCTGTGATTTCCTCATCTGTAAATTGATTGCATGAGACTGGTTTCTAAAACGTTTAGTAATTCTAACTAGGAGATACATACTTTAAGAACTTGTAACATATAAGGACTTCCAGTGTGTAAGATATTAACTGGAAATGCTGCTTGAATGAAAAGAAGCTTGGGAGGTAGGAAAAAAGAGGAGTAGAAAAAAAAACTTGCTTTTGGTCATTACTAAAAGGAAGAGTGTCTAAACACTGGTTACAAGGAGACTCTCCCTCTTATGATTTACTTGAACAAAGCCAACCATAGCAGTCTCAGGCAGATGGAGAGGTACCAGGGCCAGGCATTGGAGCTGGACACTGAACAATCATCTGTCCAGCCTCAGATACTGACAGTGGCAGGCCAGGAGACATAGGTCCCTGGCAGTCTAAGGCAGATCCTTGCCAATTAAGGCAGCTAAGATGGAGTGGCAGGGGTGGGGCATAGCACAGGGCCACATCTAGTAGGACGGCCTACTAGGTTAGGTTCAGTTTCAAGACTTAGTTTCTTGGCCAAAAGGAGCTGGCAAGATAATAACAGGACCCCAGCTTGATCCTAGCTGACCTGTTAGAGGACTGAGGTACCCTGCAGGTTTCAAATTGGACCCAAATTGAATCCAAGTGTAAAAGCAGAGGGAAGGATAAGGAGCACAGTTTCAACACTAGGACAAGCTTACTAATCAGAATGTACAAGTGCTGAGGTCCACAAATATTAGTTTGGAAGGGTTCAGATGCTGAAAAAGAGCCTGTTTTATAGAAAAAAAATGGACAATAATCTTTGCTATACTATGCTAGGAACATATGCCAAGATCTCTAATAATAATGCTACCTGATAGAGGTCTTATTCTTCAAGAACGGGTAGTTTTCTCACCCAATATGCTTTGTGGGCAGATACAGATTTACAAAGGGTTTCCTTATATTCTCACTCCTATAGTATTAAGTGTTATTGATAAACACAGAATGAGTTGTTCAGCCTGGCACGATTAAGTGGCTTCTAGTTTGGTGGTAAATTAACAGAGCTGGCTTCAGTGATTCCATCACTTACAAAGGTGTGGTTTTGCAGTTATATGGCATTGGGGTTCACGGGGCTGCATCACTCGATCTTGCTAACCAAAATTCTCCTTTTAGAGGATGGCATTTCTGCACCATTTACAAGCGCCAAGTCTGTCTTCAGCAAGAAGGCCCTGGTGAAGATGCAACTGCTGAAGGATGTTGTGGGAAATGATACCTACAGAATAAACAACAAATACGATGGGACATACTCCCCTCTCCCTGTGGAAGAAGTCATGCAACGGTCAGAGATGGTTATTGGACAGGAGGTGGAATATGACATTCTTGTCAACAACTGTGAGCATTTTGTGACTTTGCTTCGCTATGGAGAAGGAGTTTCAGAGCAGGTGAGTTTTCTTTAGAAGATACATAGGCAGCTTCTTCTTATTTTTTTTTTTTACTTAAAGATTTTATTTATTTATTTATGAGAGACACACATACACACATACAGAGAGAGAGAGAGAGAGAGAGAGAGAGAGAGAGAGAGAGAGAGGCAGAAGCAGGTTCCATGCAGGGAGCCCGATGCGGGACTCCATCCCGGGTCTCCAGGATTGCACCCTGGGCTGAAGGCAGTGCTAAACCGCTGAGCCACCGGGGCTGCCCATAAGCAGCTTCTTACATTGGAAAAACAGTGACTACTGACCATAAGATTCCCAGGCCACAAACAAAATGAAAAGGACAAGAAAATATGAAAACTCCAAAGGATAAAGAAAGGAATTGAGTTGTCCAAGGTCATGGAGCAAGTTACTGGCCAGATTAAAGCTAGAACGTAGTCTAGCTAGAACGTAGTCATCATAAATTTGGGTCTGGAAAAAACTTGAAGCAAAATCAAGACCATAGATAGCTTTTCTGTCAGTCCTATTGCCTGTCGTTCAGGGTTTTGTTTTGTTTTGTTTTCCCATTTTCCTTCCACATAGCGGTCTCAAATCAGTAACCTCACACACTGAAAGAAACATTCTGCAAAGAATGTTGACGTTTTTACGTGGGAGTTCATTCGCCAGAAACATAGATGGTCACTCTGTGATTCTTTTCCATTAGCTGAGAGAGGCCAACTAATGACAGACATATTTTGGTGGGTTTGAAAATGATTTCTGTCAATCTAGTTTTGCAATTCTAGTTTTGAAGGAATGTTATGCTTTTAAGCAGATCCTTTGATTCATTGAGCTTTTGAACGATTTTTAAAAGATGGATCAGGGGATCCCTGGGTGGCTCAGTGGTTTGGTGCCTGCCTTTGGCCCAGGGCACGATCCTGGAGTCCCGGGATCGAGTCCCGAGTTGGGCTCCCGGCATGGAGCCTGCTTCTCCCTCCTCCTGTGTCTCTGCCTCTCTCTCTCTCTCTCTTTTACAAATAAATAAATAAATAAAATCTTAAAAAAAAAAAGATGGATCAATTATTTTTAAAGTAGTATGCAATGTTGACATCTCTCTCACTAGTTTGAAGTGTAGCAGATTTCTAACTAAAAGCCTGCTTGATTCATTTGCCTTCTTTCTACCTATCATGCCATCAGTCCAATTCCATCCAATATTGATGTTTTAACCTAAAGATTCATTAAAGTGATATAAGAGAATATATAAAGGCTCCCAGTATTTTGAAATGGTTCAATATGTCATAAAATATTATTTAAAAGGAATGAGTTTACAATTCTTCTCACGGAAGCTTGGGAAGATAGGAGAGGGAACATAATGAAAGGATACATTTGTTTTCATTAGGAAATAATTTAATTGGAAATTCATTTTTATTAGGAAATACATTAACATAATGAATGCTCTATTCACATGTAACAATAAATTGCTTCTGAGCCAGAACACAGAGGATATCTACACAAATTCCTGCTCACTTTTACATTGAAAACTAGTGGTATAGCTAGGAAATGGAGTCCATCCCTTTCCTTTGTAAATGATAAAGTTGTCCACTGTGTCGAAGAAGCAGTTTTTTTTTTTTAATGTGGCTTTTTAAAAAAAGAATTAGAACCTTCTTTTTGCTTTGACTTTAATTTACAATCCCTCATCTTTTTACCTTTCATACCCAGAATCAAGACCCATGAAAAATTAATAATTCTTCAACATCTAGGACTGTTCTCTAGCAGGTTCTGTTGAAGGCAGTGCAGTGACAGCCTTAAGAAGCCAACTAAACTTTGGAGTTTTGCTGACCTGAACTAGAACCTCCTTTTCCCCAGGTGTTAGCTCTTTGGCTTTGGGAACATTGTTTATCAGTTTCCTAATCTATAAACTGAGGTTGTTTGGAGGATTCTAAGAGATATTTGAAGTCTGTTAGCACACTGTACTACAAATTATCCATCCCCAAACCAGTGTAACTTAGAGGAGTATTATTTTTAATTACAATATTTTAAGAGTTTTATAGATCTTTGTTGGTATTCTTCAATAAAATTTATGTTGATCTGATAGAAACTATAGCACTTGTATTGTTTTTCATTACTACCAATAATTAATAGCATTATTACGAGTATTAGCTAATATTGGGCTCACTTTTGGGTCTCCTCAGGGCTTTGAGGTCTTGGGCATAGAACTGTTTTTTTGGGGGGAATAGATATGTATTTCTTCAAATTTAAAAAACTGCAAGTGCATTAATAAAGATTAGAAAAGTGGGAAGATTGTGGCCACATCTTTTTCTTCTTTGTGCCTTTTTGTATTAAAAAATTAATAGACTTTATTTTTCAGAGCAATATAAAGTTCACAGAAAAATTGAGCTGGAAGTTTAGAGTTCCCTCATAGCTCTCCCCATCAGCCACATACACAGCCTCCTCCACCATCAGCATTCCACATCAGCATGGTATACTTGTTACAAAAGATAAACCAACACTGACACATTACTTATGAGAGTCGATAGTGAAGGAAGCAAGACTGTGTCACCCCACAACATATGTAGCATAAGGATTATTTTGAACTGAAGGCAGTTGAGAACAAACCCTAAAAGTGCGACATACATTTTCAAAGGTGTCCCTCTTCCCTTCTCTAGCAGGAAGGATAAAAGTTAATCATCCAGTGGTTATTGTTAAGACTCTTATCAGCCTGGAGAGGGCACCATAAAAATCTAAATAATATTAATAATTAATTAATTAGTCTTTGTCATTAGTTTTCCATATATTTACCTTTCCATGGTCTGCAGCCCTGGACAGCCTAAAATTGCTTTCTTCTGTCCTGTCATTAGTCTCCAAATTCATTGTTCTTTGTTGAAGATGCTATATAGGCCTGAATTCTAAGCCACCTCTTTGAGTTACTCTTTCCTGAGTTTCTCCCACGTATATATGAGATGAATGTATTAATAAACTTCTATTTTTCTCTTGTAAATTTGTCTTGTATTAGCGAGCCTTAGCTGAGAAACTAAAGGAAAAATTTTGCCTCTCCTAAAATAGTTTACATTAGGGTTCACTCATAGTGTAATGCATACTATAAATTTTGACAAATGTATAGTGACATGTATCCATCATTACAGTATCACAGAATAATTTCCCTGCCCTAAAATTCCTCAATGTTCTGCTTGTCTATTCATCTTTCCTTCCCTCTAAACTTCTGGCAACGACTGAGCAGTATGCATACTAAGCAATATGCATATACAATTCCTCCGTATCTTTTCATAGTTTGATAACTCATTTTTCTTTATCACATTCCATTGTCTGGATGAACAGTCACCTACTTAAAACCATCTTGGTTAATTTCAAGTTTTGGTTATTATGAATAAAACTGCTAGAAGCATTTTGTGTGCAGGTTTTTGTACAGATAAAAGTTTTTAGCTCTTTTGGATAAATATCAAGGAGCATGATTACTGGATTGTATGGTAAGAGTATATTTAGTTTTGTAAGAAAACACCAAAGTGTCTTACAGTAAAAGTGGCTGTCCTTTTGCAATCCCACCAACAATGAATGAGAGTTTCTATTTTTTCCACATCTTTAGCATTTGGTATTGTGAGCATTTTGGGTTTTAGACATTCTACTAGGTACATAGTGGTATCTCATTGGCTTAATTTGCAGTTCCCTAAATATGTATAAAGTTAAGGATCTTTTCATATGCTTCTTCGTCATCTGCATATCATATTTGATTATGTATCTCTTGAGATCTTTTGTCCATTTTTATATTGGGTTGCTTGCTCATTTTCTTTTTGTTGAGTTTTAAGAGCTTTTTTGCAAATTTTGAATAACAGTTCTTTTAACAGATTTGTCTGTTGGAAACATTTTTTTTCTAGTCTGTGGCATGTCTTTTCTTTTAAAAAAAATTTAAGTATACATTTTCCACTGTTACAGTCTTAACAAGGTATTAAAATGTTCCTCGCTTTGTGGAAGATGGCAGTGCCCTTGAACAAGCAGACCCACCATACACTCTGACTGTGCTTCAGTGCATAGCACTGTAGCCTTAGAGTCTCAGGGGAAGAGGAATTTTGATAAGCCCTGCAGTCATCTGTGACCCAGCTACACTGTGTCAGGACACAATGCTCCAGATTCGGCTAATGTTTCACTGGGCATGTATAGATCTTCAGAATGAGGCCTTTATTATGGCCCACAGTCAGAAAGCCCTGAAAAAGTCTGAAGAGTTGGCTTAGGTGATTTTATAATCCTAAGTAAGTTGTAAAATAAAAGCTCTTGTTCATACTGGTTCACTGAGAATATTCTGGGATGTTATACTCTTGCCGGCCAGATCCCATTACACGTAACTCCAAGGGATTGTCCAAATTACATAGAATTTTGCCATCTAGAATATAACTTGAAATAAGTGTTTGGAATTTGGGAAACTTCACACACTGCCAGAAGTAGCTTCCTTGTCATTGCATCTGGCCTATGTGTTTTTGGGGGATTTTGGTTTAGGATCACATTGCTCTCCCAGGCCTCTTAGATTTGTGGGATTTCCCTCACTTCTTGTGTTTCTAGTGGCTGAAAGAGACCCAATGAGTTAGGTCTGCATTTAGCTGGGGCCACCCTACCCACAAGATCCTGTCATTTTCCCAAGGTTACATCTTGCTGCCATTTGACTTTTCTCTAAAAACATCCATTGAACCTTCTTATTTGTTCATTGCCTACCACATTTCCCAGTATCACACCTTCTTGGGAATCTCAGCATCTTCCCAAAATCATATGGGGATTAGGCTTGATTTATAATTCTTGATCTTTGTCAGATTATTGATTTTACTCCTCTTTGGGATTTTGTCCTTTATCTTATATCTTCCTGTCCCTTTGTCTCCCCATGTGCTAAGTGGATAGTTCTTTGCTACCACAAAGTCTGAATCTTCCCTGGGAAATAACTTAGGTGGTGACTCATTAAAAATTATGAATCAAATAATCAACCAAACAAATAAAGGTAGAATTGTAAACTAACATAGGATTTGTCAGTTGTTTGGCAGTGACATTACCCCTGGCATCTGGGGATGGTGGCAGAGCAGGGAGCTACAATGCCAAGCCCTGTACCTGCAGACCACTGGATGGTATAATGGAATGAATGTTCCTGTCATTGTGCTTCTTTCTTGCCCTGACCCTGGTGGTCTTTTTCCATGTTGGAAGGCAGCAGTGTGTGGCAGTCCTGTGAAGGTGGCAGACTATGTGGTGGAGGCCTGTGGGTTAGACAGAAGGCATGATCAGCCGTGAGCTGAGTCAAGATTTTCAGCATTTGGGTTGGTCTCTAGAGCCATTTGGGAGAATTGTTTTGCTTTATTTGAAAGCCTGATTCTTAAATCCCTGAGAACTGTTGTTTTCAGAATACCTGATGACTCTGAAGCATCTGAATGTGACCTTTGGGTCATAAAATTGCACTCAAACTCATGCAGATGGAAGGCAATATTAGCTGAGTGCCATGAAAATCATGAATATTCATTAGCTCCCTCATCATGATGATGATTAATACCCTTAAAGCTATAAATGTCTGAACTCCTTTATGGACAATTGAGCTTGAGAGTGGTTTATTTTAGTTTGTCTACATGAGAAATTAATTTCTGACACAATAGTTAACATCACTATTGACTTCTTTTGACATTTGTTTATAAAAGTAGAACTTGTATCTTCCAAATAAGAGTTTATAGATATTTAGCTTAGATTACATCTCTGAATTGTTTTGCTAGTAGACAAACTCAAGTTCAGGGAACACACACACATGCGTGCGCATACGCACACACACACACACACACACACACACAGATATTCACCCTGGTATATACCCAACTAAACCAGTGTGTGTTTAGGAGGTAGGGATTGTTTAGAGGGGAAACATATGGTTCACGACTCAACCTATAACTAAATGTCTTGGTGGTATGACCTCAGGCAAATCAGTTAACTTACCAAGTTTTGCAAAACAGGAGTAATACTACCTCCCACATATACTATCGTGATTGTTAGGAATTGTGCCATAATGAGTTAAAATTGTTGGGGGCTATAAAAATATGTGGAGTATGTACTTATGTGTATTTAACTATATCTTTGTCATAATTATAAAAATTATAAATTTATTCATACATACTTAATTTTGGATGAAGTTTGAAATTTATCCTTTGCACATTAAAAGGGTCTTCAGTTTAGGAAACAAGATAAAGTTGGGTTTAGGATTCTGGATTCTGGAATGCCTTTAGAATAAAATGTGTTTTCTGTTTGTTTTTTTTTCTTTTTTTTTTTTTATAGGCCAATCAAGCAATAAGTACCATTGGGTTTATGACAGCTGCTGCTTGTGCCTTCTCACTCCTGGGCTTGTTTCCAAAAAGACAAAGAGCAAAATACTATTAACAATTTACTGAAGAAATATTGGAACTGAAGGAATTTGTGAGGAGGAGAAAAAAAAACTGGGATGAATACTTATTTTTCAATGCATCATTATTGTTCCAAATTCCAGTGATGGATGGCAGGCTCTTTAATAAATTGCTTACTGATATTATCTCATCATTGAGCCATGGAAATTTTTCTCCCTACTAGCAAAGATTTGCTGTGGCAGCTTAAACAAGAAGCAGTAGCCTTTTGAGCAAGCCAGCAGAGGATCTTAACAAAATCACATCATATTTTATCTTCTGCCATAAATATTGTTTTCCTTTTTCCTGAGGGTGGTTATTTTGTACTTGCCAGAGGAATGAAGAACCATTTATATTTGATTTCAAAAGAAATGTTAGGAGCCCCACATTGTTGGGATTGACATCTAACTTCATATTCCTTTTCTGGTCAGAAAAGAAACTGGGAAATTGAGCATTTGGTTAGGCAGTTTGAGGAGCTTTGATTAACAATCCGTTTGAGAGTGCACTCCCATCTCCCTTCCCGTGTAGATCGGGGTGGGGTGGGTGGGAGATGGGGTTCTTTGCTCCAGTGTTTCAGATCCAGTGTTTTCCCTGGAAGTGACTCATTTGTCAGGAGTATGTGACAAGCAAAAGTGAGCAGTTACTTCTATAGAGCTACATTGTTCCCTTTGGATTTTGAAGTATTTCAAGGATTTGACCCTTTTAACCTTAGCAAGAGATCATTAAAGGCAGGTTTAAAGTGCCATATTTAGAAAACAATATCCCGTGTTACTGTTTAAGACTTCTACTGTAAGTCAAGGAGTGTCATGATTTTATTCTTGCATTTTATTGATTATGTGTTGAATGAAACAAATTACTTTTTAATACCTTCCCAGTGGAATTCTTGTTGGTAGCAGGTAGAGAAAAGTGAATGCAGGTCTCTATACCCTAGGATTGTATCAGACATTATAACATTACATTACAAACCACACTACTAGCCAATGATATCCCTCTTGTGCCATAATTAAAAGCATGGCATTAAATAAAGAAGATGTTCAAATAAATGGAGGTAGGAGGCTATGTTTAGGAACTAGGAATGTGGTAGATAAAGTAAACAGATGACTCAATGGAAGTCTTGGACCTGTTAAACTGATTGATTTTACCCCAGGGCCAGAAATACTCTACGGTCTAATTACAGGGTTAAGAATGATGACAGAAGGGATAATGTACTAGATTCAGGGCCAGTAGAGACCCTATCTCTCTTCCTTATTCCCTGACTAATCTCTTCTCTTTCTTATGATACCAGTTCTGTCTCCAGATAACCCCCAAAATTCCCCTTTCTCCACTGGTCCTCTGGGAGGTATATTTCTACCAGATACCATGATCCAAAATGACCCCTTCATTTTTATTCTAAATTAAGTTTCCTATTCCTTTTATGCTCTGCTTTCAAGCAATAATAATAATAATAAACCACTTTTCTAAGATTAACAAATAAGGATGAAGATAGAAGCCATTTAATGTGTTACTTTTCCCAAGGTGTACTTGTTTTTTTAGTAAAGGATTACTGCAGGCGGCAAATCTTACCTAAGGTAGGAGACTCAAGTATGGTGGAATTACCGTACCAGCCAATGGGAGAGGGAGCAGAACCTTTCTAGAGAACTCTAGACATTTCCACTCCAGGAGATAGTCTTCTCTATGCTATGTCACAAATGCACTTTTAAATTGAATTCAAGGATACATTTTTCACATAGTTTTCAGACTACGGTGGTTTTTTCAGCCTGAGAGGAAAGTTCACAAAGTTAGTCATTAGTCTTCCCATAAAAATGGCCATTCTTGGTGATGTGCAGATTAAAACTGTACAGTTTGTGTTTCCTGTAGGTAATCATTTGATGTGTGGTCATGCTCATTGTGCTTTTGTCACATATTTCTTCCAAGTCTATTAAACCTTTCTCTGAGAGTACTTTTAGCAAAGTCAGGTGTAGAGTTCAGTTTTATCATATATCCCCCCCGCACATACAAAGTTGTGTGAAATAAATATCATCTATCAAATAACAAATATGTTGTTGGAAAAACTGGGTGGAGGAAGCTGTATATTTATTGAATAATGATTTTTTAAAAATATTTTTATGTTATTTAAATGTCATGGTGTATCGGTTAAATCTTTGATTCTAAAGGTCAAATTACTAAATACAGATATGCCAGTTCAAGGAAACTGAGTTGCCAGATATTTTAAGTTGACATACATTTCTTGAAAATAATCGAAAAATCTTTCATCCTTTAATCTTTCATTGGTAGTCACTAAGTTAAAATTTTTAAGACTTTAAAATTATCACTCTTCAAAGCTGTGCATCTAAGAAAAGGTTAAAAAAGCAAATAAAATGTGAATACAGAGGGTTTATTTTTATAGGAATTGGCATTTATGCTGCTGGTTTGTATAACATAATATGTATTATTATTTACAGCAAAGCATTGCAGAAATGTTAAAAACATTTTTTTCAATCCTAAAGGTTCCAGAATTGTAAAGGCATTATGAATCCATACATCACAGTAGTAGACACATCGCTGGCACTCATGGGATGGAATTGGCGCCAATGAAGATCTTAAATTGGCAAAATCAGATTTATTGTTACAAGGAAAGACTAGTAGCTAATTTAAAATGTTCACTAGGGATATATGTCCTCTCAAGGTCACAGTGAGCTTGATATATTAGAGACAATTGTGTACCGAATATATTTGCAGAGGATGTAAGTTTTCTTGTGGCATTAATGTGGCCATTAATAATTGACTTAGATAACAAAAAGATGAACGGGAACTTAAGGTAGGTTAGCAGCCCGATGATTGTCATGCTGTAGATACATACATTATGGGTATCTTCACTGGGTTTTTTTTTTTTTTAAGATGAGCAACGCTGAGTTTGAAACAACTTTTCAGCTTAGAACTTGAGGTTTCATCTGTCAGTGGCAAAGAATAAATAGAAGTGCCATGCTTTTTTAAGTAAAAAGTACACTTTAACAGTTTATCCCATTATCTCCATGATTTACTCAGGATTTTCTAGCCCATTGACCTCAAAACAATATACTTTGGGAGATGCCAACATTGGTGGAGTTTGCTTAGATATAAGCTGTGCCCAAGCCAAGATTATATGCAATTAACACACACCTCCATCACCCTCCACACCCACACTTACTACAATTAGAGCTGACTTTTCTGAAGTAAATGTCAATTCTTGTCTCTCTGTGAAAGCAATACAAAAGAAGCAAAAAGAGAAATTTTGTAACATTGGGGAAAGGTATGTATGTAAATGATCTTCTAAACTGAATATAAGGTTAAGTAAACTTGTGACAATTCATTGAGAGATACGCTCCCCCCCACCCCCAAATTCTTTTATTTCTGTAGATACAAATGAAAATATATTGGTGAAACTCTCAAAGATCAAAGTCTTCTTCAATTTTCCTTTGTTCTACAATGTTCATACCCCTAATTTCCGTTACATGAAAACTTGTGCATTTGAATAATTTATTAGGGGGGAAGAAAAAGATCATTGAGCAAGTGCATTCTCTTCCCTAACAGCAGAGGAGGATACAGTCCAAATAAGCATAAAGTTCTCTTTTGCAAGGTTCAATACCTTGAGAAATGCACTTCCTCTCCACTGGAATGGAGAGAGAAGAGGGTAGACTATCATCATCTTTCTTTCTTTCTTTCTTCTTCTTTTTTTTTTTTTATCATCACCTTTCCACAATGGTTCCGTTTCAAGGAACAAGGAGATGTTGTGAAGCATGTATGACAACAATTCTGATTACAGCCTTGTCCAAAAATGCTCTTCCGGGGTTTGGCCTCCCAATTCTGATTTTGCTCTTGGAATCTGTTCAGGGTCCTCATAGCCAGGATTGATGAATCCATTTTCACCATCACCTGAATAATCTGTTCTGTGTGTGGGAGGCCAGGTGGAATCTTCTGCGAGCTTTTTCTGCCAGTTCCTATACTGGCTTTTAGAAGAGAATCCACATTCTTTTTTGATCCATAGCCAGAGCTTTCGGTTTTGAAGGATGACATCCTGAGAAATCAGGCGGAGAAAACCATCAAACTATGATTCCACTTTCCCCTGCAGCCAGATTGCTCACCACTGTGCTCTGTTCCCCCAGGCCTTCCTCTGAGACATACTCATTACTGCTGCTTCTGTGGCAGCTTCTCCCTGCCATCCCCACGAAGTCCCTGATTCTTCCCCTTGAGAAGGAAGAGTACTTGTGTTCATAGAAACCTGCCCAAAGCTTACAGCCTTTCATTTCTACAGATGTCCTAGCTAAATCCTGGCTGGCGATTCACTTAGAAGTATTTTACTGCCAGACTGAAATAACAAAATAATGTACTCAAAATCATGAAAAGAAAAAAAAAATATCACTGCTACCTGCCACATGCCACATGTGAGTTGCCACATAATGGTTTTCTGAATGAATGGATGAACTCCAGGAATCAAATGGTTTTGCTTTCCTTTGGTGGGGGGAGCAGGGGGGAAGGGATTCCTCTTTTTTTCTTTATAATAGAAATGGTCAAATTTTGCATTCCACTTTTGGTGATGCTAGACTTTCTGTCATAAACAATTTGTAGCTATGGCCTTAATAATTACTTTTTTAAAAAGATTTTATTTATTCATGAGAGAGACAGAGAGAGACACAGGCAGAGGGAGAAGCAGGCTCCATACAGGATCATGCCCTGGGCTGAAGGCAGACGCTTTAACCGCTGAGCCACCCAGGTGTCCCTTAATAATTACTTTTAATGATCATAAACCATATTTTCAAATTGCTGTATAACTATTTAAACAAAAAACATCTCTACTTTTGAACACGAGTTGAGTCTAAAATTTTACCACCATAGATAATACTATAATGACTACCTTCATATGTATGTTTTTTCTCTCCTTTTGGATTATTTAAAAATGTATATAGTCTCAAAAATTGAATTCCTTAAAAACTATGAGAAATTTTATACTCCTTGTATACAATGTGTGTGTATACATATTTTTTATTTTATATATTTTTATTATATATAAATATATATATATTAAATTTGGTTGCTTCCTTTTCCCAAGGTACTTAAAATAAATGAATCTTTTTTAAACTTTCCCTTTAAAAAAATTAGTGCTCGACTCAAGCCTTTAACTGAGTAGATGAAGTCATTTAGTGACACTGAGTAGAAGAAAAATGCTATAGGGGAAGACTTTCAAGGGTAAGAATTGACTAGAATGAGCAATGGCTTCCTTTCTCTCTTAATTAAGGAAGCCCTTCTGAAGACAGTTCTTCACTCAAAAGGTCTCATTGAATTTTAGAGCTGGTAGGTCACCTGGTCTTGTCTCTACTAGCTTATGAGAATACTAGAAAAATACAATACAATGCCTTCATGGGAAATAAAATTAGAGTTAATTTGATGTTTTGCTTTCTATGCTACAGATCCTGAGAGCACTTCTACGCAGTCTTTAGAGAATTTTAAATCACTCTCCAAGGTATTTCCCCCAAAGTGAACATGTAAAAATTTTACAAACCATTAATAACTATCACTTTTGGGGATAAAAGAGGTTGCTCTAAAAAAGAAGCATGTATTGAGAATAAGACCCTTTATTTATTTCCCTAGAAAGAGAATAAGAAGCATACAGAAATCACTTTACCTCTACAAAGAAAGCCACACAGAATTGGGTGAGGACTGCCACCAAAATCGAAACCCTCCATGATGTCAGGGTTGGGATAAGCTGTTAAAAAAGAAATACCTTTATACGTTGCATACCTTACATTTTGAAAAGAAAAAAAATATCTTGTTTAATTTATATATTTTTAACAATTCTCTGAGCTTGGAGGATAGGCATTACTTTCTCCATTTCACAGATGAGGTCAGAACCTTGGCCAAGGATTCAAAGCCAATCAATAAATGGCAGAGCCAGAATTCAATTGAGAACCAGCTGCCTCTTGGCCTGTGCTCCCTCCACTGCCTGACAATAGACATTTGGTAAATGTGCTCTGGGTCACAGACATGAGACAAAACACTTTGGAACTTGTGTGTTCCTCTTCATTTTTGTCTTTTCAAATAGAGGGAAGAGAATACAAGATTAGGTCATTCATCTAATAATATTATTGCTTCTAATCCTTGCAAAGTAAGATCTACTTGGAATTTATTCAGTAAAATTGATAAATGAGTAAAACGTTAAGGGGACAGGGGTTCAAGTTACTTTTGAAACTAGGTGAACATTTTCTGAACAAGGGTTGGCAGCCCTAAATCTAACAGCTTGATGAAAGTTGAACCCACCCAACCCACTTCCTTTTAAGGATAAAGGGTACATACTGACTACCAACTATTATTATTTTAATAGGTGTGAACACTACAACTTCCCATGCTGCATCAATAGCAAAAGACTAGTCACATGTGCCCTTTCTGACCCAAAGTAAAGGACAGGGACTTAGCTGCATTTAGGACTAAAGCCTCAGGCCCTTCACAGAGTCTAAATGTTCACCGACAATTCTCATCCCTAGTCTGATGCTGGTTATTTCAAAGTAACATGTTGTTATTTTCTTCCGCAAGTACAGCCAGCCTTTCTGAGGGTTGTGGCACCTGGGTGGCAGGGCTGTATGGAGAAGGCTGCAAGATGGGGCAGCAGGTCAGATCCTCACAGAGAACCTGGCCCTTGCCCTCCCTGCTGCCCTTCACCCCGTGCTGGTATGGGAGGTCTCTTCTCCATCTCTTGGCCCAGAAGACATTTGCCACACTACTTTGGAATTATCTGCTTGTGGGATGGTCTTCCCTCCTATCCCCTGAATGACTTGAAAGCGGTGTCCAATCTTACCCATCCATGGAGCTCCAGTGCCAAATATACTCTAAAGCTTCATGATGTCTTGTAAGTGACTAAATGGTCTAGGTTTTCATTTTCTAACTGTGTCTCTGCCCACAGCCTCTCTGCTCTAGCATATAGCCTTCCTACCATCGGCTAATTAGTCTTTAAAGCCCTGCTGAAAAACTGCTCGGATGTCTTCAATGACCTCGTTGCTCTCGGGAGAGATCCCAACTGTCCCCAGCTGCCTTCATCTAGCCATGCCTTCCCCACATTCCACAGCATGTTGCCTCCATCTTTGCCAGTCTTTCAAGTGTTCTGTGAAACAAGCCTGGCTTTTTATTTTTTATCTCTGCGACCCTACATTCTTTTGCATTTCCAAGACAAAAGTGTTTCTTTCAGCAGTTCTGTGCTTAGGCTGTTCTCCAGGTTGGAAAGATCCCTACATCTTACCTAGCAAAATCTAACCTATCCTCTGGGCACAGATCAAGTTGCACCTCCTCCACCAAGCCTCCCATGATAGCCACAGGCCCTATGAGAGTTCCTCCCTCCTGTATTCTTCCCATTTCTATGTTATACCCTCTTCAAGCATGGGTGGTCTCAGGTGACCATGCCATTATTTCTCTTGAGGGTGGCTCATCCTCACAATAAAACTATAGATTGCAAATCAAAAGCCAATCCTTCTCTTTCTTTTATTTCTCCCACAATGCTGGCTCCAAGAATGGGTTCAATGACTTCTTCATAAATTTTATTTTAACCCACTGCACCCTGGATTAAGTGATGTCCACTGAAATAAAACTCCCTATAGTTGATGTCTGACAGACAGAACAGGATTGGCCTGTAAGTCCTGCCTTTTCTTATTCCTTTTGTAGCTACACTATAAAGGACTTCTACTATATGTTAAAAAATTAAACTTGAAGAATTAGTTATTGTATTAATACATTAATTTGTTATGTTAGTATAACATGGAAGGATAAACTATCCACACATAGTATTTTTAGGTGTGAATAGGATAAATGTTCTCAATTAATAATATAGATCATCTGAAAACAATCAGAGGGCAGCATGTGAGAGTCAGGTCAATGAGGACTGCTGCTCTAGTAAATGAGAAGAGCCTCACAATATTAAATGGTCAGAGAGAATATGGTAATAACTAACTTGCAAATTATGGTGCAGATATGGTCCCATCATACATACGAGTCACTGCAAATGAGATGATGAATAGCACTTACCTGCATTCCATGGTATATAGCTTGAAAGTCAGAAAACAGAATGAAAACTGTGAGGCCCAAGGCAGACATCAGCAGAAATGAAAACATATCTGAAGAAACACCAAAATTATTTTTAGATGCTAAATGAATGTTTCATATAATTTGGCACACATTGCAGAATCAATGATCTCTGTTGGGCAAATACCGGATACATCTTCAGATGTTTTGATATATCCTCATATGCTTTAAAATATGTTCTAATGCTTACAAGACAAAGGCAGAATCATAACATCTTTCTTTCAAAGGCGGGGAGCAGAAAACTGCCAATTAACTATATAGTAAACTCCATAAAGGAGGCATCTCAGCTGAGAAGTCCGGGGGAGCTGGGAAATCCTGCAGGGACCAGCCCATGTAATTGGTCACCAAAGAAGCCTGACTCTCTAGGCCCTTACACATCTAGTGAATCATGCGTTGAGTGGATAGTCGGTCCTCTTGGCACCACTTCATTCTTCTTTGGTTGTCTAGAGAATAAAGTCCAGGGGTCTTTGATTGACATTCAAGGCCCTCCACAGTCTGATTTCTGATCTGCTCTCTGATCGTTCTTCCTTAGGTGTCTTAGGGAAGTTAAATCACAAACCTGCCACTTCCACAGAGGCCTTTGTTGAAAACATACCCTGTGTAGATAATATTTTTCCTGTCTCGGCAAGTTTCATTTTTTCTTAAGAAGGCCAACTCAAATATTTTCTTTTTAAAGACTTCTAAACCTCTCTTACAAAGTTTATTTCGTATGGCTATGTGCCACTCTGCTTTGCAAGATCTTCCTTTATGTATCTACTAGACTGTAACCACTTAAAAATGACTTTGTATGTCCTGTTTAGGACTCTGAATTAAAAGAATGAGGAACTCTCATGTATGTCTGCTGGGTTCTCTCTCTCCAACCCGCCCAAATGGCTTTGTTTTGGGGAGCTAAACTTCCCAGGATGCGCTGTGTCAACACCACTGTTCTTCTTAGCCCTCCAACCTCACCCATGCTTGTGTCTTTAGAGCTTTTAGGCACTTTGTAGATGGGGCCTTATAAATATTTTTTTTATAAGATTAGCACCTTCAGACCAAAACAATAGCATTTAATCTGTGTCACTATGATATAAATGATTCTTACGAGCTTTAAAATTCATGAACAAACTAGATTTTCTAGTATATTCTAGATTTCTATAAAGTAGATTTCTCATATATTCTCTCTACCTCCTTTATTCCAGTGTTTATGGTCTGCCAGTCCCCAATTCGATATATATGTCTATACCAATCAGCAATCAGAGGTGACTACCCCTCTACAGCTGGCCCTATTTTTTGAAGGAACCGGAGTTCTGTTTTCACTCTTGTGTGCCAACACACTCCTTCATACTCTTCCAAGCTTCACTATACACACACACAAACACACACACACACGTATATATGTATATGTATACACACACACACACACACACACACACACAACCAGATGCAACACCTCCCAGAGGAATACCGAGGCTTGCTTGGGACGGGTGTGAGGCAGAGAGAAGAAAAGCAGGAGCAGTAGGATCAGTTATCTCCCAAAATAAAATGATCTGAGCAACTTGGTAATAAGAAGAGCCTGGAGATGGCTATATAGATTTTTCAATTATTTCATTGTCTTCATGTCCCAGGGACCCAGCTGCTGGGAAGAAGATGATGCTTCAAATGTCCATGCTGATGAAGGCCTGGCTGTCACAGCAACTGAGCTGAGTGCTAAGCACGTCACAATGTCCTTAGACTAATGATCTGAAAAGCAGGCCATGTGGGTGCACAAATGACCATTATGGAAGCAAAACTAGAAGGCCCTCATTTAATTCAGTTTTAACTGGAAAACAATGAAGAACTAAATGAATATTGCCTCCTCTGATCAATTGCTATTGATGAGGAAACTTGAAAGAGTGGGACTCATTTTGCACAAGTAATTTGGAAAGACAAGCCCTGGGCAAACCACTACAGGTTGTTTTCAGACAAAGAAGGGGAAGGGATCACAAATATTCACATCTGTTTCCATAAAAATTAAATTTGTATTTTTTTTTATATCTCATCATCATAAAGTTGATCTCCTGTCAAAGTCTACTAAGAAAGATACAGACTTGTCCATTATATTAAAATAAAATCTCTCGATATTTTAATAGTAGGCCTAAGGACTTTTGAGAGTACATTATTTATTATATTGTTAGACTATTTGTTTATAAAACTTTTTTATTTAAAATTATCAGTTATATTTGACATAGGGCTTGAGTTCACCCACAAGCTCTAAGTCACTATGATGTAACTAATCCAATTTTCATTTACTTCAATTTATGTAAAAAGATTTTGTAGCTATTATTCAAATTAAAGTACTAGCCAGTGCAATATATCATTCCCTCCTTATAAAATATATTCACAATTTTAAAACAGGAATTATCAGTAATTAACCTTAAAACAGAAAGTGAAATATTGATTTGTTGTGACAAGAACCAAGGGCATTATCAAACGTTGAATCAAAACTTAGAAATATAAGAAATTCAGGAAGAAGTTTATAGGAAATATAAAATTAAGGAATATCTGAGCACGCTCTCAAAATCTTTGACAAAACAGCTATCTATAAAAAGGGGTGGTGGTGAAAAAAGAATGTAAATAATTATTAAAACAAGTTTAATGTAGTAAATGTATCTTTCTAACTTAGTAAGAGGAGTGGGGCTTACTTTTCTAATATCTACAACTTACTTAGAAAATTAGAGATTACAGGTTATGCAATGAGATGGTCTAACTGTAGTAAATTCTCCAAAGCAGAAATTTTATTGGCTAGATTCTCTGATCATGACGATAAAAGTAGAAATTATTAACCAAATTTAAATGAAAATTCTCTTCCAACATACAAATTTAAAACAAAATTCTAAAAATCTATTGGTCAAAAAGAAATCAAGTCCATTTCATTTATAAGCTATTGAGAAGAGTAGTAGGAGAATGAAAACAAAATCCCTGCCCACTTGAAAATGAAAAATCACTATTCTGAAATTAGTGAGTAAAAGAGGAAATTCAGTCATAATTAGAGACACACAAAAATGTAAAGAATATAAACCAAACTATAATTATTCATCTTGAATGCTTTTCCAATTTCACAAAATAAAAGAAAACACATACATTACAAAGTCAATTCAAACATTACATTTTTTTTCAGAGAAAGTAATAAGGGGGAAAGAATGGGAAAACCAAATATTAATAAGTTAGAAAATAGAGAATTATTAAATTTTTAAAGAAAGCCAGCAAAAATACATTTCTGCTAAGAATAAATAATACACAATGCATGAGACAGATGAGAAGATATTAAAAGAATTATAGAGGGAATTAAAATTACAAGAAAATATCACACAAAATCTGATGCTAAGGCTCAATAATCTCAATGAAATAGAGCTATCTGTAAAAAAATTTATTGAAAAAAAGTTTAAAAAGAGGATATCTTAAATGAAGCCTTTTTTATTTTTATTTTTTTAAAGATCTTATTTATTTATTCATGAGAAAGAGAGAGAGAGAGAGAGGCAGAGACACAGAGAGAGGGAGAAGCAGGCTCCATGCAGGAAGCCCGACACGGGACTCGATCCCAGGACTCCAGGTCACATCCCGGGCCTAAGGCAGGCACTAAACCGCTGAGCCACCCAGGAATCCCATTAAATGAATCCTTTAAAAAAATCTTTCAAAGAAAGGAATTAGAGACAGATGATGTTACTGAGTTCTTGCAAACTGTCAAGAATAGATTATTTCTATCTATAAAGTATTTTTCCTGGGAAAGAAAAAGTCAAAGAATTTTCAAGTCTAATACTGAAACCTAACAAACACTATAAAAAAAATCAGACTAATCCAATATAAAATATATGTATTAAAAAACTATGAAACTCAATTTAGTAAAAGTACAATCCATCAGAAATAAGTAGGTTTTGCTCAAGAATATGAATAAAATGAAAAAAAAGGCATACTCATCTCAGTAGATGAATGAAATACATCTCCCATTCCTGATTTAAAACATACTCTTGATTTCATGAAAATAAAGGGTATTTTCTTTACCTGATGTAAATCTACCTGGAACCAATATTCAAAATCATATTTATAGGTGAAAACTATTAGAAGTATTTTTGTTAAGGAGTAGAGTGCTTTGCTACCATGGCTATTATGTAATATTATCTTAGAAATTCTGGACTGCAGGCTGACAGAAAATATAAATAAGAAATTTCGTTATTAGAAAAGAAGAAGGAACATTATTACCTGCAGATGATATTATCTTTCTAGAACACTGAAGAATCAAGGATGAATAGCAAAGTTCAGAAAGGTTTCTGAATAGAAAATAAAGGTAAACAACACTATAACTTTTACTGGTATTAGTGATAAACAGTTAAAAAATATAATGGAAAAAAGTCACAATATAAACAAAAATATTTAAAAACAAACAATAGGTTTCTTAAATGTTTAGGATCTATAATGGAGAAAGTGACAAATACTTAATAAAAGATGTAAATAAAAAAGCATGAACAAATGGAGAAGGATGGCATCTTTAAATGTGAGGAGAACTAAATTGTATAAACAAATAATTTTTTCCCAAAGTATCAGAATTCAAAAAGGGATTAAAAAAAAAAAAACCTTACAGAGATGCCTGGGTGGCTCAGTGGTTTAGCACCTGCCTTTGACCCAGGGCGTGATCCTGGAGACCCAGGATCGAGTCCCACATCAGTCTCCTTGCATGGAGCCTGCTTCTCCCTCTGCCTGTGTCTCTGCCTCTCTCTCTCTATCTCTTATGAATAAATAAAGAAAATCGTAAAAAAAAAAAAAAAGCCTTACAGTTTGTTCTAGAGTTTATCTGGAAGGATGAACAAGCAACAGAAGTAAATTTTTGAAAAGTGAAGACTAATGAAGATATACTAATCTTACTACTTATTAAAATGTATTATAAAACTATAGCTAGGGCAGCCCCAGTGGCCCAGCGGTTTAGCGCTGTCTTCAGCCCAGAGCGTGGTCCTGGAGACTCTGGATCTAGTTCCACGTCGGGCTCCCTGCATGGAGCCTGCTTCTCCCTCTGCCTGTGTCTCTGCCTCTCACTCTCTCTGTGTCTGTCATGAATAAATAAATAACATCTTAAAAAATATATATATTATAAAAAAACTATAGCTAAATAAGTGAAACTATGATTTTTAAAATATAGTGCTATATCAAGAAGAGAATGGTATATTAATGAGACAGAAAAAATAGCATAGCAACTAATTAATTACATAAAAATTAATTTGTAAATATATAACACATATAATATGGGATGTCTGGGTGGTGCAATTGGCTAAGCACCAACTCTTCAGTTCAGGTCATGATCGCAGGGTCCTGGGATCAAGCTCTGATATGGGCTCTGCACTCAGTAGGGAGTGTACTCGAAATTCTTTCACCCTCCCTCTCCCTCCCCCTTTTCTCTTCCTCCCCACCTCATGCTTTCCCTTTCTAAAATAAATAAATTAAAAAAGTATTTATATATAACATGAAAACTCACATAATATACATTGTGTATATAATAAAGCCATAAATATACATGAATATGTAAGTATGTCAAAGGTGGCATTATATTCAGTTAAGAAATAAATGATCAAAAGAAATATTAAGTAATAAAATCTGACAAAACTAATGACTAGTTGGAAAAAGCACTTTGATCTCTACCTCATACTATATATCAATATTAACATTAGATTTAAAAAGCATTAAAATAAATGTAAAAAGCTAGACAAATATTAATCTACCTGATTACCTGGTTCTGTGAGAAAAAAACTCTGTGCATAAAGGCAACGAGAAGAAAAATCACAAAGGAATAAGCAGCTCATATAAATAAATGAGAAAAAACTGTGCATTAAGGTAATGAGAGTAAAATCACAAAGGGATAAACAGCTCATACAAATAAATAAGAAATATATCAACATTCTAGTTGAAAAAGAATGGATAAAAAATGTAAATAGGCAATTCAGAGAAGAAGAGAGACGGTTAATAATATGAGAATATGTTCATCCTCTTTGGTGATTAAAGAAATGCACAGAATGGTTAAAGTAACTTGCCCAATGCTGTAAAGCTATGAAGAGGTTGAGTATCTGAATTGATTAGAAAGTCTTTTACAAGGACACCTGGGTAGCTCAGTAAGTTAAGTGTCCGCCTTCGGCTCAGGGTCCTGGGATCAAGCCCTGCATGGGCTGCCTGCTTAGTGGGGAATCTGCTTTTCCTTCTCCTTCTCCTTTGCACCTCCCTCCCACTCCTGTTCTCTCATGTGCTCTCACACGCTCTCTCTCAAATACATTAATTTTTTTTAAAGCAGGTCTTTTACAAAGTACCTTGACATTTCTATATGTGCTTAAAATCATTCTTGATGACTCACAATGGGACAGGACTCATGAGACCATTTAATAATGCATGCATATGTTTATCTGCCAGTGAGGAGGTTTCTGCCCAGGCTTCTAACCCCTATGAAAATTGTCCTTAAATATTCAGTTTTTTTAAAAAAATGAAACAGAATTATATTTTTAATTACAAGATAAAGTTGAGAAAATGGAGAAAGCTGAACAAAATAATGAAAAAGGTGGATAACTGGACAGGGAACTTAGAAGAATGAGATCAAGTCAAGACAGCATTATATAACCAATAAAAATTTCAGTACTCAATTTTGTTGAGTTCAGCCATCCTTTCACCACTGAGTTGCAACTCTGGGAGGGTGAGGAAATGGAAAAAAAATATGAAAAGAAAAATTAAACTTTGTATACTCACAGTTTGTGTAGATGGGTTTTCGAAATGGCTTTCCCTTAGAGAAGATAAATGCCACCATGATGCAGTTAATGGTGGTGATGGGCCACAGTGTGGTACTCTCAAAACTTAAAATTGAACCAGGAATCAGAGTTGCATTTCCAGTCTCATTTCTCTCCAAACTCACATTTATTGAGAAATTACTTTGGCTGTCCAGAAAGCATTTACTACAAAAGAATTACCAGCATTTATGGGATTTTTTAATTCTATTTTTATCCAGGTGGTGGTAAAAAAATGTTTATCATTACCATGAGATCTCAGCTTTCAAATTGTTCCAGCCAGTAGCTACCAAGACATATTTTGTTCACCTCTTACAATGACAAAGCAGAAATAAAATTTAAAACGAGTCAAAATTATTCTTTGTCTAGCATTCCATTTAGAACAAGTGACCTGTCTTGAAAGGGGTTGAATGATAATTTTCTATGGAGTTCCTTTCAATTCAGAATAAATGACCATGAGTGCCTGTGTATGCATGTGTGCGCACGCATCTGTGTGCATGGCAGGGTATGTCGTGCAAATGTGTGCCTGTGTGTGTTGTTTTCTCTTCTTTTTTAGATTTTATTTATTTATGAGAGACACACAGAGAGAGAGGCAGAGACATAGGCAGAGAGAGAGAGAAGTAGGCTCTATGCAAGGAGACTGATGTGGGACTCGATCCTGGGACTCCAGGATCACATCCTGGGCCAAAGGCAGACACTCAACCACTGAGCCACCCAGGCATCCCTGTTATTTTCTCTTCTGTGGACTAATGTAAGCCTACTAATTTAGGCCCTAAATTTGAATCTTGCTTCTGAGTGTCTATGGCTCTAGTTTGCTAATTAAGTCCCAACTTCTCAGGCAAGTTCAGAAAACCTTCATATTCTGGTCTCAATTTGCCATCCTGCCTTTATCTTTGGCCAATTCTCCTATGTTCCTTATACTCCAAACATATAGGAATATTTTCTGTTCCTCAAGTATCAGTTTGTACACATCAGGGGCCTTATTCTCTCTGCATCCCTTTATCTGAATGTCTTTGTCTTTAATTCACTGGCAAGCCTAACTACTGCCCTCCGTTCTCACTTCTAGTGCTGCATTTAGCTCATTGCTCTGCAATTATTCATTTGCATATTTCTATTTTCTGCCTCTGGGATGAGAGTTCCTTGAATATGAAATTTCTCTTTTGATTTTATTTTGTTATTATTTTACTCAAATTTACAAATCCTTAGTGCCTAACACAGAAATGCCACAGAATATTTGCTCAGAAAAATATTTAAGAGATGGGTTTTCTCAGTCCAGATTGATCTATTTGCAATGTTTATTGTTTTTAAATAATCAAACTCACAAATTAGTTTCTATCAGCTTTCTTGTTCCACTTGAAACTTTTTACCTTATAATTGGTTAGAGATGAAATTAGCTCCAAATAAATAGATGTAAATCTTATTATCCTGGATTTCCTAGGGTCCTGAAATGTGCTTTGCATATGGTAGATGTTCAGTTAATGTTTGCTGAATGCACTAATGAAACAAATAATCAGGATGCCTGAGTGGCTCAGTTGGTTGAGCACCTGTCTTCAGCTCAGGTCATGATCCCAGGGTCCTGAGATCAAGCCCGCATTGGGCTCCCTGCTCAGTGAGGAGTCTGCTTCTCCCTCTGCCACCACACCCTCCACTCATGCTCTGCCTCTCACTCACTTTCTCTCAAATAAATAAATAAAATCTCTTAAAAAAAAAACAACAAATAATCAGTAGTCACAAAGTGTTTTTGCACAAAGGGGACAGACAGACAGAAGGCCTGAATTATAGAGTTTAATATGAAAGTGTACCCCATTATACTTACATCACAGATAAGAAAGGTAAGGTCTAGTAGGGCATAGCTATTAGTTAGTGAGAGAGGCAGGACTACCTATATCCATCACCCTTTGGGTTATACCAACTTGGCTCTTGGATTCAATCTGAATTTTATTTCTCTAAGTATATGTACTCCAATTAGGAGAAAAATCTGGTTTTGAGGCAAAAATGAATTCTACACTCCAAGTAATACTTGAATTGTTGAATTTAGGATCTAAATGATTATCTTAGACATCATTTGAAAGTTTTTAATCTTTCACTGATTCTGCTGCTTTTAGGATCAAAGTGGAGTGTTGTACAAGCCTTCCTTCAAAAAAAGGAGATCCTTTCTGCCTTTCCTTTTGGAGGCCAGACAAGCTTTGTCAGAAAAAATAAAGTTTCAATATCTTTGGTATAGTTCACCTCATTTTACCCTTAATTTATCATTAAAGAAATTAAAACCCAGGGAGGTAAAGAGCCTTGCCCTGAGTTTAGTGTTCAATGCAATAAGAACAATGGTACCATCAACTAATATTTTAAACATTCATTTTTAAAACTCAAACTAGTTTGAGTAAATCTATTAAGTCAGGGGTCAGCTGACTACAGTCCACAGGCCAAATCCAACTCAACACTTCTTTTTGTAAACAAAATTTTATTGGAACACAGTCACACCTACCTTTTTTGTATTGTCTATGGCTGCTTTTTACTACAACAGTAGCATTGAATAACTGCAGCAGAGACTGTCAGGTCCACAGAGATCTCTACAAGTAATATTTGCTGACTTCTGGTCTATATGATCTCCAAACCACCAGAAAATGTCAACCAATGGTTGGTAACAACCAATGCGAAGATCTTTTCCCACCACATGGCTCACTCCAGGACTCTACCCAATAACTGTGTTCTGTGTTCTACTCTGTCATTGGTATTTTGCAGTGTGGAGACACAACTTTTGTTAATTAAAAATTTAGTGTGTATAACCAAATTATACAATGGCATTGGGTACTCATTGTATCACCTTCAGAAAGGAAAATTAAAAAAACTGAACTTTACCTGTATCTGTAGACCTCACAATACCAGGGCTGCTGCTTCACATAGAGAAATGCACAGACTTGCACAATGCAGGTAAAACAAGTGTTCAAGAAGACTGAGAGCAGCAAAGGGGGAGAGAGGAGCTGTCCTGCAGGTCGGTAAGGAGCCAGCTTCGGGTAGGCATGAGTTGAACTCACTGAAAAACAAATGCATTTTCCACTATTGCAATTTCATTATTGATAATAAAAGATTGAGATGCATATTATTTCGAGACTGGCATTGGGGTTCAGATTCAGGAAACACAAATGAGGATTTAGATCTAGGTAAGCACATTGCCTAGGTACATATCCAGTGCTACCAAACTTTACCTCTCCCATACTTTTGTTTCACCTTCAGAAATTAAAAGTAATAGGTTTAAAAATCTTGTAAATAATACATTTACCATATTATATGATGCAAATATTTTCTTTAAACAACCAGACTGACCAGGAATGCCATAGACAATAGAAAGGTGGGTTCCACATGGAAAAGCAGTACTATGATCTCTCTCTCAGCGGTGGTGGGAAGGTGGAAAGTTAAGATGAGGAGAGTAAAAGGCATCAGCCTAGACTCATCTTCATACACTGGGTATTTTTTAAGAGAAGCACTCACTTCATTATTCATTCAGCCAACGTTCTCTGAGTACTTCAGTGTACCAGGACAGATGCTAGAGGTATGTTCTGTTCTATCCTGGATAAGTGCATAAATGGAAAACTGCTAGAGCACGTTAGACCCGGTTAGGAAAAATAGCTCATAAAAAAAATCTTGCTTCCAGATAAGAGTGTTAAAATATATTATGGTTTTGATCTTAGGATTTTTTTTTTTAATTTAAAGGCTTGGCAATGGGCGGGTATTAAACAGAACAATTACAACAACAACAAAAAAGGTGACTGCGTTCTTCTTAGAAGCCATATATTCTAACAAGTTGATGAAAATGGAATGTACTTTACTGTTTAGGGCAGTGCAGGAAAGAAGCATGGAATGGTCAGGAATTAGATACAGTACATTCAGAAGTTGACATTATAGTCATGTTTCAGTTCTTGTCTTCTTATCTGTTGCCTTTTCCCCCCTTTTTTTATAGCTGATCACTGGTTTCTTTGATGTAAGGAAAAAAGTAGGGTACATATGCTTAGGCTTCTGTTCATGCATGTAGGGGCAAGGCAGTAGGAGTAGGCATCCAGTTTGGGATGATAAACTTTAAAGTAGGTCTTCAGTTTGCTCAATGGGTTCTCGGGTAATCACATGAAATCTCTGGTACTTCATTTTCTCATCTATAAAGTATAAGTGTAGGAATGTCTCAATGGTCTCCAAAGTCTTCCAACTCATTTACTCTAAAGCTCCATAATTATCTGAGGCTTTATCTTTACCAATGTAATCAGTTTCCCCAGGAGGATGCTAGGCTACAGGTTGTTGGGGTATGCAGAGATGAGGAGGACACCTCATCTGCCCCAAAGAGCTTGAAGTCCAATGGAAAGCACAGATGGGTTGGGTAATAAAGAATTTGACTGATCTTTATTCCCAGTTCCTGGGATGTATCCTCTAAATTGTTGGGATTTCTTGAGTTTATAGGAGTGTCTTTTTATGCATGGTAGCCCTGATGGTTTATACGAACAAGAGGACAGATGATGGGCCCAAAGAAAGTTAGTGATAAAGCGATGACTCAAGATGGAGCTGGCCATGCCACAAAAAAGCTAGAGATTGGGATCAACTTCATGGCCAGTGATTCAACAAATCATGTGTATGTAAGGAAACCCCAATAAAAACTCTAGACAAGATACCAAAGTTCAGGTAAACTTCCCTGTTTGGCAATACTCTGCATTGTGCCACACGTGGGTGTGCCAGGAGAACAAGGGAAACTGACTCCCCAGGAAGAGGACAATGAAAGTATTGGGATCTTCCCACCATGGGATCCTTCCACAAGACTTCATCCTGTGTGTCTTTCCCTTTGTCTGGTTCTGATTTATATCCTTGTGCTACAATAAAACTATAATCATTGATAGATATTACTAAAATTGAAGGGAGAATGAGAACCCCCAAATTAGCAGCCAGCTGGTCAGAAGTGCGAGTGGGATGCCCAAACTTATGGCTGAGGTCTGAAGAAAGGGCAGTCTTAAGGAGGCTGTGCCCTTAACTTGTGAAGTTTGGCCTTGTTCTGGGTATTTGGTCTGAGAAATCATTGTATGGCATTCAAGGAAGGGGCACACAATGTGGCCTGTTGTCAAGACAAAGAGATTGTGCTTTGGGGCCACAGAAGGCAGAGGTTGCAGTACTGAGAGTTCTTTCCACTTTCCTATCTCAAGGAAGAAGATGGCTACAGAGAGCATGAAGATGCTGTGGGTGATGGAGGGAGGTATAATTGTATCTCTGTGCATTTGTATCTACCTCTCCTCTCTTTCTCAAGTGCTCACTGAGTTTCTGACTTTTCTTTTACCCAGAGACTGTATTAGATTGAATTATTGGCCTCATTGTGGTAGAGTGCACTTTACTACTCTTTAATTTTGGTTTCACTGTGAGATTTTCTCAGGCCAAAGAGATGTTAGCAGAAGTTTGAGGCCTGTTTGCATGGCCAGGCTCACTCTGTGATCGCAATGAGAGCATGCCCAAGTCTGTCATTCCAGCCTGGCTCCAGAATGAAAAATGTGGAGCAGACCTGAATAAAACCCATAGCCTGGACCAAGACCAACTGATCTACATCCGAAAGCTGATTAGATTCAGCTACCCAGATCAGCTGAGTGACAGTTTATCCACAGAGCAAAGAGTGGGTATTATAAACCACAGAGTTTTGGGGAGAGGTTGGTTATACAGTGTTATTGTGGCAACAGCTGACTGATGAAGAGTCCTTACATAATGAATATTTTAATTTTTTCCATATTAGAAATTCTGATGTTTTCTAATAAAGAATCTGCATATCTGATTATAGAAAAATGGCCAGGATTTTAGGGCCCCTGACATGTTCCAGGGACAATGCTAAGTGTCTTATAAACATTATTTCTTTAAAAGGCAATGCAAGGGGCACCTGGATGGTTCAGTTGGTTAAGGATCTGACTTTTGATTTTGGCTCAGGTTGTGACCTCAGGCTCCCCGCTGGGCATGGAATCTGCTTGGGATTCTCTCCCCACTCCTACCTTACCATGCTCTCTCTGACCCTCTCACCCACTCATTTTCTCTCAAAATTAAAAAAAAAAAACTACCATTTTCCGAAAAAAGCAATGCAAAATAGATATTTCATCTCTATTTTATAGGTGAAGAAACAGGTTCAGAGAAGTAGGGTCCCTTGTTTAAAGACCCACAGTTTGTGAGCAACAGGGTGGTAATATATCTGTCTAATTATAAAGTCCCTCATTCTCTGCTCTACAGCACATTGAAGTGGTGTAGATTTTGTAAATTAAAAAGGATATTAGGAGCCTTAAAATTTGAGTATGTTATTTTCAGGAGCCAGAACTTCTCCGAATTATCCAGGTTTCCTTAAAATGGTGATGATATATGCTATCATATTGCATGCAGAATAATGTAAGCTTGTGAAGTGTTATATTTCATTCAGAATTAATCATTACCTCCTCTGAGTTTCTATAGCCCATTACTCATTTTGCTGCTGTGTAGTGAGGATGTCTTGCATCAAATCCAGTCATTTGCACATGCACTCAGTAGACCATGAGCAACCTGAGGGAAGAAACCCTGTCTCATCACACTTCCTGTCCCTCACTGAACCTGGTACAGGGTCTGCTATGTAGAAATTCTTAGCAGTTGCAAATTTTTATTGTCAAAGTATACTTTTTAATTGTTCAGCATCATTTGGATATAATGTACATGTGCTTCTTCTAAATAGTTGGCTTACTTTATACTGAGGACATTTGAAATCATGTACGTCAAATTTCCAGAGGCTCTTGAACTCACCTAAGCTACATGCAAACTGTTGCATGTGCCTCATGAGATTTTGAAGGTGAAAAGATCTATATCTTCCATGAGAGTCTCCAAAGGGACCAAGACCCAAAAAAGGTGGGGAGTCTTTGAAGCACTGATGAAATTTATGTAAGAGAGGCATTTATATAATGGATGGGTTTCCTCCTACAGTCTTCTTCTCTGGACACTGCCTCCTTCCATATGCTGAAGTAGTTGGCCTAAATAGAGCTAAATTACATGACCTCATCTTTATTTACAGAAATGACTAGCTTAGAAGTGGACATTTTACACAAGTTGGGTCAATGAATTTTCTCTCCAAAATATTTGCAAAGGAGACACTGAAAGGCTGAGCTAATTAGCTGTGCAAAGGCAAACAGAAAGGTTATGGATATTCAATAGTAGAGTCACCATTTAGGGTCATTTGCAAGGCAAATGAGTAGAAGTCACACAAAAACAGTAAGAATAGAAAGAAGAAGAAAGTGATAAGATGGTCTCTTGGAAAAAAAAAAAGTGGCCTCTGTTTTCTATTCTTTAGTGTTCTAGTCCTGTCCTCGCCCCTAGTGCTTCTGAGTTTCTATTCTTAGATTTTTTTTTTGAGAATTATATTCTTAAACATCCCCCTACTTCTATTTTCCTGATCTAATTTGAGTAGGTTGTGTTAAAAAGAGTAGAGATGCAGCTAGAGCAAATTCTTTTCAGAATGGCTTCTGTACTCTTAGGGTCAAATTGTGCTTTGAGATGTACATTTTCTTAATTGACTTCCCTGACTTCATTTTACTTTCCTCCTTGATTTCCCTTTAATATATTATATCTTGTTTTATTAGCTGCCTTTGTGTTGCCTCAAAATTTTATGGGAACAAGACAAGGTGTATACAGATAAGCAAGTATGTAAATAAATTAAATACATGATGGTGTTGTCTTTGCCTCATACTAATTCAGGCTTGAAGTCAAAAGCCCTAATCTGGGAACCTAGAAAGGCAGGTACCTTGGTGAGAGTGATTTGACACTGACGGTCCAGTTGTCAATGACTACTAACATTCACAGATGAATGTCAACAGTTCTCAAACCAAAAGCCAAGCTCTGTGATCTGACCCAACTCACCTCTTCACATTTTATCTCCTGCTGTTTCCTTTCACATACGCTACACTGTGGTCAAATTGAAAAACTCATGCCCCAGCCTTCTCTTGCTCATGCTGCTTCATTCTATTTGAAGTGCCCTTCTTTTGGGAAAAGAATTTTGAAATCTGTCCATCTTTTCTATTTTGATGCAAATGTTATTACTTCTTCCATGAAACCATCCTTAGTATTTATTTCTTCCACTGCTATCTCTTCCCTAACCCCAGATTTTCAGAAATAATCTCTCCTTTTTCTGAACTCCCAAAGCACCTGTTGTTTTCTGGGACTCACTACTTTTGATGTGCATTTCCTTCATTCATGTATGTGAATCTCCCACTGAACCGTAAATTTCAGTGATCAGGCTTTTTATGCCCTGGGCACCAATGTGTCTAACATACAGTAGGAGATGAACACATCTAAGAGGATGTTAAATGGGGCTTTTCCTTTGGGACTTTCCTTGCTGAGCCTCATATTTGAAGACCATGAATGGTAAATGGCAACTGAATGGAAAGAGAGATGACTGCCATATCTCCATTGACCCATTCAGAGGGATCCATATTGGTCTTTCACCTGTAAACATGCCTCTAACTCCAAGCAATTGTCTATGTGAGGAATACATAAAACCATAGAAATCATTAAAAGATTCCTTAAAGGGAGTTTGTTGAGTAGCAAGAACTGTGTTTTTTTTTTTTTTTTCCAGCATCACTCCAACCCAATGAAGGAGGACAAACTAGCCACTCCAGGAGAGACCAGAAGAATTTTGGTTGGTGGAGATTGGCTTGCTCATTCCAGTTGCAATATCAGAGGGAAGAGACAGGGGACAGCAGTGAGAGCAGGCTATATCCACTATCAGGTAGATCAAGTAGAAACTATGGAAATTAGACAGGCTGGAGTTGTCTTGGAAGGAATCTGTCCAGTGGAGCAATCAGTTGGGGCTAGATCAGTAGATTAAGGCTTCATAGCGTATATCACGGGAAGGCAGTTGCTGAGAGGAATTCTGAAGAATCAGAGGGAGAGAGCACTACCCACGTCAAGGAGTAGCCTAGTCCAGAGCAATTCACAGAAATCTCTGAAGAGCCTAAGAAGCACCAGTGAGTCCCATGTCAATTCGAATCAATGATATTGTTTTTGCAATGTTGGATATTTTTAAGCAATTTGTATAATTTACTTCTGAACACACATTTTAGATGCCTGCCATGTTAAAGGACAGTTGACAGGATAGAACTATAATACCCCCATATAAGTAAAAAGGCCTTTGTTCTTACTGCTCCCAGATTTCCTGAAGCAAAATTGGAGAGTAGGCAACACAAGGAAAGTAGGGACCATGGCCTTCTCTCCCACTGTTTGCTCAAAGGTCAGGCTTGATCTAGAGGAAGAAGAAGTCTGAACTGGATGAAAACATGAAATGTTGTTTATAATACCTAGGTTTTTAATGCCTAAAGATGAAATCATTTTAGTACCTGATACTGACCAGGAAATGGTCTGCCTGTGGGATGACTGAGCTTTCAGTGATAGAAAAACAATAGGGTTTGAAAGCAGAGGATCAAAAAACAAACACTGGGGTACTTGGGTGGCTCAGTCAGTTAAGTGTCCAACTCTTGATTTCAGCTCAGGGTCATGAGTTCCATCTAGCCTGACATCCAGCTCCACACTCAGCTCAGAGTCTGCTTGAGATTCTCCCTCTCCTTCTCCCTTTGCCCCTCCCTCCCTCTTTGCCTCCTCTGTCTCTCTCTCAAATAATAAATAAAATCTTTTTTAAAAATCCAACCATGTTTTTGGATTTCTACTCAGCCTACTTGTGTGCAGTCTTACTCTGTTCAAGGGTTCATTGAGTTAGCCAGTCATTTCAAAAGAAGGGAAAGAATAGGTGCAAGGTGATATCATCCATCTTATGATGAGTGCTTACAATGTGTTGATGCACTGCTGTACACGTCACATGTATTGTTTTATCTCATCCTCACAACCCTATGAGGACATTTCATACCAGGAAATTATTTCATAAATAGTTTGTAAAAGCTTTCAGAGATAAGGAATGGTAGAGAATGGCCATGCCTGCACTTTCATGCCACTGCCTGATAGCTTAGCTCCTGGAGCTTCCTGGTGTTTTTCTTTCTCTTTTTAAGCATCATTGATGGACAGCTCAGGTGGCTCAGCGGTTTAGTGCCACCTTAAGCCCAGGGCCTGATCCTGGGGACCCGGGATCGAGTCCCATATCAGGTTTCCTGCATGGAGCCTGCTTCTCTCTCTGCCTCTCTCTCTCTCTCTCTCTCTCTCTCTCTGTGTGTGTGTGTCTCTCATGAATAAATAAATAAAAGCTTTAAAAAAAAGCATCATTGACCATGTTCACAAGTAAATCATACAAATTGCTTAAAAATACCCAGTACCGCAAAGGCAATATCATTGATTCAAAATGTTTCTGTCATCTGACTATTAAGAATGTACAGAAAAATGTGTTAATGGACTACGAATATATATTTCAGCCTGAAGAATGAAAATTGTTGTTACTTACATCTCTGATGCTGGTAACTTCTGTCATGGGGTTGATATAATAAATGACTTCAATATCAGTTTCATGTTTTAAGATGTTACATGAAATTCTCAAGGTTATTAATATCCTGCATTACCTGATGTTTTATGTGTTTTCATAACACTTCTATTGTTGAACAAGGAAAAGAGATGACTATGTCATTCTTTTTCTTTGCCCTCTGTTGAGGCAGTCACCTTTCTCACTTATTAAGAGTTAGTATAAAGCCCCAAGTTCTTTGATAGGAAATTCTTTATCAGTGTCATCTCAAAGGAAGGAAATGAGCAATAGCTACTGTGAGCCGTACCTTGCTTTTGAGAGAATTCCTAGAATTAAATGCTAGCATTTGTTCTCACATGTCAAAGGCCTAGCAAAAATCTGGTTTCATGTCAATGCGAAGTATAGCTGAATAATGGAAAGTGACCTTTGAGTTTTAAAGATTTCCATTTCTAGATTTCTTGCACATTTTTCTATGTGCAAGACAGACACCTATGAAAAACTCAGAATACATTGACCATTTTATGAGGCTAAGATCTATCTGCTTTCAGGATATTTTAGTGCCAAATCTAAGGACTTCAAGCCTCAACTTGCTCCAAACACCTCTTTCAAAAAACTCACAGGTAATGTGGTTTTAGTAATAAAGATGCATCTTTTCAGAAGATTTGATTTGTGTGAGCATTTCTAGAATGCCATGGATAAACACAAATAATTCTGTTTACTAAAACACTTACTTGTTAAACAGACCATCAAGGTAATGGCTACATCTTGCATAAGATACTGGTAATTCCCAAAGAGCTGTAGTTGCTGAAAAGGAAATACAAGTAACTATAAGGGGGCGCATGGTTGCTCAGTTGGTTGAGTGTTCAACTCTTGGTTTCGGCTCGGGTCATGATCTCAGGGTCCTGGGACTGAGCCCCGCCTTGCAGTCCGTGCTCAGCAGAGTCTGCTTGAGATTCTCTCTCCCCCTCTCCACGCTCTCTTTCTTTCTCCCTCTTGAAATAAATAAATAAGTCTTGAAAAAAAAAAGTAAATACAAGTGTTGCATCTGCCATTGTTATCACTGACAAAACTTCTGAAAGTAATCAGAAAGCAACAGTTATTTTATTTCCTCTTTAAAAAGGAAATAATTTACCTGTGATCTTTATCATCTCATTGGAGAGAACAAAACCAGATCATGATTTTCCCAGTGTTTAACTTAATTCCATATTAGCAACAAGAGTTAGTCAGTTGGGCCACAGTAATCTGGCACCTGGAGTCTCAGCCTGGACAGTTGAATTCTCCACATAAGATACCCGTGGGGAACGCCAAGTTTAAAATTTTGAAATCCAAGCCTCAAATCATTCAACAGGTATTTCTTTCCATCCTTAACCATAGATTGAGAACACAATTTTGTTTTCTTGGGGTCCGTTCATTTTCACAAACTGAACAACTCTACCCCAAGTAAGCCCATTTCAGACTTCAGTCTGGTATGCTTGACTTTATAAGGTTTGTGTAGACACAGAGCTTGTTTGAAGTTCACGTTTATGGAGTCATATGTAAAAGTCAACTTGTTACCTCCAGGTACTTGCTTTGCAATCTCTGTTGCAGCCAACTCTGTTTCTCTGCTTCATAGCTGTTGACTAAGCACTAAATTATGATCTGGTCTGAACCATTTGAGACATTTATGTAAATGAGAAATATTTCTGGATTTTGAGTGTGGACCCAAGGCCCTGAAGTTTCTGATCAAAGGTTTGCGGGGGACACTCTTATTCAGGTCTAGACCATCAGAATGAATGGCTTCAGATGTCCTATCTCTGTGTAGACACAACTCTATTCATGAAGACTTTGGACCTGTGAAGTCTTTCATATTTTTCAGAAGACAAAATTGTTCCTCATCCTCCATAAATGGTTCCCCAAGGTTCTCATCCTCCAATTTTCTGTCTTCTTTACATTTTTTCCCCTCATATCCTTTCTTTCTTCTCTCAGAACGGTATAGTTATACATACACAGATGAGATGGAACAGGGATAAATTTTCAAAGGCAGCCTTAGTTTTTGTTCTAGAAACAGCTTTCCTAGAACAATGGAAAACTTTGGAAATCCACCATCCTGACCTCCCACAGGCACATAAAGACTTAGTCAAGGATGAGATCTAATGCATTCTGAGTTATAGAAGCAGAACTTGAATCTAGGTTTCCCAATTCTCAACCCAGTTCCTGTTTCTATCCACCTGGTTGCTCCTTAGCCCTCCATGTATGATTCTTGCATGCAATTGCCTACCAGATGCTAGAGTCCTGTGGTCCTTTCTTTAATCTCTCAAATGTCTTAGAAAAACAGTATAATATTTGCCTCCCTGAAGTGTTATCTGAGCCTGTTAGATCCTTTCACTTTTGAGCAAGTTATGACTGAAATAATGAAGATTACTTTCAACTTATACATATTTCTTCCATATAGCTAATTGGTTTTTAAATGATTATTTTTATCATTTAATTTCAGAAGTCCTTTTAAAAAATTTTTAAATGCAAATCCTTTACTAATGACATGTCTAAGTGTGTAAGTTCTGAGTAGGTTCAGCAGTAAAGTTCTAATATGGGAGCTTTTCTAGTTTTTGAGTCCTTCAAGGTCAAATTCAAATACTTCGTTTTCTTTTTTATCTCTTCTTAGTCTTTTGTCAAAAATATTCCATAGTTGGAGACTGATGCATTTCCTGCTCACTTATATTTAGGCTGTTCTGAAGCTCTTTTCATACTCCAAGTAAAGAAATAGATGCTTGAAGAGGTCAAGTGTCTCAGGTTATCTAGAAAAAAAACAACACTCCTAGAAAACTGATCCCTAGCTCCTTATTTCTAGCTCCATGTGTCATGTGCATTTATGCCAAGTTCCCAAGTTTGCAGACATCTAATTCGAGAAATGTCATTTATTTATAAAACATTAAATCCTGTGTAGGAACCACACCCCAAAGAATAAACCAAGGATGTAAATGCAATTAAAACTGGGAATAAATTATTTAGGTTCATACCCAATAGAGCAGTGATGTACCAATAAACTGGATTAAGCCGTACATGGTCAAGTATTTAAATACCCCAAAGGATGAAACCAGAGCAGCTCGGCCTTCTCTATTTGAGAAAAAATAAAAATAACTGGTTATGCATGATATACATCTCCCAGTCTCTTTTATATTTCAAACAGAGTTCAAGTTTAATAGCTTGTTGATATACATTCACTTAATCAATGATTCATCCTCTCAATTATTTATTGAAGTGCTCATTTGCTCATTCATCCTCTGCTTCAATCATGACCTCACTCACTGAGTCATCCACACACATTTATTTAGAGCTGATGAGGTACCAGCATTCTGCTTAGAGTCATGGAGGATATAAATGAATTAGGCACAGTCCTTATTTTCAGTGAATTAAAAAGATTAACACAGATATTATAAACATAACACATCATGATAAGGTACAAAATGTCAAGCATTGACTCGATTGTGACTCGTCTCGTCCTAACAACACTTGCTTCTGAGAGCAGAACTGTGTATGTTTGGAGTCCCACAGGAACTTCAAACTAAAGGGCAGGCATTTGTGCACAGTGTGGACGTGACTCCAACATATGAGATGAATGGGGATTTGTTGGTTCCAATACTCCAGGAAGAACCTATGGTAATAATCTGAGCTGGTGTGGAGTTCAAAAAACATAAAGACAACAGTAAAAACTGCAGGTTAAAAAGTAAGTATTTTCTCCTCTTTGAAAAAAAATTCTGTTTGAGCTGTTTGTTATTCCCTTAACTGAGGCTTGGTTCTATGGTGGGTGATGACTGATAAAGAAGATAGTGTGGGGAAGGAGCTTGCGATGGAGGAGTGGGAAATGTGACAAACAACCCCTTCTGTAGACTGCTCTTGTCAAAGCAGAAGCAAATTCACTTGGGGGGCAGCCCACGTCCTCCCTGGTGGCATGGACATCTGTGCTGCTCAAAGACTTTGTCAACGGAAGGGGTACCCGAGAAGGAAACTCTTAAAGCCAAACTAGTAACCACTTTGCCTCAGGCCTGATGAGAAGATTTGGGAGAGACAGGCCAGGATGTGCAGGCCAGATGTTTTCTACCAGGCTGTGAGACACAGCCATTTGTTTTCCACACAGAGAGTGGAGGAGCAGACAAGCTGAGGAAGGGCAACCATGTGAAGTCTGGACCGTTTTCTCACACAAACTTTGTGGTTTCATCCTCTTTATCCTTTTTTGTGTACCTTTCCAGAAAAATGAAAACACCCAGATTCAAGGGAAAGTGCAAAAAACTATTCTGAGGAAGGCATAAAGGAGGTCTGTGTTGGCCTCCAAAATTACCACTATTCTTAATGATTATGAATTTTAAGAAGCTAACTAATTTATTGATGCATTCCACAAACATTCATCAAATGCTCTGATGTATCCAGCTTAGTACTGGGCACAATAATACAGAAATGACTAAGGTGCAGTCCTTGTCCTAAAGGGCTTCAACTAGAGCAACAAGTCAACCATGTTTCAAAGGATACACATGAAAACCTGTGGGCCTCTGCATCTAAAACTGTACCTCATTGCCCCTCTGGAGGATGTTTTCTCAGGAATAAACATGCATCAAGGATGGCAAGGGTAAAATGAGCCTAACAGAACTGAACCATATCTAATTTTTATGAATCTATGAAGTATAAAAGCAAAGAGCTTCTACCCTGAAGTCTTACTAAACCATCTGCCACTGGAGAAATTTTACATCATGACTTGGATCTTAAAACACTGTATCACACTCACAAATGCATTAGGCCACACGTGTGAGACAGAGCATCTGAAATTCAAATGCCACTGCCTTTTGGATGGGTCACATAGGCACTTTGTGCAATTGTCCAAGAGTTTAAACTCCCTTCACACCTGCCAATCCCGCTTACCTTCCATAACTTCCACCTGAGAAGCCTCCTAGCCCAACTGGGCTCTTGGGCTCTTGTTAACTCTCCAGTTTAAACCCCGTTTCTAAACATGGCTCTCCACTTCCTCCACCTGGAGTATCCTCCCATCTCCTTCCTGTTTACACACGTACCATCCATCCTTCAAGTTCCAGCTCCCCTGCTGAAACCTTCCTTCCTGGCTTGAGCTATATCTGTACCTTTATGGAACCAAGGCAAAGATTTGTTTCAACCTTCCTCCACCGCACACATTTCCAAGCACAATATTTTAAAAAGCTCCATGAGTTGTGTTGATGATGGAAAGCATGACCTGGAGAGAGGGTCCTGGGCACTCTCATTTTGTGGTTGTCATGCTGTGAACCAGAGTTAAAGCAGTAGAGAGAGTAAGGAGAGGGCTTGGAGGGAGTCTTGAAAGACAAAACCAGTAAAACACAATGCCCGCTAGGCTACAGGTGAAGAAGGGAAAGAGTTGAAAGCAATTTGAGCTTCTCAGGGCTTTAAGGACAAGAGAACACAGGAATAGGAGGAGGAGCTTCTCTGGAGGTGCTGATGTTTCAGGGTGCAGAAGAATACAGGTACACACCCCCCGAGATCAGGGGGATGTGTCAAGGTGTCCCTGCTCCACAACCAGACACAGGCATGGAATTTCAAGAGTGGCACTGTTGGGTGAGTGATTCCCACTAGTAGTTGCCCATTCAGCTACACAGACACACCAAGGGGCATGCTGGAGAACTTCACCGTCATCCTTTTTAAATAAATTTCAAGTTTTTGTGATCTCTTTCGGACTGGTCATGAAGATAGATGGAAGATTCCCCATGGTATTTTAGGAAGCTACAGGGGAATAAGGTTTGTGAAAAAGAAGATGAAACCTAACATTTTATTCTTAACTACATTTCAAATATGAGTAGAGACAAAATCAGCAATGAGAATAGAGTGGAGGCGAGGGAGCTATACTGAGAAAATAATCAAGTTTTTAATTCCTTCCCCTTCCCTCTGTCGTAGTCTTTCATGGGATCATTTGGGATATTTGCTGATTCGTATCTTGGAAATGTAACAGTATTTGGGGAAGCTATCTGATGCAACATTCCCTTCATGCTTCCTCACCCACCCCAATCCCAGGGAGGAAGTTTCCAGTATGTACCTGACATATAAAATAAGGGAGAGGAGAAGTAAGAAATGGCAAGAAATGGTTTTTTAATATCAACCCTACCTTTCAACTATCCCCATGACATAGGCTTTTACCCTGTAAGCCTCAGCAAAAGTCACTTTTTTGGTGGCTTTTACCAGCATTTCCAACCAGTACTAATGGCTCTTTGATTAGTGCTCTGATAGCACTTTACCCCATACCTCTGTTGTGACATTTATCACTTTAAATTATGGTCGAATTCTGTCCCGAGTCAGACAATGAGCCTCTTGGTCATGGGGGTGGAAGGGGAAGTAGTGGCTTACCTGATGAGCTGAGGCACACACTCAATGTTTGCCATTTTCGACGTGAAATGGGAAGCCACCGATGCCTCCTGCTCTGACAGTGAAATGCCTGCATGAGCCATTTTCAAAGCCTAGAATGATAAATCCACATCATACTCAGGACTCCTTGGGTCAGGCTGTAACTCTTCAAACACCATGAAGCAATTCTTCACATTGTTGAGTTTATAACACTGTAACCTTCCAGCCCTAAGACTGTGTTTATGCTGTCCCTTCACTTGGAGTACCCTCCCTCTCCTGATCCAGAAAGTCATCAATAAAGAGGCGCCAGCTAAATAATGACCCTGAGGTAGAAGAGTGGTGGGTGTGTTCACATCCATGTGTGTGTGTATTGGTTGTGGGATGTAGATGTGATAAGAAAATGGAAGCACTTATTCAAGAAATCCACTAGAAAGATAACAGCATTTGAGTAGACATTTGTGAGGGCCTTCCCCATCGGTTCTTATCACTCAGCAGGCCATCTTCATGAACAAAAGGAGAAGATATCTAACCCTCACCTTTTCCCGGGTGGCTTGATCTAGACAACAGGCTACCTGCTAGGATGAAGTACAGCATCTTCACAGCAGACAGAGACCAGATCATATGAGTCACAGATCATTCTAAGACATGTGTTGCCTCACTAATTAAAGGTGAATTCATTGTCACCAAGCCTAGAAGCAGCCGAGAGAGTCACAGAGCTGACAATGGCTAATAAGCAGGTCAGCGAGTTCTTGATCCTACAAGAATTGGATGACCATAAAATGGGATTTCATATTTCTATAGTTCTGTAGCACCGCAAAGAATCTGTTACCATGGCTGGTACATACTAAATTTCTGTTCAGTAAATATTAGAATATTTCCTTCTTCCTCTTTTCTCTCTTAGTATTTTGTTTCTCTATTACATATTTTAGGGCCATCTACTTTATGTTTGGGTTAATATGATGTGTGATTCTTTCCCTAACCAGATAATGAATTTTAGGGAGGCAGAGACTATGTCCTTTTTTAACATATTTATTTCCTTTGTTATAAATTCTACATAACTAAGGGAATGGGTACTCATTTTAGGTTTTGAAGAGCAGATTAACAACTGGCTTCTCATGAAGTGTAAGTTAGAAAAATTTATAATAGATCTTTAAATGTGAGCACAGTTTTTCACAGAACTTTGAAGAAAATATGTAAAAAAGAAAGTAAAACAGCTACCTGGATCTTAAGTATCTAACAGTCTTTGGAAATACAAAGCAATCCTCTTCAGTTTTATAATAAAAATTTTGTACTGAAAATATTTTGTTATTTACAAAAATCTTAAAGGTAGTCTACTGCTTCAACATATCTTCAAAACTCAGAATCTAGGCATGTCTGGGTGGCTCAGATGCCTTTGGCTCAGGTCATGATCTCAGGGCCCTGGGATCAAGTCCCAAGTCATGCTCCCTGGTCAGCGGGGAGTCTGCTTCTCCCTCTCCCTCTGCCTCTCCCCCCTGCTCTCTCTCTCTCTCTCTTTCTCTGTGTGTGTGTGTCTCAAATGAATAAATAAAATATAAAAAAACAAAACAAAACAAAACAGAATCTAAAACATGTGCTGCCTTCTATTGTAAATGGGAAGTCATCTGCTGAGAATCATTAATGTAGGCTTGCTATAGTTTGTAATGGCCAAGTAGTTTGGTCTATGAGTTCACTGATGGTAAGAATTTGTGGTTAAAGCCAACTTTTCGAAACTAACCCTAGAGAAGTTTGGCAGGAAAAAAAATGTAGTTTATATATAATTAAAACTTTAAATCATCCATTTCAAATGTTTTCTTCATTAAGCCTTCACCAGTTGTGTGACTTCAGACAAAATAAAAAAGTAAAAATAAATAAATAAAAATAAAATAAAATGGAAGAAAAGAAAGAAAAAGAGAATTCACATCCCTGAGATTCACTCTTGTATCAATAACACGAGACATTTAAACCAGCTCATCTTGTAAAGTCCCTTCTGGGTCTGAACTTTCCTTGGCTTTTTTATTCTGAGAGTTGTCAGAAAACAGCAGAAGTGGCTCATCTGACTTTGTTCTTCTTGGCATCCAGCCCACACTCAGGTGTGGGGGGGGATATAAACAGCCAACTGATGAAGCGATTCCTGGCACAGGGGTGAGGTGACAGACCCTGGGGAACCGTGGGGCCCTCAAGAGGGACAGTGGGGAACTGCCTGCATTGGTTGAAGTAATTTCTACTTACCCCACAGTCATTAGCCCCATCTCCACACATGGCCACATAGTAACTGCAGGAGACAGCATGAGAGAAGTTAATGCCTTAATGCCTCACTTGTATAATTTCCATCAAAACCAACTCACATGTGATGTGTGTATGTGTGTGTGTCTTGAACACACATGCAATGAGGCTGATGGAAAATAACTTGGAGAGAAATATTCCCGGAGGAATAAGGCCATTGTGTTATTTAAATTGTTTCAATCACACAGAAGTGATAGTGATTCTGCCAAAGACATCCACCAAGATGATCACACATTTCAAAAGAAGTCCTGGGTGACTGTATCGACTAGGACTAAGCTTAAGAACGTGCAGCCATAATCACAGCACTTCCCACACCTAACACACAGATATAACCTAATCCATCTGTGTTTTGGTGGCTGACGTCATTGAGAGTTTAGAGTTTAGTATACACTAGGAGGAGAAACACTTGGGAAATGGTTGAACAGATAGAACCAGAGACAGAGACATATAATCTTGATGCATCCTGGAGTAATAGGAGATAATATGCTCCCCATCGATCCTGGTTTGATGTGCAAAGACAACAACATAAACAGAAGAGCAAATATAAAGCTATTGACAAAGAAAAGGAATTTCTGATGCAGGACACACTCTGTCTTCTCTTATAGGTAAATAATACACCATAGGTATTGATTAATGGCAATACTATTAAAGGCTCAAGGACAATTTGCCAAAAACACACAAAATAACAAAATCAATACAGGCAAAAAATGAAGTTCTCAGACAATTTCCTTATTACTAGTTGGCATATAAGAAATGGTCATTTTTATAAGTCAAAAATGATCAAATGTAAATAAACTCAAGAGGTTCGACCTAATATTTGGCTATTATACATGAAGATCCCCCTGTGGATGTTTCATGTGCTCACGTGCATGTCATGACTATGCACATTTGCTAAAGCGGCTTCCTTTCTTCAGGCTTAAGGCACATGTTTAGTCTTTGCATCACACGAAGAATCTTAAATGTGTTAGTGTTCCCTGAAAGCAGGTGAGAACTCGATAGCCTTATGCGCATTGCCAGGGATAAAGGCAGGAGGTGTAAGATGGGGAAATTGAGAAGACAGTTCATTCTGAGGCAACATCTATCTTCCTGAATTGATTTTTCTTTAGGGGAATATAGCTTTTCAAAAGTAAGCATATAAATTGGCAAAGTTTCTTAGGCTTTTGAGAAGAGTAAAATTACTTTCCTCAGCCACTATCTTATAATGACCATGTAAGTGAAATAGTCATTTTAGACACCAGTTACTAACCCAGCCTCAAGGCATTATGGGATTTGATAGGCAGTTTCTTAAAACTTCCCTAAAAATGCTTTGGCAACAAAAAATAATAGTGAAAGGCAGTCTCCTGGTGTTATCTACTGCTTATCATCAATTATGTGAAGTTTCACCATTCTCCTTTTCTTTTCAGTTTCCAGAAATCTATAGCCCAGACATTGTAATGTTCCTAGAAAGCTGTAGGTAGGTCTGGTCTCAAAAACTACTTCATTCTGATGTGACCTGGTCATCTATATTTTTAAGGGATGGAAGGAAGGACTTTATTTTTATTTTTTATTTCTTTTTAACTTTGGCTTCTATACCTAAACCCCTGCCAGGGCCAGATACAGTGAAAATATCTCTCCGCCTCTTTCCTGGAGGACCTGAAATCATTCATATATCTTCTAATGGACTAATCTCAAATAATTCCAGGGGACAACTCACACACTTCTCCATTTTTCCTGTTCTGAACCATACAAGTCCCTATTTTTCTATTCTCCATGTTCAAGCTGAGAATTTTCATTTAAGTTATGCTGTACAGGCCACAGAAGAAATTCTGTCTGGGGTAGGCAGCTTCCAAAAAGGCTCTCTGTTACTGCCACCTCTTAGTATTCATAATGTTGTATAAAGCCCTTCCTTGATTGTGGGCTGCACTAGTGACTTGCTTCTCATAAAGAAAATACAGCAAAAGTGATAGGATATCACTTCTGAGATGAGAATATAAAAAATGGTGACACCTCTCTCTCACTTGCTCTTCTTGCTTGCTCACTCTTGTAGAAGCTAGCTACCAGACTGTGAGCTGCCTTATGAAATGAGCTGTGTGGCAAGGAACTGCGGGTGGCTTTTGTCCAACAGCCAATGGAAAACTGGGGCTCTTACCCAACCACCCACAAGGAACTAAATCCTGCCAACAACATGAGAGGGAGGCTGGTGGCAGGCTCTCCTCCTGCAGCGCTGAGGGAGCTGCAGTCCTGTAGACACCCCATTGCAGACTTGTGAGAGGCCCCAAGACAGAAGACTCCATTAAGCACACCTGGATTTCTGACCCATAGGAATGAAAAATAATAAATAGTGTTATTCTAAGCTACTAAATTCAGAGGTAATTTGTTACACAGCAATAGACAGTGAATACATTCTCCTTTCATGCAATAATACCTACTTTAATTTCTGAAATTCTTCGACAAGACTAGATTTCTGTGCAGGTGACATTCTTGCAAAAATGGTTCCATTCACCAGAATCTAAAGAGAACAACAACTATTGCAATAATATCAGGATGAAGAACACCTCTTAAATAAAAGAACAGCCCTGAAAATCATTCCTGGCCATCGTCTGAATACAGCCTTGGGCGGTGTGTCATTAGCCCAAATGTCAGGACAAGGAGAAAGGGGACTCAACGCTTTACTCTTCAACTTTCACTTTCATCCCCCATCACAACTTTATGACTTCCTTCCAGGCCATCTTTCTGAGACGGGATAACCTTGAGTTAAGAACTGGAAAGTGGTAGAGAATATGGGACAAAAATGCTTGAGGAAATAAAGTTCTTTTTACTAAACACCATCTCTACAATTGCAGCATAGGTAGAGGAAAAGCAATAGATGAGGAGTAGAGAACAAAGTTCTATTCTCAGCCCTGGTCCAAGTAGGTGGGCAAACCTTCAACAAGGGACCTAACCTCTCTGAGTCTCAGCTGCCCCATCTCCTCAAGGAGGAACTGCACTAACAACTTTCTAGGAGCCTCTGGGGTCTAGATTCAATGGTCCTTGACTGGTAAGGCGAATTTTCAAGAAACTGCTAACAGATGGTTGCTGCCCTCAGCTTGTGCTCCACTTATCTCCTTCACACTGACAGTACAACCCTGCACAGCACTATTTTTAAATAGACACACAGAGGACAAGATAACAAATGGTTTTGAAAATAAACCATGGGGCCTTTGTTTCCTGCTGCTGTAACTTAAGAATCCTGACAGGAAGGGGAATAGAGCTCAACCTGGCGTGAGTTGGTGGCTTTCAGAGAGAGACGTTGACCCACAAAGTAGGTAGCTCATTTGGAACGATTTGGGGTGCTCCTTGCTGAGGAGGAAGAGATGGAGGGAGACTGAGATCGGGCTGGCTATGGGGGGTGAAGAGCTGTACCAGAGCTTAGATTCTGGAGAGGGGGTCAGGTACCTGTGCAGGACCAGGTTGGGCTGGGCAACTTCTGAAGGAGCAGTGCCCCCTTGGGGGTGTTTACTCCCCAAATCTGAGACAACTTCACTGATCATCGCCTTCACTAGTCTCTTCTTTTTTTCCTCACTAATTTGAGAGCAAAACAAAACATTTCGTTTCACCAGTACTTACTTTTGGAAGCAAGCTGTTGAAATGCTGAAATATCACTTGGTATGATTTCCCACTCATTGCAAAATGGTAACAGCTCCCTCTTGTTCCATCAGGCACTGAACTGTTCCCAATGTTAAGGTAGGTTTCCTAAATTCAAAAGGGCATGGTTTCCACATGGGTTCTTTTAAATTTTTTTTTTAAATTTTTATTTATTTATGATAGTCACAGAGAGAGAGAGAGAGAGGCAGAGACACAGGCAGAGGGAGAAGCAGGCTCCATGCACCGGGAGCCCGACGTGGGATTCGATCCCGGGTCTCCAGGATCGCGCCCTGGGCCAAAGGCAGGCGCCCAACCACTGCGCCACCCAGGGATCCCCCACATGGGTTCTTAAGGAATGTCTCCGCTTTCCTATGTTTTATGGAAGGACGTGCGCTCAAGTTACATAGCAGGGAGAGGGCCAGCAAATGCATAATGTGTAATTTGTCCATGGAACTTAGACTCAGATGAAGGAAACACTCAAAATGTCCTCCCCAAATTATATGAACATATAAGATGTTGACAACATAATGGTCAGGATCCTGTCTTAGGAGATAATACAGTGATGTATGTCTACTAAGGAAATGTTCCAAGGTACCAGTTAGTGATTCCAAGGAAGATTAGATAACATCCGTCTCTCCTCTTTCTTCTCCTCTTCATGCAGGTTTTTATTTCCTAAGATCTTTTACCATTCATTCATCATACACCATGCCCCAATTTCTTCCCTTTAAAATAGGCAGAATCCTTCTTTCGGGCCTACTCCTTATAGTATTTGCCTTCTCCCCACCTCAACAGGTGACACGTTCCCTCATGGTTCCCAGTTCCTCCTGCATACCCTATGTTCCATTGTACCAGTTCAACTCCTTTGCTGAAACCCCTTCGGTCCTGCCCTCCACCCAACAGTGTGTCCCATCACTGCATTCTAGACCCACTTGGCTCAGCCCAAAGAGAGAGCACCCATCATGTTGATAGCTGATCATGTTTTTCATGCAACATTTCTCAGAGTTCCTTACATTAGTCTAGGACTCTGAGAACAAATAGTATAGAAGGCAAGAACATTTTTTTCACTAGAGAGATCCATTTTAGGGAAAGCATTGTGTTGGGAAGAAAAATATTTTGATGTGGGAGGCTAGGCGATACATCCTTCCCTTTGCAACCCCTGTTGCAAAATAGCCAACAAAAGGTATGCTTAAAGCATTCCATAGGAGGTAAGGACAGAGCTCCTTTTGCTTTCACCAGACAGTTAGAGAAGGAAAGTGTGGTGGGAGGGAGGCAGAGAAGAGGAGAAAGCCCGAGACTGTAATGTGACTTCTCCCAGTAACACCCAAAACTTCAGTAAAGGCATTAAACTGGTGAATGGGTAATGTGAGTGGACTGTTTGTTAAAAATTAGTGAAGACCTGAGCTTTATCATACAGCGTAATTGAGGCAACATGCATTGATGCAGAAGCAAGTGAGTTTGCAAGGAAATAAGCACCAGAAATCTCTGGTGATTTCAGAGAGAACATAGAGAGCTTTCATCTTCATAGCCAATGCAACGGGGTTGAGCCAAGTGGGGGCAAAGTCACTCTGTACAGTTGTGCAGCTTGTATACTGAACAAGGTCTACTCTACACTTAACAAGCCAAAGGGCTATCAGCCTGGAGGAAGGGGAATTTTATAACTTATCGCCTGGAAGACCACCTCCTTGAATTCACACATAGGCAGAATTTCACATTTAGTGATGGGATGTCAGGCTGCAACCCATTTTCTTCACAAAAGCACAGGAAGTTTGCTATGTAGAGAAGCCTGAAACCTCTTAACCTCATGTCATGGACACAGCGCATTCTTAATGCCCATGGATCTGGGTGCCATCAGATAGATTTAAATCAAATTTAAATTTGATTTCCTGCTCTGCGACTTGCCAGTTGTGTGTGTTGGGCAAGCTTACTTTGCTGGGCCTCAGTTCTCTCATTTGCAAAATGAACAATTTGTCAGCTGTATAGCCTAACTGGAAAAATCAAATGGGAAATATGGATGTAAATCATTGGTTCTCAACAATGACTGCACATCAGAATCTAGGGGAGGAAGGGCTGATGCCAGCTCCCAACCCAGAGATTTGGATTTAATCAATAAAACCTTGGCACTGGAAGCTTGAAACCTCTTCCAGGTGATTTCTTTGTGCAGCCAGGGCTGAGAAGTGCTGGTGGAAACACTAAATGCTTTTCAAACTGCAGAACTCTGGACAGCTGTGAGGGGTTTTGACTGTGGTGCCTTCCAATGCCGAGAGAAGGCTGCTGAGGCCAGGGCTGTGTGTCATCAGGCCAGGCCACTGAGGACCTTCTAACATTTGCTCACATTCCTCCCCAATCCATTCTCTTGGTTCTCGATCAGCTGCCAAGTCACAGAGGCAGGAACAAAATCTTCTGGTTCATTGGCTTCAACAAGGATCACTTGGCTTCCTCTAGGAATCATTTCGGAATTCTTTGCCACAGTGATGGCTGTTTGAAGGTTGTCACCTAGATGACAAAGAGAGTCAGCTTGCTTTCTGTATAAATCTCTTGGCAGCCAGAATTGAGCCCTGCTTCCTCTGAGTGGCTATACCACATTGTTGGTGCTCTTTGGGGGGCATTTCCCTCTTTCTGCCCTATTTTATTACCATTTGGCAGCACCTCTTGCCCAAGCCTATCTGTCCCTAGTGATCAAAAACTATGTCTGTATCTCCCTCCCACAATAGCATCATGTCCTGAACATTGCATATTTACAAAACAGGCACAAATGAATAAAGACATGGTTAAGCACTTAGTGGTGAAGGTAAAATGATGGTTCTCTGATAGCATGGAACCATCCTGGGGATGTGGATTGCAGTCAACAGAGAATAGAACACTGAAAGCTGGGCCATGCTTGGATTGGATCGGCACATGCCATGCCTGCCCACAGCCCTAGAGGACAGTCTAGCAGAGTCTGAACAGTCTTTACACAGAAGTCTCACTGCGGCTTCTGATGAGCACATATTTACTCTTGTGTTTAAACATTTACTGTGAGCCTACTAGCACTGTGCTAAGCCTGGGTAGGGAGAGGGCAGCATTAGACATAGACAATGAAGTATGATCTCTGCCCCCAAAGCTCATGGACATGTCAAGGCTGATGCACGTATGCCTGGTAATGGGAACCCAAGGTAACAGATGACAGTTAAGGATTTTTCCTTCTACCTGAGCCACGTGAACCCATGCAGCTCATATGGTCTTTTTCTGAGGCTTGAGATACATTAAATATATCAGACCTCCAGAAACACACACCAGTAATCATCACCATCCTGATGCGGGCTTCACTCAGTTCCTTCAAGACTGGTTTGGTTTCCTTTTTCAAGCGATTCTCCATTATGAGAAGTCCCAGAAATGTCAACTCTGACTCCACCTTCTCTCTTTGGATTCAGAAAAAAATCAGTATTAAAGCTTATTAAAGTCTTGACAGCTGAACTTTATTTCTTCCTTCTAAAACTATTTCTAAGTTTTATCAATGTAATACATGCATATGTTTTCAAAATCAAAAAGAACCCAAAAGCTTATGATAAAAACCCATAGTCCTTCTCTCCATACCCCTCCACCCCTTCTCCTTCCCAGAGGCAACCACTTCTATGTCTTTTAGCAACTTCTCCCAGTTTCAACACCATTTTTTAAAAAATGTACTTATCTACCAACTCTTCTGTTGGTTTTTTAGACTTTTGTTAATTGTATTATACTTTTTTTTATTTCAAAGACTTTTTTTTACCTTATAATCATTTTAGTTAGACATTGATTAAGTATGCACTGCATACGGGATACTATGATAATAGTTGCATATAGAATCACTCATTTCCACCTCCATCTGTAACCTCCAGAAAATACAGGACATCAGCCAAGCATTTGAAAAGTTTTCAGATGGGATCCCTGGGTGGCGCAGCGGTTTGGCGCCTGCCTTTGGCCCAGGGCGCGATCCCGGAGACCCGGGATCGAATCCCACGTCGGGCTCCCGGTGCATGGAGCCTGCTTTTCCCTCTGCCTGTGTGTCTCTGCCTCTCTCTCTCTCTATGACTATCGTAAATAAATAAAAAAAAAAGAAAGAAAATCCAGAGTCCCATGAAACATTAAAAAAAAAAAAGAGAAAAGTTTTCAGAATTTAAAATTGGAAGCTCGAAGTCTAATTGGGTTACATTCATTATGCGGGACCTCTCTTCAGGAATGGAATAAGGTGACTTTTTAAATAGTAAACATGAGGGCCAAGATCTCTTTCTTAATCTCACATTTTTCCTTTTTCTGTCCAGAGAGGAGTTAAGATTGCAGGAAGAGAGGGAGATCTAGGGATCTAACCTTGATGCATATGGTCAGTCAACCCTGATGTTGGGTCCCATCACCACCTCCACCTTCCATAGTATGTGACAGAGCCAAGCCTCAGTCTCTCGGGTTCCATGGGGTGAAGCAACTTCTGTCTTCTGCTATTTCTCTCTCTGACATGGTGTAGACTATGCTTCTTCCACCTGCTGATTTAGCTGCCACTCCCTCCACCTACTTTACCTCTTACAGAAATGTATAGAAATCTCTCATCTGCACTTATCACTTGTCTTGTTTTCTTTGATATAGTTTCTTTTCTATCATGTTGGTAGGACTTGGGAGGGAGAGGAAATAAACATGTGGTCAGTAAACCTTCTTTAAGAGAAAGGTCAGGGTTGGATTTCCTGATGAAAGATATAACTCACACTTAGATGGGAACATGGTGAAGAAACATCTCTCTGGAGCAGAGAACAAGTTACTACATCTTCATTCAATGGAATGAAAATTCCATTCATCAAATAACTAGTCTGTTTTAGACCTTATTGTAGGCACTTTGGTGAATACTCAGATAATTAGATATGAATCTTGCCTTAGTAATCTCAGAGAATATTACAAAAGATCTACCCAATACAGAATGTGTTAAATTCCCATCATTTATCTTCGTGACTTTCTATTATAAATTGGATTAATATTTTCTAATGAGTTAGAACTAAAAGAAAGATCCAGAAACCTTCCCACCAATTGATTCTGTTTTTGGTCTCTATTTTACAACTCTTCCTCTCTTTCACCAATTCAGGCACTTAAGCCTCTTGCTACTCTGCAAAATTCTGTGTTCACTATTCCTATTGCCTGCAATGTTCTTCCTCTGCATACTCATATGCTTTGCTCCCTTACTTTACACATATTTCTGTTCAAATGTCACTTTCCAGAGGACTCACTGATCACCTCATGTAAAAGGGCATTATTATCTATCTTCCCAATTTAGGAATAAGCTTCTGAGGGCAAAGGTTTTATTTTATTCGCTTCTGAATCTTCAGTGTCTTGAAGAGCATCTCACAGAGTCAAGCTCGATAGAAATTTGCTAAACCAACAAAATGGAGAATTTTGATAAAGTATTTCTTCTATTTTCTAGTTTGGGATGTTTATTTTCTAAAAACAAATGAAACTCTTCTATTTCCCTTTTATGATACCAGCTTTTAAGAAGTTTTTGATTTTCCTGATTGGGAAACTTTGCTAAATATAATTTGATTCTAATAAAACTCAAAGTGTTTTCCTTTTCTCTGCTTGAAAACAATAACTAAATTTTAAGAAGCATAATAGGCTCCTGCTACTCTCTAGGAAAATCTGAGATGGTTGGAAATCTAACACATCACTTTGTTATATTTATAATAATGTCTAGTAACTTTTTAAGAAAGATTTTATTTATTTATTCATGAGAGACACACACACACACACAGAGGCAGAGACACAGGCAGAGGGAGAAGCAGGCTTCCCTGTAGGGAGCCTGATGTGGCACTCGATCCCAGGACTCTGGGATCACAACCTGAACCAAAGGCAGACGCTCAACTGCTGAGCCACCCAGGTGCCTACTAGAGGCCTTTAAATGAGAACATCACAAGCTGCACTACTATGTGGCAGCAGGTTGGTGGCTATCCTCCTTGTCTAGCTACATAAATTTTTTCTTCACACATATACCTGGCTTTTGTTATTAGATTTTTGTCTTGAAAAATTACAAAATCCTATGTGTTATGGGTCTTCATGCTTGCTCAAGAATAGCTAACACCTTGAATGTTAAATCTGAGAGTGTCATTCATCTATTTCAAAATGAGCTTTGTGATTCTATTTAGAAGATTAAAATTTCATGGCTGAAAGCGTCCTTAAAGATCATCCAATCCTATACTTTAGAGATGAGGGAAATAGAACAGGGTAAGGAAGGGACAATGATTCCACTAGAGCAGATGGGCAGAGGTTGTAAATAGTTACACTGAGCCAAGGATATCCACATCTTATGCAAAGGTGCTAATTGTGTGTAAGTGAAGGTCTCTATCAGTGACACAAAATCAAAGATAATAATGCATAGACAACTTGTTATTCAATGCTCCACAGTATCTCACTACTCTTTTGTCTTAGACAATTCAAAAATAACCTTTAAAAACTGAGAAACATTAAAAGAAACAAGAATTCACAGATCATCCTCTACTAAGGACAATTTATACCCTTAATATAATTAAGAATACTGAGTTCTATTTTGTGTAACTCAGCCTGCACTCACTACCTCTCCAGATCTGAGGAAGGTTACTATTGAGCGCTGAAAGAAGTAATCTGAAGGATGCTGGAGGTCTGTCACATTGCCCATCGTATCCTTCTTTTAATCTCTTTGTATGTGGGAACCCCAAGTCAGTCAGCCACATAATGTGGTTGAAGGAATATTGATTATTTTTGTTGGGATGATTGGATGCAGGGCAGAGATAGCTCACTGACATCTGGGAGTCAGGAAATCTGCACTGCCATCCTTGTTCTATCACCAACAATCATTGTGACCTGAGCAAGTCTTCCCCAGTGTGGTTTACAGTTGTCCATCTCCAAACTGGGGGATTGGATGAGACGAGTCTTCATCTCCAGGAGGCTTCTTGTGATTTGAACTGTCCTGTCCATCTCCAGTATTCATTTACTTGGTGCACACATAACCTGCCTTAGTGCTGATTTCTGATTTCCTTACCGGGCTAAATTCTGTACTTCCGAAAGCTTCTCTATCTTCAAGGCTTTATGGGCGAGGGCAATGACACGGAAACCTTGTATTGTATAACTCCTCAGTTTCTGTGGAAAATCCTTTGGCACTGTCAGGTGAGAGGAAAGAGGTAAAGGTAAGGTCATGTTGAAGGCTGCCTAGCTCCTAAGCTAGACTCTGGGATCCCTACACTGTACCTTGTTTTAAAACTCCAAAAATACTTTGATAGAAAAACTATAGCTCCATCTAAAAGACACAAACAACTTCATCAGTGTGCTTTTATTATTCTGACAGAAATAAATGCCAGAGATGCACTGGCATCAACTGGGTGTCAAATCCACTAGCTGGGTTTAATAAGGACTGGCCTTAGGACTGTGTCTACATGGATAAAATGAGGAAAACAGCTGATCCTCTAGATCAGGAGTCAGCATACTACAGGCCAAATCTGGCCAATTGCGTGTTTTTGTAAATAAAGTTTTATTGAAATGCAGCCATGCCCATTTGTTTACCATCTATGACTGCTTTGGGGTCACAGTGGCAAGGTTGAGCACTTAAGACAGATATCATGGTGGCCTGTAAAACCTAAAATATTTTCTACCTGGCTCTTTGCAGAGAAGCTTGCCAATCCCTGCTTTAGATGATAGGTGATACAATGCCGACATTTGTGTATTTTGGCATAGTGGTCATAAGTAATATTAAAATATTTATAAAATCTTTATGGTTTGTAGAATGCCTATAAGGGTATTAAAAGGAAGCACAGCATAATGGAAGTATATAGTGGCTTAGGTAGCAAAACACCTGATTTTTAGTCTCTATTCTACTACCAACTTGATTTCTTGGGCTTATTAGGTCTGTCTTCCATACCTCAATAGAATGAGAAAGAGAAGAACTCTGTGTCCCCATTCCACTCAGACTTTCTGTAATTCTAAAATGTTCCAGGAGGTGGGGATCAAGGAAGCTCCTAGCTCTCTATTAAATACCGGGCGGAAATCACTGCAGTCATTATTAGCATATGTCAAAGATCTGAGGTAAGGACAATGAGAAGAATTGGAAGTGCTACCAGAAGGATGAGAGGTGAGAAGTGGCAGGCCCATATCCTTACAATAGAGCAGGAGCAATAGTCACCAGTTGAAATATCAAGAAGATACTCACTTGTATCTGTGAGGCTGAAAAAAAATTAAACAGGAAAATATAGGCCATCAGTCTGTGAAGGATAGAGTGATAGAGGTAATGGGAGTTCTGAGAACGATCAAAGTCAGAAAAAAAGGGGCCGATTCTAAGGTAAAAATGGCTCTAAGTAGAGGAAGAAGTTAAAGCAATCATTTGCCAAATCTAGAATTGTGTGCACAAGTTGATGGCTATCAGCAATCATAAGAAGAATATAGATGAAAATCAGGAGAAAAAGACCAATTTTATCTAAATGAACTCATTTGAATGCAACAATATTCTTACAAATCTGGGCTGCTGCTTAGAGGGTGCATATGTTTATAAGACTAAGAAACAATACAAATCAGCTCAAAATCTGGCCCTAAAAGATGAAATTGCTGTGAAAATGATCAATTACATTGCTCTAATACCGTCTAATTTAATCACTTTTTTTTCTAAAAGATTTATCTTGTCTATATTCTCTTTCCATTGCTCTGCATGCACAAGGCTTTTTAGGTGGTGCCAGCCCCCAGAGGTGACGGGTGGAGCGCCCCAGCTGCTGGATGAGTGCAGGGTCCAGACCTGTCCCATTGGTTCCCAGTGCATACTCTTCATTCTTGCCCTTCTGGGTGACCCTTACATAGCTTCCTGTTCTGGCTCCTGATGTTTGCTTCACATCTCCTTCCCGGAGACCCCATTGTGGTTCGACTTTTCTGGATGGACCAAAGTCAGATATTTACTCTCTGCCTTTCTACCTTGAAATTCCCACTTCCACCCTATCAGATCTACCGGGCCCATTTCTCACTCACTGAGAAATCAATCATGTCCACATTCATGGATTTAGACTTGTGTGCTTTGTATATTTGGGCTTCTAAAATATTTAAGCTCCTGAAAGAGAACAGGGTCAACTAAATTAGTACCTGTTTCAGACTTGCAGAACTTGGCCAGCATCTCCGGGGCACCCTTCACATAGACATGGAAGTGATCCTCCCCCGCCAGCTGAGCGACCACAGACATCCTCTGCAGGCTTGAGGAAAACGGAAACTGGCGCAAGATGGCTATGGCTTCTATAGGACTCTGCGAGAGCACCAAGAAAGGGGGGGCTTAAGGTGCTTGTGAGTGAGACTTACCAGGTGCATACCAAAAAACAGGGTTTGCTCTGCAACAAACCCAGCGAGATCATGAAGTGGTGTATGTCACAATATTGATATTTTTCTGCCCATCTCTAAGGCGATTCCTTTATCAGGTCATTCAGTCTGCAAAGCTATTCCCCATGGCTGCTTGGAGAAATCCTAATTATCTTCCAGGCAGAGTTCATAGGTCACTCTCTCTGTGGTGCTCCTCTCTCCCACCTCTGGACTCCTGCAGCTTTTTCTTCAGCCTTTATTATAGCACTTGGCACATTGTCTTGCACTTATTTGCACCTATATGGATTTTTCTACCTACCCATGTGATCCTCCCACACAGAGCCCAACATGTCTAGCTCTGAAATCACACTATCCTTTAGCACCTCCTAGTATAGTGATCTAACATACTTAGGCACTCCATGAGTGTTTGAATAAATTAAAGGACAGATTCATGAATAAATTAAAGGATAGATTCAGCAATGAAGGAATGAGCAAACCTATGGACACTGTTAGGGTAAGGCAAAATAATAGGAATTTAAAAATCTGTGAAAGTCAGGGGAGATTTACCAGTTTCAAGGAGAAAGAGCCATCTGATTTAAAAAAGCAAATCATACCCAACTGGCTTTTGGTCCTGGTTTTATTATGGTGTTTGAATCTAACATCCCAAATTTGCAGTAGTCTGCACTGCAATCTTCCATTATCTGTTTTAAAATGAAAACATCCATAAGATTCCTTAGAGAAAAATAATAAGGAAGAAATACCTCTCATTTGCATAGCACTCAGAGTCTCTTCAAAGCCCCTTTCACATATTTTCTCTTCTAGACCATTATCCGAATACCATCATTGTCAAATTTCTATTATGTGGATTTATATTAAAAACCTTATTGTAGAATGTCAAAAAGTCAGAAATATTGTGACTATAATTTAAATAGTAATTGGTGGAAGAAATGCTAGTAACAGGCCAATGGCTCTTCTTGAATGGTATCGTCTAGTAACTGGAGGTGAGTTTAAGTAGAGATCTACTCTCCAATATAGCTGAGCACATTAGCCCTCAGATGAGTTAGGATTGGGTCTTGAGATAAACATGGAATTATTTCTTATTCTATATCTATGTTACTATACCTAATTGGTTAGCTACAGAATCAGCAAGTTAGCTGCTAGCAAATTAGAAAGCATATCTGAAAATGGTTTGCATTCCTTGGATGTTACAACAGTATAAATTATATATCTGAGAAACCAATATTAACAGAAAACATGGGAAAGGCCATCAGATATGCAAATCAGAAAATAGGAGGCAACATTTGGCTTCTGCTCTTATCAGTTACTTGTTTATAACCTTGGGGACATTACTCCATTTCTCCAGATCTCAAATTTCTTCTGAAAAATATTCTAATATCACTTCTATCGCTAAAACCCTTAGAGTCTTCAAGGGCATTCCCCCCACCACCCCTTATGTTTCATGAAAGGCGACTAAAACCAAAGGATATTTAACTGGAGACTTTTTCACCCAGCTTTATTTTTTTTTTAAGATTTTATTTATTTATTCATAGAGATACAGAGAGAGAGAGAGAGAGAGAGAGAGGCAGAGACACAGGCAGATGGAGAAGCAGGCTCCGTGCAGGGGGCCTGATGTGGGGACTCGATCCCCGGTCTCCAGGATCATATCCTGGGCTGCAGGCAGCCCTAAACTGCTGGGCCACCTGGCTGCCCCTTCACCTAGCTTTAAACTCAGTGAATCATCTTGCACTTTCATGCTTTGTTTGGGGTGGATACCCCTGTTCTTAAAGACAGTCCTTACAGAGCTAATACAAGATTTATGTTCTTATGCAAGACCCCAACTTGTACATTATTTGTACAAATAGAAGAAACTCCACCCCCCACCCCCAATGGAGAAGAGGCACTGTCAGAACCAGGATCAAAGTCACATATAGTAATAATTACTCTAAGCAGCTCATCATTATGTCAACGTTAATGATGCTGGTAAGGACATTGTTTGTAATGATTATGCTGATTCCTCTCCATTAAGATGCAGGAAAGTGATTACTGCTTTGTCTTTATGTCAGAAATTTCTCCACAGCAAATGCTAGAATTTTCACTTACTGATATCAGAAATTTCCCTGTTTACAGGACTCCTCTTTCATTACTTTGGCTTCTAGAAAACTACAACTTTGCCACTATTCATCTTTAAATTAGCCTTTTTGTGAGATGTATTTCATGTCCCTGCAATCATTTGTTTTCCTCTCTTTACCATTCTGTTTAGATGTTGTCCTGCAGTTGATGTATCATTGTCAGTAGCTTTAAAACGTGTGTGTGTGTTTTTTTTTTTTGAGAGCAGAATAATGTAATGAATTAAATAGTTAGTGAATGAATGAGTGCCTCCCCCCACTTGTTGGGCACTTTATAATGCAAGCAGGCCCTGTAGGCTCATAGGTTCAATGCTTACCACAAGTCTGTATATGAGGTATCATTATCACAAATGCACATATGAGGTAATAGACTCAGAGTCCTGGTTCTGGATTTGGGGTCACACAGCTAGAAAGTGGTGGAGTCGAGAGGTCCGCCACCATGTCATGACAGCCACCAGGAATGTTTTATAGTCTTCAACTCTTCTAATATCACTAGGCACTCTTCATTCTCAACTCAGAAAACTAAACCAATTGGACTGGGGGACTTCAGTTTGGTGTCTAGACCTATACTGTCTAATACAGTAGCTATCAGCCACTTGTGGCCATTTACATTTAAATTAGTTAATGTGAACAAAATTGAAAATTTAGCTCGGTTGCATAGCCACAATTCAAGTAGTTGATAGCTACATGTGACTAATGGCTGTTATGCTGGATGGCACTGCCTTAGACTACTGTTTCTCTGAGGGTGTTACAGAGGTTACTTGTACCATGTTTTGGCCTGTCTAGGTTTTTTGGTCAAGTAGGTTTGGTAATTGCTACATACCATACTCCTTCTTAAATATTCACAGTGTATCACAGTATATAAAAAAAATCCTATAGGGACGCCTGGTGGCTCAGTGGTTGAGTGCCTCCCTTTGGCCCAGGGCTTGATCCTGGAGTCCTGGGATCGAGTCCTGCAATGAGCCTGCTTCTCCCTCTGCCTGTGTCTCTGCCTCTCTCTGTGTCTCTCATGAATAAATCAATAAAATCTTTAAAAAAAAGAAATCCTACAGTTAAATCAATTTTACTGTCTTAAAACAGCAGTTCTCAAAATTATTTGATCATGGAACCCTATTTCATGTTGCACTCATTGATAGAGTTTTTTGAAGCAGAGGTTGGGAAATTCAGGTAGAGTTAGGCATTCATCCACATAGTGTTATAAATCCCTGGGTTTCAACCAAAGTTAGAAAAAGTTTACCAGTCCCAGTAATGATTTCTTTAAGTTTTTCTCATTGAGTCAAACCAAAAAGCTGTTGCCTTACCCAGGCAGTGCCCTCAAACATTTTGAGGTCCAGTGGGTCTCCCTGGATGGTCCCATTGAGAAGGATCAGAGAGTGGCAACTGGCCATGGCAGCACACAGAGGGCTCCACGGCAAATCTTTGCCTGAGGCAAAGCTATGGACTTCCTGAAAACTGGCATAGAAGATGATTAATAAGTGAGGGTTTTTGACAAAATCATTTCACACATTCTGAAAGCTTACCAACATAGAGTTTCAATAATACTTAACCCTTATGTCCAAATCCTTCCAGAGCTCCTCATACCCTATATAATAAAGTTGGAGTGCTTGGATATAAGCACAGAGACCTCTGTCAGATTACTTGAAGCCAGCGTCTACGTAGTAGGTTGAAGGCTCTGACTGACACCTGCAAGCTCTGCAGAGTGGGCTCTAGAAACCACACCCCCTTGTAAGAAGTCTCTGGGCCAGTGTAGTAGTGGAGTTAGAAAGGAAGACTGCCTGCTGGTTTCTTATCCCTTCAAGTAGAAGCACACCTAGACTCTGAAATACTTCTCATGACTCCGCCCTTTGCCCTTTGCCCTATTCCCTGAAACCCCTAGCATGTATATCCAACATCTGAAGCCCATTTTCCTCTACGACAGTAGACTGACTGGGTTTACTTTCCTCTCCTCCCATCTTACAGCCAAATAGTAATTGTGTCCAGTTGTTTCTACACACTTAAAGCTTACTTAGGGGAAGGGAAGGAAAAGAGAGGTGAAAGCTGCAAACATTCTATTCCCTTTTCACTGATCTGGCCAATAGAGGACAACACAGTGCCTGTCTGGACAAAAGCCTGGCCTGGCCGTCTGAGCAACCAGGAGCTGAACCACCATGAGTAGGGTTGAACCCAAGTGTCTTCTGCAATGCCACACTGCCTGTCTGATGTTATCATGTTCCAGGATTGCGTTTGGTCCCATCACTGTTTCGGGGAGTCCCTGCATGAATCCTTCAATGACAGAGCTTCAATCACTGTTAGGAGTATCCAGAGTTTAAGAGCCAAGGCATCTGCGCTTGGATTGAGAAGGCATACCTCAGTCCTGCAGTGAAGGGAGCTAAGGCTCTTCTGTCTTTAGCTGCATTCTGGGGTTGTATCTCTGTGATCGCCTTCTCCCCTCCCATGGCCAGCTTTTAGCCCATATCTATAAAAATTCTAGCCACACATGCTTCAAGATTCTATCTCAGGTGGTATCTCTGTCAGGTGGTTCTCCTCATTCCATTCATTTTCAAAATTAATTTGTACCTTTTATCTACTATGTTATTCTAAAATTCAGGACTGTGTTATATCAAGCTATCACTACTCTTTCTTCTCGATTCTGATATGTGTGCCTTAATCATAGCCCTTTCCACAGCTCATATTGTACATAGAAGGTGGGTGGGTTTGTGCCCTTTTTTTCACATGAGATATGAGCTCCATGAGGTTGGGGATGGAGCTTTTCCTTTTTGGACACCCCCCACCCCCAGCTCACTAGTCCCCAGTGAGTCTTTGCAGTTTTTAATTAAGCAGGGTTCTTATTTCACTCCTTGCTCTTTTATTTTATTCATTCAGCTCCCTACTCATCCAGCTCATTTTATTTTTCATGTGGAGTTTGAAGGCCTACTTTCCCTGTCTGATTCTGAACTTAGAACTCATTTAATAAGTTAGAATAACTGGAAACTAGTTCTAGTAAATTATCATATATATTTTATGTGACATTCATCCCTCAGATGGATCTGAGTAATACCAAAGTAGCCACACAATCCCACATTCCATCTTTACCAAAGTGCCTACCAGTTGTCAGCAGTTGGGACCACCCCCCAGAGGTCCAGCCCATCTTCTGTAAGAGTGCCAGTCTGGAAGAAATTAGAATTAGTGTTAACATATTATTTAGTTCTTTTAATTACAGCATGATTTAAACAAAACAAGCTCCCAAGAAATTAAAGTAGATCTAGTTGTCCAAAGCCCTTGTTTGTAAGCATCAAACTTTAAATCAGAGAAGGGTACCTGAAGGAAAGATTCAGCAAGTGACAAATGATTCCCCAAAAGCCTATGTTGATAATTAAATGACTCTAGATACTAGTCATTACAATTAAATGCTAGTGTTTTGTTTTTGTATGTTTACTGTTGCACTTGCTGTTGTTAAATGAGAGGCGTTCAGTGAATGGAAATCCAATAAGAACCAGTGTGAATTTGACTTTTCAGTTGGCACCTGCAGTCTTTCTAAAACAGAGCTCAGAATTTTTCTTTCTTTTCAAGACTATTTATTTCATAGTCTGCCATCTGGTCCACAGCAATTTTCTAAAATATGGGTGACATGGTGACCATCCAGATTGATAATGAAATGTTGATAAAGGGCTTTGAGAATTTAGAAAGAAATGAAGTGCTAATAATAAATATTCATTAATGCCCATGAATGAGTTTTATTGTTAGATCAAGAGGAAAATGGTCGGGAGATTTGATTTGCTGTATTATAAGTATTTGTCACATAATGTAACAGAGAAAGCAACATGGAACTGAGTACTGTCACAGCACTTTGAATTTGCTCATTGCTTCAAGTACACCATTAATTACAGACTCCCATGTCTTTATGCAAGAAGTCAATGCCCCCAATAAGCACAAAGCCCTACTACTTCAGCACTGTCAAGGCTAAGCAGAGTATTACCAAGCGCTGGGGTGTATCTCTTTTCAATACTGACATCCAGCTCTCTGTCATCACTCTTCAAAGTCATTTCTGTATAAGACACTGAATTTTCTAGTTTTCTATCAGATGACATTTCTGTCATTACAGGACATTAAATCTGCATAATGCTTTACAATGAAGTGCTTCCATTGCTTCCAATTCTTATAACCGAGTAAATAGGGAAAGGAGCTTCTCAGGTTAGAGGTGAAATGAATAGCCTTGAGGTTCAGTGGCCTGTAGGTTGAAGAGAAAAAACCAGAATCCATCCTGTCTAGAGTCTCCCACCAGATGACAAATGTTAAATAAATTTTGCAAAGCATGCAGAAAGGCAAAACTCATACTCGACTTCCAATTAAAGAATGAAGGGATCTGTTTAATGAATTCATTTGGACTTCATAGAAAGCTAAGACGCATTGTGTGAGCTATTCCTTGAAGAACAATAGCAAAAATCTCTTTGTTTCATTTCTCTCCTGTATTTTATAAGGGTCTCAACCTGTGTGCTTAGATTTCAAATCCTCTTGACTTATTCCACTTTAGAAGAAGTTAGCAGCTTAATTCAAACTGAAATATTTTCCTGATGATCAGGTTATATTTTTAAGTATCAATATTTTGAACGTGAAAGCAGAACTGATACCACAACAAAACAGAAATAGGACTGTGCTATTTTCTCTATGTGAAAATGATCCTTATATAATAAAACTAGCCATGAACAGAAAGAAAACTAACTTACAGTTGCAGTTGTAAAAGGAAAAAGCAAATTTCTTAGCATAAATACTAGCCCAGGCTTGGGTTGAGCAGATAGAAAAGAGAGAATTTATTTTATAACAAACCAACATAAAGTAGAAATAGATGACAACAAACGGACTCAGAAGCCCAGTGGTGAATGTCTTCTAAATGGAAATAATAGTAGATGGGGCTTCAATTAATTGTGGGGTGCTTTATTCCAACACCGTATTGGTAGAGTTTTACAATATGAAAACTAGAAAGACACTTAGAGATCATTAGAGTTCAAACTTCTCTTAAAAGGTCACACAGAAACTTAGTGCCAAATCCAGGATTTGACTTCTCATTTTGCTAACTCCTAATCCAGAGTTCTTTGCACTATATGCTGTCGAGCCACTGGGGTTTGGCCATGTGTACAGTCCCTCAGTCGTTCTGGCGAAGGAACACATGAGGATGTGGAGGAAAAAGCTTTACAGGAGATGTAAAATACCACTCTCTGGAAAAATTAGCTTTAGAAACAGATGAATCTGTAATGAACATATTTTCTAAATCTCCCTCCTATATTATAGACACTAGTGAGGTTCCTGGGTAAGTATTGGAAATCTCTACCAGAAAACTTCCCAGGGGTGGTTCTCTGGCCCTAAAACTAAAAGGAAGTTACTGTTAATTTAACCCTAGTGGTTCCTGATGAGTGGGATTGAGGAAAGGAAATTTAACAAGAATATAATGGAAATAATCTTAGAGCTTTTCTACTTCCAGCTGGGGGCCAAGACTCATCAAGTCTACTCATGGTATCGCTCAAGCTGGTCCTCTAGTCTCCATTCTTGCCATCCTTGCCTAAGACAATGTCCCCAGATAGCTTCCCATCTCTGTCCTATCTCCATGAAATAAATCAATCACACCAGATGAAATAAATAAATCACACCTATGAAAATATAACCCATCTTCTTAAAAAAATGGTAGGGCTGTTCCCATTCTCTTTCACAAGGTTCCACACCTTAGCTTGGCACATCAGGCCCTGAGCAAATGGACTCCTCTCTCCAGCTACGCTGCCTACCACACAGCCCTCAGTCTAGCTGCATCCCCATACGTCATAGGCCCTGACGTCCCTGTGCTTCTGAACTGCTTGCCTCTGACCCCAGGGCCCATTCTGTCTAACAACCAAAGCCACAGCTCAAAGGTGATCTCCCATCCACAGCAGGTAACTTCACCTTGATGTTCTGTTCATAGCTTTTTAAGCATGCATTTCACTGCACTATCATTGTCTACACTTCCGTTTTACCTGCTTCCTCAGCTAAGTCATGTACAGAGCAAGGAATGTCTCATTTATGGGGCTCTTGGCCAATGCAGATTAGTAAAAAAAGTGCCAAAGGCCTTATCATTTATTCAAATGTGAATGAAGTGAAGACAGACCCACTGTGTTATAGCAGTTAGATTGGCCTGCCCAAGCAGAGGGTAGGATCTGAATAGCAGGTGGCTGAGGCTGAGGTCCCTCCATAGGAGAGGCACAGGAAGAGGTCTCAGGACCTGTACCAGAGGAGCAATCCTACCCATTTGGACATATTTCTCGCCTGCCACTTCCAGGACCCTAGGCACAGGGACATATTCTCTAGTCCAAAATTTTGGTAGCCTGGGGATCAAAGGCAAAAGGAAGGACCCAGTATATCAACACCAGCACCGTCCCCTTCCTCTCTTTCTTTAAAAGAAGCAGAAGAGCAGAAGGGAGTATGTTCCATTAAGCAGAGGAAAAATCACTTCTGGGGACAGAAATGTTTCTCACACCTTTTTTTTTTTTTTTTTTTTTTTGCCTGAAAAAGCCAGTCATAGAAGTTATTACAATAAGAGATTGTTTTAAAACCCAACACAAGCACAGAAATATTAAATTTCATAGGAAAGAAATTCACGACGTGATAGCTAAACCACTTCCTTAGAACTCAGTGGAGTGGGCTTCTAGAACAGGGTCTCACACTAGCTCACTGTGGGACCTTCTCTGGCCTCCGTGTTCCCAACCGTAAAAGGAGCACAGTGAGCCAGGCATTCTTGGGGGCTTTTTCCAGCTCTGCTGTGCCTTGAAATCATTTACCTCCAACCCGGAAAGTTTAGATCATACTTTGTCAAAGCACACGAGGTTTATTTGCCCGCACATATTGATTCTCTGCTGGGAGATACAGAAGATTTTCTTTTTCTTCAGCCTCTTTTGTGCATACACGATGCCTGTGGTCAGGGCAGCTGGCAGCACAGGAGGGACAGTTATGGTGAGGATGAGCAGGGCCATGGTTGTAGTATCTCTTGGAGAAACCTGGGGAGGGAGGGTCATACAGGTTAGCCCAGTAGAGCAGGCTGGCACCTTTTCTGGCACCATCTTCTGTAACACCACAGGAGTTCCAGAAGCTCAGACTATTCAAAGTGAGCCAATTCTCTTGGTGGAGCTGACAGTTCTCTTGGGTGTATCTAAGGAAAGGACAAGTTGTCTCCCACTGAGAACAAAGGAGACTCTGATCCCTACTCCATGTCCATCCTGCCCTTTCCTGACTCTGTTTCTGCTTACTTAGCATTCCCTCCGCCTAGAGCTCCGTCCCTCCTCTGCTCATCGTAACACATTCTTTGGACTCCCCAGGAACTGAGACCATTTTGGAGTTGTAATATTTTACACACTGGCTTGATAGTTGGGTTATAAATCTCCCCCAATAGCTTCCAAACTCCTTGGGTGCAGCAGCTGTGGCTTATACATCCTTGAAGTCATTTTCAAGTTCATCTCATTCATTTCAGATACAGAGCCTAGCACAGTTTCTAACACAGAGGAGGTCCCAGCACACGTATTAAATGAATGGTGACCTGATAAAAATGATGACCAAGATTCCGCTGAGATCTCAGCATGGATTATCCAATATAGGGAAATCAATAGTAAAAATAGCTTTTTCTCACTGCATATGTTCTGGGGCTATTGCGTTAGGCTACGTATGTTATTTAGTGACACCTCAGGACACCCTTACAATGTGAATACTGCTATTTTTTTCTATTTAATAGATAAGGAAACTGAGGCTTAAAAATTAAATAACTTCCTCAAGCCACATGCTTGCAAATTCAATGCTGAGGATCTGAACCCTGGTCTGTCCCACTCCAGGCTACAAATACATGACCAGTGTGTTATACTACCAAGTCGGTTCTCATGGAGTCAAGATCTCAGTCAGGTCTGCAGAAATTCATGTGACTAATAAGAATGGAGCCAAGATCAAATCACAGGGTGGCTTGTTTTATTTTTCAAATGTTCTAGATACTAATGGCTTTGCCCTAGATTTTTACGAAATCAACCATAATTTTAGCCATAAAGTTCTCTTTTGAGTCCTGGAAACACAGATTCAGGTTCAGTAACAATGCCTGCTAGGTACATCATTGGTTCAATCTCAGTTTATTACAAAATCCATCATTCCTTGCTTTTCCCAACGACAGCTAGAGTGTTAACTCTGAGGCCTCAGCCCTGTCAAATCTTGAGCCAGTACAGACAGAGGCAGCCAACAGGGCCACAGATTATGACCCACAAGAAGACCAGTTCTGTGATTAGGGTTGCTGCTTTGGGATGGAGAGGATGTACTTGATGCTGAGTTCTGCCCAGGAAACCTTCAGTCCCAATCACTGCAGGGGCTTCTTAGTCCACACAAGAGAGCTTTTTGCTTGTTTTCCTGCTCAATACTCCTGCATCCCAGATGAAACTGGCCTGGCACATTGCCTCAATGTGCTTTAACAGTTTGTGGAGCTTTTTTCAGGGTCCATTCTACTGGTGCCAATATACTCTGGCCTCCTTTGTCCTCACCTGACCTAGAAATGCTCCCTGGGGGCTTATCTCAGACTGAAATGACTACTCAGAGGGCAAATGTGAGCCTGAATATTGCCTGGAAATTCTTGTGACTGTTCATCAGTATTTGCCCCTCTCCACGATGTTTACCCTTCTCCCCAATAACACAAATATAGAATGCACTAAAGCCACCAATTTGGGCATTGTGATTAGGCCACCCATATCTAGTTTCATATCTATGCTTTCACACTTTTATTCACAATTTTTCTTCTTCCTTATGAGCCCACATTGCTAAGATCCTAATATGTCTTACAGAAGAGACCACATGGTCTACAACAGAATCCGACTTTCAGGACTAGAAAGGACCTCAGGGTCATTTGTGATGGGCGTCTCTCTCCAGCCAACACAACTATTAAGAGGGACATTCAAATGAAACCAGACACCATGAAGCTTAAAAGAAAGTGGAGATCCATGCTTCATACAATTCTGTAAAAATGCACATTTATAATTGTTTACTTTCATTTTTTTTAAAGACAGAATGTGAGTGGGTAGAAGGAAAGGGGAAGGGGCAGAGGGAGAGAGAGAATCTCAAGCCCTTAGTGTGGAGACTGACACAAGGCTTGATTTCATGATCCTGAGATCATGACCTGAGCTGAAACCAAGAGTCCGATGGTTAACCGACTGAGCCACCTACACGGCCCTGTAAAAGTGGACATTAAATTCCATTTCAGAACCTAACAGAACACAGAGCAACTCATTGCCTATGTGGTTTGTCAGGTATGCCTTGGACAATATACACACTCAAATATCTCAACATCTTCAAATAATCCAAATTTCTGGGCATGGCATTCAAGATCCCCTTCAATGTAACCTATTTCTACCTTGCTAGACTTAATGTCTCAGTTGCTTACTGGTTCCAAAAGACCCATCTGCATTTCTTCCTTTGTCCCTTACTCACTCTAATTAGTATGTCCTTTCTGTTCTCTGATCTAATTGACTAAATCCTCTCCATCCTATCAGACTTGAGAAACATGTATTTCCTCTGAAGCTGTTTGGGCTTGGGTATTACAAATGCCACACATGCAGTAACCTCTCATTCCCATCCAAGTGGTGAAATGAGCTATGAACTTTGCAGCTTTTCATAGCTGTGCCATCCAATACAATTTTCACTAACCACATATGGTTACTTAAATTGAAGTCAATCAAATAATCAAATTAGTTAAATTAAATTAATTGAAAATAATTAACATGAAGTAAAATTGAAAGTTGTTTTCTTTTTTTCTTTTTAAAGATTTTATTTATTCATGAGACACACACACACACACACACGGGGGGGGAGGGGCAGAGACACAGGCAGAGGAAGAAGCAGGCTACATACAGGACCCCGATGCGGGACTCGATCCCGGGACCCCAGGATCATGCCCTGAGCCAAAGGCAGATGCTCTACCACTGAGCCACCCAGGTGACCCGAAAGTTGTTTTCCTAAGTCACACTAGCCATAGTTCAAGCATTCAATAAGTACATATGGTTAAGGGCTACCAAATTGAACAGTGCAGGTATAAAGTATTTCCATCACCTAAGAAAGCTCCATTGGACAATGCTGATTCACAAAATGATGGGGCAAAAGGTAACCTTATCCAACCATTTTGAGTTAGGTCAAGTTCCTTGAGAAAGCTTTGCTATTAAAAATCTTACCCCCAATACTTACTCCATGGTACATATATACACCAAGGGCATAGAGGAAACCCACAGCTCCAAGGCAGGCCAGGAACACTATAAACTTGAAGGCATCATTGTATAGTTTGAAGTTCAGAGGCCGAGGATAGAGGATGGATCTCACCAAGTCCCCTTTGGCGGTATTGTAACCTACATGAAGATAATTGCAGGTGGAGTAAGGTCCTTTAATGCAGTTTTCCCCACACCCAAAATGGTTTACATCGAATTAAGGATTGGTTAATAATGTCATTTGAATATGGAATGAAAACACCATTGTTAACAGTACATTTAGATTTATTATTCTTACAAGTTTCCAGGAACAGTAAGTGGCATTCACTTAGCCCTGCTCAATTTCTCTTGCTTTGAGTCAGTGCTTCAGTGATTCACAAAGTGCAGGCAGCTTCTCACTCATACATGAGACTGGGGAAAAGAAGCCTAAGGAACCAACAGACGCAGTCACCAGAGAAGATGAGGTGCTGAGAGAAGACTTTAAAGCCCAAATATGTTTTGAAAATAATAGAAAATTAAGAGAAAAGGAAAGCATAAACAAGTAATTTCTTAAATATATGTGCCTTTCATCACATCATTCCTATGCTCAAAAGCCTTCCAGAGCCTCTATTTTTTATAATAAAGTTTAAATTCCTAGCCATGACTTTCCAAGTCCCATCAATCTGATGTACTTCTATTTTGCTAGACTTTTAGCTATGCACTGTTCTCAGAAGACTCCAGTGCATTCTTTCCTTTGAATTTTGCAGAAACAGATTAGTGTGTCTTTTCAGCTCTCTGATAGGATTGGTTAAATCTTTCCCATCCTATCAGGCTTGGCTCAAAATGACACCTCATCAAAGAAATGTTTCCAGAATTCTACTCCCATACTTCATATCAAAAATAATTTCTCCCCTTCTTTGGAGTCCCTCTAACATTTAATCACATGACGTCTATCACTGCTCTCTGTTTAGTTAGCTCTAAATCCATCTGTCTCCTGCACCAGACCACAATATTCTTTAAGGGCAAGGAGTATCTCACAATTTTTTTTTCCTTTAGTCCTCAGGGCATAGCACTTTATAGATACTCATAAATATCTAACTTATTGGTGAAAAAATGGACTACTAGATATACGCCACTATTGTTAAGTGTGAAACACGCCTTAATCCCACTGCTTGATGAACATCTGGTCTCCTCAAATATGGCTTTGTGGGCTTTACAGAAAAGGAAGCTGTCTCTAACCTATTTCCTCAGCATTTTATAAGCTCAAATCAGGTGGTTTCCATGATTTCCATTTATTCGCTACTGCTTATCAGCTGGCTGAGAGATGTTCTCATGCCCACTGACTACTTTGAAGCAAAATTTGATATTTTTAATTAAAAAAATCAAGTAGAACAATTGAATCATAGGCTAAGTAAAGCATAGAGATAACAAAGTGCAAGGTATGTTTTTGAACTTATGCATATATGGGCTGGTGAAACACAGGTCAGGGGTGAATATGGTGAGCTAGGACTGGCTCACAGAAGGTGTTGGCTGTATCATGTCATGTGAAAGATTAGGAGTAATATTAGTAGTTTTGAAACATTTTTGAGCATGGTGTGTGCATGAACTACTTCAAAATATGTTTTAGAAATATGACTTGTTGACAGATCAAGGGATAGGTAGAGCAAAGGAAAAGACAAAGTATTTCAGGCCAAAACTGAAAGGGAACAGTCAAAAAAATATTTCTGTTGTAATAGTTAGACAGGAGATGATGAAGGGCCTGGAAAAAACACCAACTGTGCGGAGGAAGGAGAGGGAGACAGGACTTGGGAGGTATTTGTAGAATTGACAGAATGTGGTGACCTACTTGGTGTGGGAGAAAGTGAGGAGTTAAAGGTGATGTGGAGACTGGCTAGATGGCAATACTGTCAACAGAAAGAGGAGGATGAGTCTTTTAGATGCTTTGACTTTGAAGTGTCTGTAGGGAACCCAAGTGGAGGTATCCAGCAGAGACCTCGAAATAATAACCCAGCAAGGAGCACTTTGAAAGGAAAAAATCCTCGAGCAATAATGGCTGGAAGTGTTTTCTTGGTAATCACTTAGAGTGGATGTAGAGGGAAAAGAAAAGAAGCTTGTGAACATAAAAAAAACAAAACCAAACAAACAAAAACTCACAAGAACATAGTCTTGCCTTTGAGGAAATGTACTTCATCTCTGTACATGCTTCATCTAGGTAAGGTTTTTGTTTGTTTTTTTAGACAAGTTTTTTTTTTTTTTTTGTAAATTTATTTTGTATTGGTGTTCAATTTGCCAACATATAGCATAACACCCAGTGCTCATCCCGTCAAGTGCCCCCCTCAGTACCCGTCACCCAGTCGCCCCCACCCGCCGTCCACCTCCCTTGCCCCCACCCCTAGTTCGTTTCCCAGAGTTAGGAGTCTCTCATGTTCTATCTCCCTCCTTGATATTTCCCACTCATTTTTTCTCCTTTCCTCTTTATTCCCTTTCACTATTTTTCATATTCTCCAAATGAATGAGACCATATAATGTTTGCCCTTCTCCGATTGACTTATTTCACTCAGCATAATACCCTCCAGTTCCATCCACGTCAAAGCAAATGGTGGTATTTGTCATTTCTAATGGCTGAGGAATATTCCATTGTATACCTAGACCACAGCTTCTTTATCCATTCATCTTTCGATGGACACCGAGGCTCCTTCCACAGTTTAGCTATTGTGGACATTGCTGCTATAAACATCAGGGTGCCGGTGTCCTGGCGTTTCATTGCCTCTGTATCTTTGGGGTAAATCCCCAGCAGTGCAATTGCTAGGTCGTAGGGAAGATCTATTTTAATAACAAACCATTCAGTTGAAAATGGTGACAACTTAGAACAATAAGGATCTGACTGGAAATGAGTATGGCTGTTATTATCAGAATATGGCAAAGTCCGCATTCCTAAAGACAATTTTCCCAATCCAACTCCCTTACCTCTAAAATGGACTAAATTTACAAAAGTGAAATCTACCAACCTGTTTGCAAGACAACTGCTCTCACTGGCCCCTGCCCAGATGGCTTGACCTGGATAACTTCTGTCCCACAGAAAAGGACATGTTTCCGATAATCCTCCGAGCTGTGGGATTTCCAGGCCATGGTGTTCTCCAAATGAGGCAATGGTGTCTTTGTGACCGGTATACTTTCTCCTAAAAAAGATTATCTTTTGTTGATTCTGTGTGACCTGTGACCTCAGATAGTCGTTCAGAGCCGATACTTTCTAATTTCAAGAAAGTATACAAACCACAGTTATTCAGGTCTTACTTACTACATACACCCTGAGTCAGATGATTCCTTAAAGGATGCTAGTGATGCAAGCAGTGGCATACTTGGTTATATTTAAAATATTCACTTAAGGCCCACCTATATTTTCCATATTTCCATCTGCATGGTTTGCTGCTATATTTTGAAAAACAGGCCATTTTAGCAAAGAGAGTTGCTACTTAATTGTCCCCTTAAGTGTTCTTTAAGCCCAGATCTATGCTAGGCAATGAAGGAGCTGTAAAGCACTTGTATAGCTATTATTATTTGCCAGTAATTTACTTGTTTATCGGGATCCCTGGGTGGCGCAGCGGTTTGGAGCCTGCCTTTGGCCCAGGGCGCGATCCTGGAGACCCGGGATCAAATCCCACATCGGGCTCCCGGTGCATGGAGCCTGCTTCTCCCTCTGCCTGTGTCTCTGCCTCTCTCTCTCTCTCTCTCTCTCTGTGACTTTCATAAATAAATTAAAAAAATTTACTTGTTTATCTGTCCATTCAACAAATATTTTTAAGTGCTGATTTGTGCCAGGCACTGCTCTAGGTGCTGAGAATATAATAATGAACAAGACAGATAGAAATCCTGCCCTCAGAGACCCAAGGAGCCAAGCCACTAAACAGTAGTAAATAATTAATAAAAATACAGTAAGGTAAATATTTTGGTAGTAGCACCAGGTAATCTAAAGATCTAGCCCAGGGTTCCAGGAAAGAGGTCCTGGACAATTAATAAATGACAACTCAAAAGGAAATGAAGCCAACTAGATCAAAGAGAAGAAGAAAGTGTTCTTGGAGAAAGTGAGAGCAAGAGCATGCTATGCTCTGGGCACCAAAGATGGTTGAGGGTGTTTGGGACATTGAGCATGAGGGTAGAGGTAAGGTGTCCTGGAAGTACAGAGATGAATGAAAAATTATGCCATCATAAAATCTATAAAATATTCTTCATGATCTTTTTGGAGCTTGTAGTGAAAGACAGAAACCAATACAGCAAGACAGTACATCTCTTTTTTCTTTCTAGTTCTATTCTCATTAATTAATGCTTACAAATAGTTAGATCAATAACATGTATCTTCATCTTTACTCTCTCTTGTGTTCTTGTTTTATATTTCTCAATGATGGGCTATTCATCCCAACCTGGATATCCCACTAGCATCCTCAAGTCACCGTATCTACAATCCATATTAATATATTCATCACTAAGTGTCCTCTTGGCTTTTTATGGTTACCACCCTTTTGCTGAATGACAGGTTTATAGTCTCAGAATCACCTTTGATTCCTCCTCTTCCCATACTCTGCCCTCTCATGGACTGATTTTCTAACTCTACTGCTTTTTTCCGTGCGATTGAGTCTCACTGACTCATTCTTTGGACTCTTGAATTTGGGTCCCAAAGGCTTCATTGGCAATTGCTGACTCATGGTGGTTGCCTTATCAATGGATTACCTGTAATTGCTTAGCTCCGTGACATGAAATACATTTTAATAATAATAATTTGAGACGATGGTAGAACTGATACCTCTTTTTTTTATGAATAAGTATCTCAGTCAAATCTTCCTGTCCTCCCAAGTTGGGAAAAACCTTCAGTCCTCCTATGTGTCTCCTTTGCTATGACACTACTACCACATACACTACTGATCCCCAGATGGGGGGTAGGTTTCTCTACAACAAGCAATTCTGTGATACTGGCTGGTTGTCCTACAATTTAACTCAATTTTCCCTTTTTTAAAAAAGATTTTATTTATTTAATCATGAGAGATACACAGAGAGAGAGGCAGAGGCACGGGCAGAGAGGGAAGCAGGCTCCATGCAGGGAGCCCGATGTGGGACTCGATCCCGGGTCCCCAGGATCACACCCTGGGCTGCAGGCGGCGCTAAACCGCTGAGCCACCCAGGCTGCCCAATTCAATTCAATTCTTGCAGTATGTACCTAGCATCAGGTCCCACAGGTTAAGGACTCAGTCCCACAAGACTGCTTGCACTCTACCTCAGATGCTAATTGTAAATCCAAATTGTCACCTGTGCTTTTGACTAATAAATCTGAAGTTTCCACAACCCCCTTCTGGGGTTCAATTAATTTGCTAGAGTGGCTCACAGAACTCAGGGAAATACTTAAATTTACTAATTTGTTAAAGGATATGATAAAGGATAGCCAGATGAATAACCAGATGAAGAGACATATAGGATGAGGTTTGGAAGGGTCCCGAAGGCAAACTCTCTCACTAGATTTTCAAAGCCACCACAAACTGAGCATCCCTGGCTCTTTTTCCTACACACTCCAGCTAAATGAGGCCACTTGCATATCCTATTATTGACTGCCAGTCTTTGCCAGTACCATTCCTCTACTTTTCCTTATGGCAGGAAGAGAGATTATTTAAGATAACAAAGAAAATTAGCTCAGAGTTCAAAAGGATACATTTCAGAGACAAAATAAAAATGCTAATAATACTTCCTGGATCCCGTATTTAAAAAGCACTAGAATGAATTTAAAATCCCATCAGTCTTTTGCTAAATGTTCAATTAGCAAAATAACATGTCATATTTCTAATTTGGAATCATATTGATTATAGTTACACAAATTAAATTTCTATCTCTCCTTCTAGGTAATAATTGAGGGCGAGGACTTTGACATGCATAACTTTTTATACTGCTCATTTTCCTTGCTGGCATGTAATAGGTTCAAAAGATGTATTTTTGCTGAATACCTGGGTGAATTGAATAAAAACAATTACCCACGTTTTTCTATGATTGGTTTTTCAAAGCTTGTTTTCTACATGGTCCATTTTTTACGTCCTAAGGTACAAGAAGCTGTTCAATTTTTATTAGTGATCTTGAATATTCTCAGGAAATTCCTTTACCCAAGCACTCTCCCCAATTCATTCTCTTTAAAACAATCATGATATTTATCCTTTGTCTGGATTTATCAGTTGTGTTCTAAGTGGCTTTGGAAAAGGGATGGAACCTTTCTGACAAATCTCCAAATTGTTGTATTCCCATTGTTTTTGAAATCAGCCTTTGAAAAGCAGATACTTAGAGATAAGTTCTAATGTTTTTCTGCCTTTGAATCATAGAATATTAATCCACAATATATTCTTAGACTAATATTAGTGAAGAGCTTCTGCACACACAACCAACAGTATTGGTGGCAGGCAGGCATTCAATCAACCAGAGATGGAAGTCATTTGGAGATAATGTTCCAATGATAACATTCAAATTGGATATGATTTTACACAGAAACGACTTTCAAGTCTCTTTGATGCTATTCACATATTAATAAGGAGTCTCCTGCTTGGCCTTTCGTGGGATTCCAAGAATATTTTAGAAGGCCATAGAGTATTTTAGAAGGAAGAACACTCATCACCAACTTCAGTGGGCTTCTGAGACCTGAAGTCCTGGCTGCTGTGAAGTGCAGTCCTCTCCCTAGTCCCCAGTGAGAAGGTGCCTCCTCATGGGAGCAGTGTTTGAAATGCCACGTCCTTGTTCACTTATATTTCTGGGACCATTCAACTGTAGGCTGTTCAAGAGTAGCAGCCATTTCTCATTTGCCTTGTGACTCCAGGACACAACACAGTGCCTGGCACAGAGTAGGTATTTCTGAACTTGATTGAATAAATGGATGGACAAATGAAAGAAAGGGAGAAGTGAGAGGAGGAAAGGAAAAAGGAAGAGAGGGCAGCCCGGGTGGCTCAGCAGTTTAGCTCTGCCTTTGGCCCAGGGTGTGATCCTGGAGACCCGGGATCGAGTCCTGTGTCAGGCTCCCTGCATGGAGCCTGCTTCTCCCTCTGTCTGTGTCTCTGCCCGCACCGACCCCCCCCCCCCCGGGTCTCTCATGAATAAATAAATAAAATCTTAAAAGAAAGAAAAGAAAAAGAAAGAGAGAAAAGATCTGACCTAAAGATCTGACCTAGCAACTCATTATAAGATTGTCTGATAGGATATAAATGTGAAACCACCACTTCAGGGAATTCCTGTGTGTCCAACTTGGATTCTCTACGTACTTCCCACACACATATTTCAAATACATCAGTAATTCTAATGAGTAGAAGGAGAAGGAGGGGATTTCGGTGGAGTGAATACTACTGCTCTCCCCCATAATTATCCCAAACAGAATGAGGAAGCAGTAGTCTCAGGCCTAGGCTCTCAGGTCAAAAGTCCTGGATTTGAGTGTTTTGCCTTCTTAGAATTTATAACTGTTGGAAATTTATGTCATTTATCTATTCTCATATTTTCTTTTTTTTAAAGATTTTATTTATTCGTGAGAGACAGAGAGAGAGAGAGACAGAGAGAGAAACGAGAGAGAGGCAGAGACACAGGCAGAGGGAGAAGCAGGCTCCATGCAGGGAGCCTGACGTGGGACTCGATCCCGGGACTTCAGGATCAGGCCCTGGGCTGAAGGCAGGTGCTAAACCGCTGAGCCACTGGGCTGCCCTTTCATGTTTTCTTTCTCCCCACTAGACTGTCACCTCCATGAGGGCAGAATCTTATCTGTGCTATTCGTTGCTGTATCCCCCGCACCTACTAGAGTGTTCCATAAATAGGAGTTAAAACACATTTGTGGCATGAATGAATGAAAAAAATTAAATGAACCCAAACAGCAACTCTACCACTTTTAAGCTCTGTGACTTTAGGAAAATGACTTATCCTCTCGTAGACTGAACAAAATAATATATGTAACATATTAGCACAATACCTAATACATATAGGAATTAAGAAGAATGAGCTAATGTGCCAAGAGAAAATTTCAAAATATTAACAGAATTTCCCCCACAATATTTATTCCCTTTTGCCTTTTGACCACTTTATGAGGAGCATAATGAAGGGGCCCATTGCCTCCAGAGACAGAAAGGAGAGAGGAGTGGACAACTGGCTTTTAGGTTTCTGAAGTCATTCATAAGTTCGACAGTGAATTTTAGAGACCACCTGAGAATAAAAACAGAGCTTTGCTGTTTAATATCTATGCCTTCCCTCTACTACTTTTCTAGCTAAATAAAAATCCCTGGATTGGAGGTTGTAAGAAAATCCAAAGGAAAATTAGATATTGTGTGTCCCTCAGAGAAGGTTTTGCAGGGGGACAGGCCTGGGACATTTCCCAAGCCCAGAGTGGAGTGGGGAGCCTCAGACAGAAGAGCTGCCCTAGACAAGACCCATCTCAAAACCTTGCACAACCTCAAGTAGTCAGACTTGGGTCAGGGGACCTGCCAACTGGTGGGGATAACTGTCTGACTTATGCCACTGTTTACTCTCAAGGATGATAAGATTTGAAGCAAAAATAAATATGAAATGTAGTTATAAAATTAAATTTCTTTCATAATTGAGCTCATGGCAATAGGATGAGGCTAAGGAGATAAGGAGAAGGAAGATCCTTATTACATTGTAATGGGCATGTGCTATGGGTGAGACCACCCAGTAGAGAAAAAAAAGGTGATGAGGCACAAGAAATGACAGTTTTATGCCCCTGAGAATCCTCTTCCTCCTCACTCCTGTGGTCCCTCTTATCTAGAAGCAAATGCCACTCTGACCCTGATATTTGCTAGCTGAACAATCTATTTTTTTTTCATCTGGGTTTCCTTATCTGGAAATCGAGTATTATCATAGCTCCTAATTTGTTTTATATTATGACAGAGTGAAATAGAAAAGTTTTTTTAATAAAATGTAAATTACTATAGAGCCACTAGGAGTATGTGCTATTTTTCTTCCAAATAAAGACATAAATAAAAACTTCTATATATGCAAAGATCTGGTTTGCACATGAAAACAAAAACAAAAACAAAACCCGAGTCACATTCGCGGACAAATGCTTTAGGAAAACATATATGGTTCCAAGAATCTAAGCTTAACATGACTGTTCAATCAGGATCCTTTTTAAAAATGCATCCACGAGTGGGCAGATCTACGTAGACTGCGTAATAATGTATTTAGAGCATGATGGTACTTATATATTTCCGAAGAAAATAATGAGAAAGAAATATGTGTATTTCTGTTTTATGTGTCTGTCTCTAAAATCGACATTTATCAGTACTTAGGTAACATAGACATTAATGCTGGTGACCTTGTTTTTCCAGAAACAGACTTAAGAAAAGCCACTTACTTCTTAAGATCATTTTAGGTCAGTTTTGCATATGGTTGAAAGGCAGCATTGTTTACCATCTCTACTTTTCTGGAACTCTCTAGGGTTCCTTAGAATCAAGACAAGAACTGTGCACCCAAGTTAGTAGACCCAGGATAGTAAACATTGGGATCGGTCCTCCCCTTTTTGTTCACTGTCATGTTCCATTGCCAATGAGAGAAGCCATTCTTCATGGACAGGCTGCTGGGAAATGTGAGACAGTTGCTGTCTTTGAGGGAGGAGGACAGTTTTTCTTGGGCTTGAGGTTGGTGCATCGGGTACTATGGCAACATTCTGAATGAAAGACATGATCAGTATGCAAACCCTCATCACTATCATTATAAGGCAGTTAGATTTCAACACACTAAAGGGGTATTTTGTAATTATGCTGAGCATATTTATGTTTACTACATTTTCCTATCTCAATTTTAAATTAAGCAGACCCATTTTTAATGTGAAATCTGCTTGTGTTGAACAATTTAGGAATCAATAATGATTCTCTTTACATTTAAGTGATATTAAAAAGTGTGCGTGAGCGTGCGCACGTGTGTGCGTTTTTCTGTCTTTAGCAACTTGGAAGCAGAAAAATAGAACAGTTTGTAGGCACTGAAAGAAGACAAATGCTTTCTATTTTTGTGTTATTGTATAGTTTCTCCTTCTCTCATTATAACATGCTGCGTATTTTTGGGTTTTTTTGACTAAAAGATATTTTATACATAATGCCTTGAGAATCACATAAATCCAAGTGAACTTTACGAAGTACAAATGAGAATGACAGTTCAAATCATTACAAGAAAAGTGGCTTTCTCCTTAGTAAAATCAACTGGAAACCCAGTTCTAAAGAACAGAATTGTTATATGGCCTTTCCTTGAAGGGGCTTCCTTGAAACTGGGGCTTGGGTTTCTATCAACAGAGAGCAGGGTTCGATAGAATTTCTGCACCACACCAATTGTGAGAGATGGTCATTTCTGGTTGTGTTGTGTTTGGACAGGAATGGAAAGCATGCTCACGTTTATGAAGACATTGTTCATTAAGCAGCCTAATGCACTCACCCTCCTCTGGACCAAACCACCCTATTCACCCCACCCATCAGGAAATGAACCAACCACATGTATTAGACTTTTCTTCTATTTATACATTTTTTTATTTGTTGTATTTGATTTTTAAATTATTAAATGTTTCCTGTTTGCCTATATGGAGTTTCCATCTGCTTGAATAGCCTGGTTGTGTCTCCCTCACCTATCTGTCCATATTTTAATATCAGGCTGGTATAAAGGAAGCAAGGATATGTTGATCTACTTTGCTAATTCTCAGCCTAGATACTGGACAGGAAAAAAGAAACTCATGATAATGGCTTACCTGTTAGCATGCCTTCATTCACCACACAGCTTCCATCAATCAGAATAGCATCACATGGCAAAGAAAATTTTCCTGGAAGAATAATAGTATCTCCAGGAACCAAGAGACGGGATTCCAGTTCCTGCAAACCTACACAACAGCAAAGTTTCCATGACTGGGTGATCTTTTCCACTTTTTACTGAAGAACGCAAGTGGCTGAGAACTCTTAACCAACTGTTGACCAAGGACTACCCTACATGGACACTTGCTTCAGCTCCTTCCAACTCATTTGCAAAATCATAGAAAACAGGATTAGAGATTTGATTCCAGAGACATAGCAAAAGATTAGCTGGGCAACACGATCCCATCTAGATCCTAGTACTTAGGACTGTGCTCTGCCCACAGGAGATAATCCCGAGTACTGGTCATTTGAAAGATGCCTCTTTACTGCCTCCTACTTACTGGGGCTGGGCTCCTGACCCCCTGTGGCACACTCTGTCTTTGGATTGGGGCCTAATGTAAACCATTCAGCTTCTGCGGCCCTGGGGTGCAGTGCCTCACTCCTTGCAGACAACCAAGACCACCCTACCCCAGGCTGAGTCCAGAGCAAATGCCCAATGTCCAGCCAGCCATTTACAAACGTTATTCAGGCCTGGATTCTGGATGACAGATTGAAATGTCATGATTCAGGGGCTATTTGGGATGGTTAATAGGGGAAATCAAAAGCCACAAGAAGGCTTACCCAGTAACATTCAAATGAGTGAAATACGGAAGGCAGAGGGACCTGGAAGCCACCCAGACACTGAATGGAAATGGTTCAATCAGGACGAGGACACAAGGTACCCAGGGTACAAAATTCAGTGAGGTGCTCACCTTCTGGGTCCTGCAAAAGCAGGTGAACATTTGCATGATCTTTCCTCCTTAAGGTTTGCATCTTAGAAGCCTTATTTGCCTCCTTTATCCCCAGTCCTCAGGTTAATCAGAGAAGACTTCTCAACTAACAATCAATAACAAAGGAGACTGACTCCACCCAGAAATATTAGGATGCAGAACACATCACTTACCTTTGCCTTTTACCATGACTGTAACCTGGACTTTGTTGTGATCCTCCACGAGGTTGTGCAGCTTAACTGATTGCTGCCAATGCAAAACCAACTTTTAAGTATCAGATCGTCTGTAACTCGAAAACCATATGATCTCAATGCGGTAAATACCAAGCCTGCCATCACAGCCAAACCGACAGCAGGCAAAGACTCAGGTTCTACTTTTGCTGCTTCTGAGTCCTTGCCCCGACCCCTACCCTAGCCACCCCCTGGCCTGTAGCAACAAATATGCTATGATTTCAGGTGCAGGGAATGTGATGCACAATCATTGTCCCCAAGGACCAACTCCCAGGCCCTGAGGCCCTGCTTCCAGAAGGCACATGATGAATCAGGGGAAAAGTAACAAGAAGACCATGATCAGGTGACTTTCCCTATTGGTACCTGTTTCCCTGTCTATAAGACAACAAAGTTGAATTTGATCTTTCCATTGCAAGAGCCTGTGAATATTTGGGTTGTGTTTTGGTTTTAGGAACAGCCATACCCTCCCTTATGAACTGGTGGATTTTCACCTTGGATAAGTCTGCAGACTGGAGCCTTGCTGCTTTGTTTGGAACCCTGGTGCTTCCACTAAGGCATTACTCAACCTGTTTATCTCCCTTTTCCTCATCTGAAAGTGGAGATAATAGCAGTATCTGTTTCAGGTGGCTTTTAAAATTAAGTTAATGTGGGGTGCCTGGGTGGCTCAGTGGTTTAGTCTGCCTCCAGCTCAGGTCGTGACCCTGGGGTCCTGGGACCTAGTCCCTCATTGGGCTCCCTATGGGGAGCCTGCTTCCCCCTCTGCCTATGTCTCTGCCTCTCTCTGTGAGTCTCTCATGAATAAATAAATAAAATATTTAAAAAATATATATATATAGTTAATGCTTGTCCTAGTTATCCCTTTGGATAGTACTCATTACCATGGTAAGAGATCAAAACTGTTAATGATTAATAAGAAAGTTGTTGCTGGAAAAACAATTGTCTAAGTGCATCCACTGGGAGGACTCACTTGGAGTAGAATTCATTGAGATGTGACCCTGTGCAAAGTGGAGGAGATGGAAGCAGCCTGAAGAAGAGGAGGCAAGTCTCCTGGGATAACAACTCAGGAGACAAAAAGGCAGAGATGAGAGGACACATGGTCCACACAGTTCCCTACATGAACTGTAGGGGCGCCATCAACTGGGCATTCCTGGAAGGCATGGGCCCCCCTCCACAGGGATGTCAGTTACCTGGATACTCCCAAGTAGAAGAGATCTGAAAACTGTCAGCAGTACTTAAACAGTACTGCCTCACCTCACTCAAGTATAAAACTTTTCCTTTTAGATGTTAGGGTGAATTATTTTTATCTGTCCAATTGATGAGTTTTAGCCAATGTCAGCAGACTAAGACAAGCATTACACACAATTATACAACTTTCCTCTTGGGAAATAATAATAAATTCTGTGTTTTTATTTATACAGAACAATGTATTATTTCCTTCAGTTTTTTAATGAAAAGCTACATTTCAAACATTTGACCAATTGAGTGAAAGAGTTGTATGACTGTTAGGTACATATTCAGTGCTCTAACTTGACTTCCTGAGGGTTGCCTATTGGGGCATCCATTTTAATGATGGAGAAGACTGAGAAAGTCAGTCATGGTTCCATGATAAGAAAAGTGGATTCAGTCAGGATTCCCAAGTTGTGGGTCAGATTTACCCACTAACCAGCCATGTACTCATATATAAGAAATTTCCTTTTATAAGTTAGTTTTTTCCTCTCAAGAAACAAATGGCATTGAATTGAATCATTTTCAAGTACCTTCCAAAACTCAGTATGTCTGATATTTTACATATCAGAGATTTATCCAAAGCCCAAAAGACTTCATAGAAGAAATACCCAACATTTATAATGGCTCACATTATTATTATTTTTAAACAGTTTATTTATTTTTCTTTTTTTAAAGATTATTTATTTATTTATTCATGAAAGACACACACACACACAGAGAGAGAGAGAGAGAGAGAGAGAGAGAGAGAGGAAGAGAAGCAGGCTCCCTCCTGGGAGCCTGTTGTGGGACTTGATCCCTGGTCTCCAGGATCACTCCCTGAGCCGAAGGCAGGTGCTAAACTGCTGAGCCACCCAGGGATCCCCTTTTAAACAGTTTAGAAGATTAAGGAACTACTCTGTGCCAGGCACTGTTGGAAGCACTTGGAATATATTGCTTGATATATTTATTTATTTTTTACTCATCTAAATAATCCTACAATGAAAACGTTGTCTCCAATACACAAATAACAAAATAAAACTCAAAACTAAACACAAGACAAAATAGGGGCTTAAAATGTTAAAATAACTTGCCTACAATTATTTACTTACTAAGTATTAAGATTGACAATGAAACCCACATTCATCCGACTCTAAAGCCTTTTCTGTTGATGAATACGTTCTCCTAAAGTGCTTGAAAATAGCTTTTTTCCTTTAAGAGGATAAATAACTTTCCTCATAAATTTCTTTAAGTTACTTTCTTGCTTAGCAAACTCTTTTAGTCAATGCCATAATAACTTCAACCTAGCTTAAGAGGATGATAATCCACACATTTGGAAGTGGTGAAGTATGAGTTCATAATGATTGACTGTAACTCTCAAAACTCATTATAGCATCAAGCTGGATTTATTCATCAGTCTCAGCAGTCTGTGAAACCTGCAATGCTTCCACGCCTTTGCTTAAGCTTATACCAAGATTCACCCTGGTTTTCTTCTAGCAAATTCTTTCAAATCCTTCACATAAAGCCCTGCTCAAATGTCACCTCCACTCTATAAGTCACTAACATTCCCAGAAAGAATTAATTGTTCTGCTCTCTGTGTTTCCACCTGCATTAGTGAACTGATCACATTCCATTACAGCTGTTTTCTTGTCAGGTCTCCCCTGTGAAGCCGACAGATCAAAGAAGAGCCAAGCACTCATCTAGGTACCCCTGGAGTCTTTCACATAGTAGGCCCTCAGCAAACATTTATTTAATATAACTGAATTATTTTACTTCTCTTAACAGCACTGGAGAAGGATAATGTAAGCATCTTCTTTGAGCTAATGTACCAGGAAACTCCACTAACACAGGTTTCCATGACAACCAACCAGTTAGGAGAAAGCAAGTCACTGTGCTGCTTGCCGTGATTTGGAAGCTCCATGCCTGATTTTCATTAAGCGCCCTATGGTTTCTCCAGGCCCTGGTTAGTGGGACCAGGATCAGTTTCCAAGACTAATTTGCATCTTGTTATTATTCCGCATCTGTTGCTGTGTGTCCTTGTGCTTGCTGTGGCTGGATTTCCTCCAGAGATGAGTGGTAAGGGCATTAACTCAGGTATCTTTTGAGCCCAGCTCGGTCATGACTGAAGGCAACTCACTGTGGGTCAGACACTGCTATTTCTAGCAGCTCCCTGCAGTGCCAGCAATGGAGTGGGCGCTTGGGCTCAGCTCGGGGTAAATACCTTTGAATGCCAACTCAACTTGCACTCACACCTGCACCAAACTTGTTACAAAGGGGCTGCCATGGGGTGTTTCTTGGCTTAGGCAAAGTTATTCTCTCTTTGTGGCATGATTCACATGATTCAGGGCTAGAGTAGATGCATGAAGATAATATATGCCCCTCCTGCCAACCCTCCCCTCTTGCAGTTTTCAAAAGCTGGTATTTGTTTAGCCTGATTTGGAGATGGCAGGAGATGCTCCTTCCATTCCTGGCAACCCCCTTCCTCAATCTCTTTGTAATAAAATGATCAAACAATCATTTTTCCCTGCAAGGAGACTCATAAGTCGCTTTGAAATTTTGCTCCATGGATCAGTGTGAAGTACTTGACTTGGAGTCAGGAAACCGAGGGCCATGATCTGTAAACACTGTTATGTCACAGGCCTGAGCAAGTCACTTCACCTCCCTGATAGTTCCTGTCCCCTCCCTTTGAGGCGGTGAGAGGATACAACACTTACAAGTGTATCATTTTAGAGTTTGCTGTGCCCCACACAAGCACATCTGTCACGGATGTGGGAGCCCATTGCAAATTCTAAAGGCTAAAGAAATATTGGTTGTTGAGGATTTGTGATTTAAACTGCAAAGATATAGTTTCAGGAAACTGGCTTATTTTGTAGAGTGTTACAAGATGCCTTACAGGGTGGGTCAGATAAGCTTTTGTTAACAATTATGAATTGCTAATGGGATTAGTATCTCCTTGTTAAATAAATCTTTCCCAATACTGTCATCAAGTGAGGTTCCCAGGTCAGTAACTATTTTAACCAAAGGCATTTTGTTAAGATGAAGAACTTGAATGTTCAAGATTCTCTAAGGATTTTAAAATGAATAGTAAGAAAATTACAAGTAGAAAGAACAGAGCATACTTACTTTTGGAAGAGGAGAGCTTTTTTTTTTTTAATTTATTTTTTTATTGGAGTTCAATTTGTCAACATTTAGCATAACACCCAGTGCTCATCCCGCCAAGTGCCCCCCTCAGTGCCCATCACCCAGTCACCCCAACCCCCCGCCCACCACCCTTTCTATTACCCCTTGTTCGTTTTCCAGACTTAGGTGTCTCTCATGTTTTGTCACCCTTACTGGTATTTTCACTCATTTTCAAGAGGAGAACTTTGTAAGCAAAACAGGAAACCCAGAAACTCGGAAAAGGACAAGAGAAACATATATCTGACTAACACATTTTTAAATATCTGGGAAAAGTCAAGGTAAAAAAAAACAAGACTAAAAAACAAAACTTTTCTACATGTATGATGGATATAAAGAGATAGTATATAGAAAAGAAAAATGCAAATATCCATTAGAGGAAAATGTATCTAATCTCACTAATAATAAGCAAAATGTAAATTAAAACACCAGTGGAACACAATTTTTAAAAAATATGTTAGATTGAAAAATTAAAAACATAGTATATAACACCAAATACTGGCGAAGATCTGGGGAAATGGAGAATCTTATATATTGCTGTTATTTTATTTGAGGAAAATAATACCTCAGTATCTATTAACATCCAAAATATACTTATCTTTTGATTCAACTACCTAGCTTTTGGTTGGTTTGCTAAAAAAAAAATTGTGAACACTAATATGTAAAGACACATCTATATTGTGGTTGTGTGTGATTCAGCCTACTTGTGGCAAAAATTGGAGAGGAAGCCCAATATATAGAAACTATACATATTTTCTATAAATAAAAGGATGGTTGAATAAATTATAATATACCATGGAATGTCACACTACTATTTTTAAACATACTTTAGAATTATTTATTTACTTGGTGGTGGCCATTATATGTATTATAAAATGAAAACTACAAGCTCCGGATTAATGTACAAAGTACGTTCTAGTTTTAATAAAACAAATTAATAAATACATAAATGAAAGTCCATATAAGCTAGTACTTCTGTGCATCTTATAGATTAGAAAGAATGAAAAATGTGTCCAGCTGATGAAGACATTAATAAATAACTAAATAGATGTATTTGGGATCCTAGTATTTGAATTTGTCTTTTGGTGGATTCCTTTGGAACAACAGCTTTTAAGCTTTTAGCATGCATAGCGATCACCTGTTATGAAACTGTGAAAAAGTACAGGTTCCTGTTGTTACCCTGGATATTTTGATTTAATAGGTCAAGAGCCTAGGAATCTTGAGTAATTCTCTCACTGAAACACTGCCCTCTAGAGTGAAGAATCAAACCTATTTTTTCTGTAACCCTTTCCCCAACTCCCACACAGGAATCTCTGTGTTCCTTTTACATTTCCCTAAAGACAGTTATACCTAAGTTCCAAGTGAAGAAATGGACATTATAAGGAAACTTTAAAAGAGAGACTGAAATTTGTCATAAATGTGTAGATTGGAAATGTGTGGAACAAACACAGGATTTAAGTTGGGGGAAATATGTGGAAACATTGAGGGGGCGTAATACATCAAGTGGTAACACCACATTTACTTGGGGCCCATTTATTGCAGGTGACTGTAACAGGAAATGCTATGAGGAGCAGGTCATTCATTCTCTTCCCTGGACTCCATACTGCTCACCTCTGCATCTCACAGTGTGTTTGGTTCATTCTTTTGCTCTCTTTCTCTACACAAATGTTTTTTCTACTTGTCCATACACAGGGATCAAGGGTAGCCATTGTGGTCCTAGCTAGGCTTCATTTCTCAGATCACATTCCTAATGGAATATAACAGACAGCTTCAAGCCTTTAGGCTTAGATCCCAGGCAAAAAGATATGTTGGCATCATTCCTGTTGATGGACTGGTTTCTACAGGGTAAGGTGACCCCTGTTGCAACTATGTGTGCCAGTCGAAGGAGAGCGACACCTGAAACAAACTAGTTGCAGGCTGCTAGAGCTCTGGGTGCTCCCAATTATCAGAGAAGAAAAGAAAGGTAGAGTACTTGCCCCAAAGATTGGGAGGTTGGAGAGAGTAAGGTTCATAGGTTCAGGCCCTGTTAAAGTCTGCTGTACTTTATGTCCTCAGGTTCTAAGAGCCACTGGCACATATTTATAATATATATCCCTTTGATGATTAGGGTAGTTTAAATAGGTTTCTATTATTTGTACACATCCTGACCTGAGTTGTTCATCTAGATATGTAGGGTAACACCTAATAGGGTCCAATGGGAATTGACTCCAGTCTACAACACATGTTTTCAGATTTCCAGTGGCCAGAAAATTTCTTACTAGTATTGTAAAGTTTTCAAAGACTCTTTTTCATTCCTTATTTGTGGCCCAAGCAAAATAATAAAATCCTGAAATGGTGAAACCTAAAAAAAAAAAAAATAGAGTATAGCTTCTACTACTTACAGATGAGGAAAGTGAATCCAGAGAAAACAGTCCCAAGAGATGCACGATGAGTAAGTCAGTGGTCGTTAGCAGCCCTGTCCCCTTGTTCCTGTGCTGCTTCCTGGTTCACATTATAGGGCTCCTCCCTTCAATCTCCATGTCCCCTCCCATCTGTCCATTGCCAACTTTCCCAACTCCAGACAAACTAATAAAAGCAGCAATGGTAGTATCACTGATAATAAGAACTAGCGTTTGGTGAGTGTCTACTGTGTACTAGGAATATAATATTCAAATTCATTTAATTTCTCATTTAATTCTCTCATTTGAAAGATACACATACACACCTCTTATTGATAAGGAGGCTGATTATAATAGCGTCAAGTAACACGAATAGAAGAGGTAAGGGGGGTATTTTTAACTTGACTAGATAAGATCTTCCTGCCAAAAGTCCTCAGAGAGTTCTGTATTTTTCCTGAGAACATTTAGATGGTTCATGATGATACATTCAGGTGAGTATTTGTAGATGTCTCCCCAGCGAAATGAAAGACATAGTGGGAGCATTGTACTCACTGATGCTTGACTTAAGCCAGAAGCGTATGAATGGCTTACAGGAATCATTAGGTATTCTATCAAGCAAAGATTTCTCAAAATCCAGGAACTAGAAATTCTATTTGTGGGCTTCACAATACATACGTTTATCATATAACAAAGGTAAAAACTTAGGACACTGAAGTTTCTTATTGTGGCTGGAAGGATGTGACAGATCTTTTATTGTCCTGGTGTCTATTTTCATTTTTGTGCTCAAATGCTTAGACTTCACCAGAAGGATGTCACTCTTTCCCCTGACTTGGCAGCCAGGCAGAAAGTATTTGCCACCACCAAAGGCAGTTTCCTGGCCACTGTTAATATTTTTGGAATTTAAATTAGTTTGTGAAAAAACACACCAGGGCATTCATTTTTTAAAAGGGGGTGGGGAACAAACCACAAAACCCAGAAACAAAATAAAGCCCTTGTCGTCCTCACTCTTGAGTTCAAAGTATCTCCATTTATTTAACTTTTCAATTTTAGGTTCTGTTTTCTAACTCTTTACATACTTATTGCCTTTCTTTCATTTCTCATCAAAAACTTCATAACTCCAAATTTACGGGATCTAAAACCAGATAAAGAGCCAATATTAGACCTAATACTTATTGAGTGACTGAAACAGACTTGGAATAAAAGATCCCTTTCAGTGGGACTTGTGCCAATGCTCCATGTCTGCCTTACTGACATGTGCCCAGAGCTTATTTTACCACCATCCAGAATCATCTCTCTTCTCATGCTTATGGTTTTGACTTCCATCCTCAGCTATGCTATTAGCTTTATACTGAGGAAATATGGCTCATGCAGTAGAATATCATTTGAAGAGGAGCCAGAAGCCCTGACTCTCTCACAAACCCATGTTCTGACCCGAAACTAACTCCCTTGAATTTTAGTTTCCTTCCCTCTAGATGAGGGATGAAGTTTGAACCAGTTCAGTAGTGCTGACAGAATGACACATTGTGCTGTGCCACGGCCTGCACCCCCCCAACCCATATATACAAAGCTTAATTCCACACTCAAGTTTTCAAAAATATATAATAAATACAGCAAGACATCTTTTTGGGGTGGCCTCATGATTCAGTCTAATGACTCTTAAGCAAAGTAGAACATTTTCTAGAAAGATGCTGTGGGAAGCTGAGACTTGCAGAGGCTATGGAGTTATAAGTGATATTCAGCAAAATTCTTTTTCAGAATGCATTGTTATATCATTTATAAGGCTTATTTTTTCTCAAAAAAAAAAAGCTTTAAATGGCTATATGATGAGCAATAATGGAAAGGTTCTACACTGGCATCATTAATCCATCAGAGCCTTCTCTTCCACTATACTCACAAACAGCCTCAGAGTCCTTCTGAACATAGTATGCCATTGAGCTTTCAGTTGATAATTTGGACTTTGGAATGACATTTTCATCCACCTGCTAGTCCTGAAGCACTCCTCCTGAGAACCCTTATTAAGTCCTTGCTTTTTCCTTTATGACATATTAACAAAGCAACTCTGCTCTCAGGGGAAACTCCAGAAGCTAAATAGAATCCCACTGTGATTTCAGCTCTTACCTGTCGCAAATCATACACACTTAAGACAATGGAGATAACAGACAAGATGATGATGGCCACAGAGTATTCTATGTAACCTTGGGACAGCCACAAAGTTAGGGTAAAGGCTTGGAACACGTAGAATGGATTTAAAACCTGCAGGTACAAAAACAGCATTTGAGTTACTTGCATGGACCTTAGTGGCAATCGGGATGATATTTCTTTATAGAATTTTTTTCTCATTTTTTACAACACACAACAATCTCTAATATTTAAGAATTCACCTAGAACTCAATTTCAGTAGAGACAATGTCAAGCACAGAGAATATGCCATGGTGGATGCCAAGTTATGTTAAGCACTCAGAGCCTGGCTACAAATTGATCATTCTTATTTATTTTAAATTTTGAGAAGTATTTTAGGGGCCCCTGGGTGGTTCAGTTGGTTAAATGTCTGCCTTCAGCTCAGGTTGTGATCCGAGGATTCTGGGATGGAGCATCGGACTCCCTGTTCAGTGGGGAGCCTTCTTCTCCACCTCCCTCACCCTCTCTTCCTTGCTGCTCCTCTCTCACTCTTTTGTGCAAGTGTGAATAAATGAAAAATCTTTAAAAACAAAAAAAGAAAAAAATACTTTATCAATAAAAAACTAATAACTTATTTTTTAACCAATATTTACCCATAATGGAGGAGAACCATGATTTAGTCTCTTTTTAAAATGAACTTCAACTTTGACCATTTTCATTGCAGTTCCTTCTTCATGTGATCTCATGCCACAGATTGAATCAAGGTATGTGAGGAAAATGCAAGACTGCACTTGTATCCAGGTCATTTAAAAATTACAGACTCCTCATGTCATGGGTCTTAGCAAGATGTTTTGAGAGTCAGGAAAGACTGCTTGGGCCTGACCTTGAGCAAGAAGGGACATGGTACCCAAAACTGGTGAAACCCATGGGCAGAATGTATTTGCAGCCCAGAGTGGGTCATCTGTGCATGTAGTTTTTGGTTTCTTTATAATATCTTTAACTTTTTTTATTCACTCAATTTTCCCCATTTTGGTCTTGCTGACACTATTAATAATGATGGCAGAGAGAGCAAACCTGAGGAGCTAGATGGAGTCATATGATGTATACACATAGTGTGAATCAAAGAAAGAGCCCATCTAAGAAAAAACAAGGATTATTTTCTTGATGAAGTGCTCTTTATGATGATTATGAATTAGATGAAATATTACCTAAAACCAGTACCATTCTTTTTTACCTCTACTTCCTATAATTTTCTAACATGTTAAATAAATTTCTCCTTTAGTCTCCAAGATGAACTGACATCCAGTTAGTAAGTTAATACTTAGATATATATACCCTTGGATATATTTTGTACATTAACAAAGCTCTTGTTCCTTAATGTTTCTTATTATTTCCATTGCAACATGCTTTCCTTACAAATTATAGCTCTTCTGTTTGTTTGGCATAAAATGCTCTAATTGTAGATTATGCACTAATGATAATATGATTTTGAGTTTATATAAACTCAGTAGAAAATTGTTTAAATACTTCTTGTATAGGAAACAACAAAATCATAATTAATTTAGCTCCCTTATTCAATATTCTTTTGAAACCAAATACAGAATAGTTTTACCTGCTTTTTTTTTTTCCTACTAAAGGCCCAGTAAGTAGGTAGAGAAAATATTACCACTCCTTTCAAAATAGACAAAATTGACACCTGGGGGAATCTTTGGCAGTTTGAAAATGAATAAAAATTTTAAAAAGCAGCCTGCTTTTTGGTAGTGGAGGAGATTGTGTGTATGTGGGAGCATGGGGTAAATGGGAAAATCTCAGTACCTTCTAATCAATTTTTTCTGTGAACCTTAGATTGCTTTAAAAAAATTATGATAAAACATTATTTTGAAAAACATGACTGGGATGCCTGGGTGACTCAGTGATTGAGCATCTGCCTTTGGCTCAAATAATGATCCCAGGGTCCTCGGACTGAGTCCCACATCAGGGTCCCCACAAGGATCCTGCTTCTCTCTCTGCCTATGTCTTTGCCTCTCTCTGTGTGCTCTCATGAATAAATAAAGTCTTTAATAAAAAACAAAAATAAAAACATAACCATGCTAAAGAAACAAAATGTCCATCGTTATAAATTAGCAATAGACTAGAAACATGCAGCATGGAGTGAAGACTAGCACAATTGGCCCACTGGGTTCCACACAAATACTAGACAATGATGGCTAGGAGCTTGGTGCCACAGGGAATAAGACCAACAGTTGCCCCACAATTGGCAGAGGCCAAACCAGGCTTGCTCCCCTGCCCCAGAGAAGAGGCCAAGACAAATCACCACCAGCGACTGTTCCCTGGCAGAGGGCAGAGTGGGAAAGAACAGAGTTCATGGTGCAACTGTGAACTTGGCCAACCCAGCTGGCCCAAGGCCTATATCTCCTAGAACATCGGGGAACAGAGCCAGACACCCAGGAGAGGCCCTGGTTCTGAAATGGGAGCTATGGGGACTGTTAAGAGACAAACTCAGAGCCATACAGGATGGCAAGTGAAGACAGAGAGAAAGAGAGAAGTGATGGCAGGGGAAGTCCTGCTTCAGGGAGCTCACTGCTGCCACCACCACCACTAATAATAACTTCAGAGTACACTAAGAAAATATCCCAAAATAAATAAATAAATAAACCCACTAACAAAGCAAAAAGTCATCCTTAAGAAAATCAATAGAGTAACATGAGAAAGACCAAACTAATACATTTAAAATAATCAAAAAGATCATAGAAGTAATAACATTACCCCCACCACCATTATAACCATCATCAAAAACTTAAGAAAACAAAACAAATGGAAAATTATAAAACAGGAACCTGTCTCTCACACTGGAAAGGGATTTTTTTTTTAAGTGGATTTACTTTAAAATAGGGAGTTATTGAAAAAGACTAGTTAGAAATCCTGGAATAGGGGCATCTGGGTGTCTCAGCTGGTTAGGTGTCTGACTCTCGATTTTGGCTCAGATCATGATCTCAGAGTCATGTGATCAAGCCCTGAGAAGGGCCCCATGCTTAGTGGGGAGTCTGCTTGGGATCCTCTCTCTCTCCCTTTGTCCCTCCCCCCACATGCTTTCTATCTCAAATAAATAAATCAATATTTTTAAAAATCCCAGAATAAGGGGCACCTGGGTAGCTCAGTTGTTTAAGCAGCTGCCTTCAGGTCAGGTCATGATCCCAGGGTCCTGGGACAGAGCCCCACATCAGGCTCCCTACTCAGTGGGGAGTCTGCTCCTCCCTCTCCCTTTGTCCCTGCTTGTGCTTTCTTGCCCTCACTCTCTTTCTCTCAAATAAAGAAGTAAATAAAATCTATTTTTAAAAAATCCCAGAATAAAAAAAATATGTATTTATTGAAGTATCAAAAAGAAAAGAAAACCTCTATGGACAAGAAAAGCATAGACTAAAGACAACAGGGAATAACAAAAAGCAGTTATATGAAATACAGATTTTGTTCAGATCAAAGTATCCATGTGTTGCCTAAAATTCCCCTGAGTACCAGGAAGTAAAAAGTAAAGGACCAAAAAACATTTTTTTTTTTCAAAAACAGATGAAAATAGTTACCTGTTTAACAAGCAGCTTCCATATGGGCTGGATTCCTACCTCAATGGCATTGGGCCCGCACACTAATCTTCTGTAGGAGATTAATCACCTATTAGTGCCACATCTAAAATCTCATTGGTAAGTGAGTATAAGCCACACTAAGCAAAAGTCACTGCTCTACCCGTTAAGCACTTTGTGCCTTTAATCAAAAATTAATGCACAAATCCTAAAATATTAACATTTTTAAAAATGAAAGTGCATGATGGACAAAGTTGTTTTTTCAGTTAAAAAATATCTTAAATACAATGCAACTCAAGCATCAAATTGAAGTTAGTAAAGCATTTTGAGTTATTTTTTAAGTAATTGTATTCTAAGAACAGCTAAAAAGACACAGATGTAAATATATTTCCTAGAATTCTCAGGCATTCTAGATTGTTCTTGATGTTAAAGATCATGTCCATCTTACCTTGGTCTCTTCAGTACCTAGGGCAGGCCTTTAATATGAAAATAAATACATGAATGAATGAGCCAATGAACTGGAAGAGGATATATGGTCTTCACAGCTAAGCCTTTGTAAACCCACACATATGCATGTTCCAATAAGAATGTTGTATAGCATTTTACACACAAAATTATCTCATTTAATTGTCACAATGGTCCACAGGAAAGGGCCAATATCCCCATTTTGCCAATGGGAAAAACTATCCTTTTGGGTGTTTTGCCGAAAGTATGCAGATCTAGTATTAATTGTGACAATACAACTTTTAAGCAGAGATGACTGTCAGAAATAGCACTTAACCTTTTATATGTATTACCCCTATGAGATTTCCTAGTTTCATCTTTATTATAAAGAAAGCTGAAGTTCAGATAAAGTTGGTAACTGTCTCAGAATCTCAGAGCTGGAAAGACGTAGATCCAGGCTTCACACCCTGGTCTCCATGCCTCCACTTCACACTCAGTGAACATCAATGCTGCAATGTGCATGAGGGGTCCTTGGACTAAGGCATAACATAGCTGAGTCAAGGTTTGTCTGACTCCCAAGCCACATCTTTCCAAGTACAATTCCTGCTTGCATGGATGGGTCTGAGAGGACTCAAACCAAGATTTTTCTGACTCCATGTGTGGAAACACTGAGGTGCAAGGATGCTGGAAGACAGAAAGGTCAAACAGCATACGCTGCTGGGTTGGGGATATCATGTGTCCCCAAATTTCACACTGGGAAGAGAACATAACCCAGGCCACTTTGGTGCTCAGGATCTTCTCTGGAATATGTGGAAATAACCTGTTGTTGGCAAAGTGTCAGAACTTAAAATGTCAGAACTTCTCAGAATCCTGAACTTGGTCTTCTCTCTCTCTCTCTCTCTCTCTCTCTCTCTCTCTGCTTGGAATGCCTTTCTCACTTTCCTCAATTTATAAAGGCCCTCTCAGCCTGTGAGAGTCAAATCTGATGATAGAGCCTAATGGCATAATTTGAGGTCTAACAGACCTGGATTTGAATCCAGCTAAGCCTTTGCTGCTCGTTGGACCTGAAGCCAGATTCCCCTGCATCTTTGCATGGCTTACTCTCTCATTTCATTCAGGTCTCTGTTCAAATAGCACTTCCTTGTTGGAATTTTCCTTAACAATTCTATTGACAATAGCCACCCTGATACCCCACTCAGATTCTCTTTATCTCCTTACCCTATTTCATTTTTCTCTATAGTGTGCTGATAATATGAATTTGCACTTTATTTTTTACATGTTAGTAGGCATACAAATAAGAGACGGTATCATTCACTATAATATAGACTTCTAGAGGACACTAATATATCTTGGATGCCTAAAACAGGGCCTAATACATATAATGCCTCGATAATTATTTGTTGAATGAATATGGGGTGAGCTTCCATTCCCTTATCTATAAGATGGGTTTGATAATACATTCCTGGTAAAATTGCTATCAGTAGTATATAATATAAACAAGAAAAGCGTCTAGCACAAGTTCCAAGGGCATGGCAAGTTCTCAATAAATGCCAGTTATCTTACAAGTCTTCCTTAGTCCCATAGGCACAATTAACCGTGGTTTTCTCTTCTCTGACATGCCTCCTTTTCTCAGTGATAGCAAGCACCTCTTTGAATTAGAGCATATAGTTACATGTGTTTCTTCTCAAGTTTCCTAGACCATCTTCAATGGCAGGGATGGAGCTTTTTCAATTTTTTTCTAGCATCTAGAGGCACACTGTATGACAGAGAATGTTTCCTAAGTATTGGAATTAATTAATGAAGACCTTTGTGACCCATGTCTACAATTACCTCTCCCCTAACAAGGCTGAAAACCCAGCTTACAGAACTACAGAAGCACACGGTTGTGGAAAGTCAGTTTAGAAAGAAACAAGGCAAGTGCCCGATGCTCTTCATCTCTTTCTGTCTGCTCAGATGGTTCCCAGTGTTACCATCAAAGGGAGCTCAGCTCCTGTGAGGACAGACTCAGCAGATTAATACATGACTACAGATTATCCTCTTTAGGAATTGTCTGGGCCACGTTTGGATTGCAGAAGCCTGGCATGCTCCTTGCTGGTTGGTCTTTTCCACTATCTCTTGCTGTAAGGTATTGGGTGTTTAGGATCATGTACTCATCTCAATCTGAACACAAGCCAGGCAGGATTTTCAGGGACATTGACCAATGGCTGAGCGACCAGAAGTAATGGAAGGCTTGAAGTTGGGTTACATGAAGAAAGTTCCGGGGAACAGAGAAGATAACACATTCTGACTAAAAATCTGGTAAGCTTTCGAGGAAAGAAAAGAGGCCTTGGATTTATTCTGGAGGCCTTACAGAACTAAATAGGCTAAACAAAATTATGTAAACTTGCCTTAATATTCAGAACTACCCCTTAGGGAATAATTTCTCTGGAGTCAGAAGATCCCTCTCTAAAAGAGATTGAAATATTTCTTAACAGGGAAGCTATGGAGGCCATTTCAGGGTTGGCAATGACCTACAGTTGAAGGATTACTGAACTTTTCTGCAACCATTCCATAATAGTAAATCTGCTGGGATATATTTATTTCTGAAAAATCAAACATGAATGACTAGGAATACTTTCATCTGGGATGGTCTATGTCACTTTTAAATTTGATTATTTGTTCATTCATTCATTTATCAATTTATTTGTGATATAATGGTGGAGAATATGTTGTGTACTGGGAACTTTAGACTCCAGATAGTGAAGAATAGAGTAGGGGTCCTCAAGGAGGTAGGAGGACCATGTCAGAATCACTGGTGAGCTTTTTCAAACCACACATGACCATTCTGACTCCATTCTGATAAGCCACCAATGGAGTCCTTGGCAGGGAGGGACACCTGAAGTCTTTTAAATAGTTAATGCTAAGCCAGGGAGTTCTGGCATGACCCACTTCCATGAACCGTGGAATGTTTAGAGAGCAGGCTTATGGAATTAGAAAAAGTTCCCGGGCATCTAGTTGATGAATGAATAAAGATAGGAGTAGGGAACCTTCTAGAACATTTTTATTCCTGAGGCCCTCTGAAAATCCCTCTTCAGGATAATGTTATCTCTCCTCATGTCCTGATTTGCCTTTTTGCTACTGAAAAGTGACATAAATATGTGCATTTTCCGTCTCTGCCTGGCTAATAGGAAGCCTAAAGAGAACATTGTATTTAGATTTTGTGGCTTTTCATTATGAGAGAGTTTTGTGTCTCTCCTCCCTTTATTTCTTCATGCTTTTCATGAAGGCAAGCTCAAATCTATTTAGAAAACTAATCCAATACCATGCAACCAACCAGTCCATCAATCACATTTATTAAAAAAAAAAGCCCTCATCTTACACTAAAAAATTAAAGAGTGTGGGAATAGTTCACATTCTACTTGCTCCCTTTACTGTCCAACTAAAAAAGCCCATAAATAAAATCTGCCTATATATTTATAAGGAAATTATCTCCTCTATTCTTCATATTTGGGAAACTATACTCTTTGTCTTGCTTATTAGGTTGCCAAGCTCTTTATTGCATGGACTAGATTTAAATTTAATTATGTATGATGTTTATTAAAGCTTGGCACTTGATAAATAAAGACAAACATGAGGTAGTCACACTGATGGGCAATCTTTCCTGTGGAAATGGTGTCTTAGGCAAAAGCCAAGTATATCTACAATAACCAACTAAATTTCCTAACTAGATCAATCCTTTGCTTGTCTGGTGCTTAATGCTATCAAACCAGTATGTTTTTAGTGACTTTGAAAACATCTTGTGTTCCAGCGTATTAAGTATTGCATCTGAAATGCAGTCATAATATTGTCTTTCTGTCTCTCAGAGGATTTGGAGGATGATGAAGCAGATGTCTATGAAATGACTCAAGGTTTTTTGAGGAAAGAATAAAAAAGGCAACACAGAGGAGACCGTTTCACAGTCCTGAGGGAAAAGATCAGATATTACCTGATTGGTTTTTCTTTTTAATAAGTTTGCCTAAGATTAAAACAACTTAAAATATGTCTTTGTGTCTGGTAAATAAACTGGAATTATATGAGGTTGATGAAACATTGTGCCAACAGTTCACTGATCATGAGCCATTTGATATCTCAATTTCTTCTGGCAGAGTTCACTCTCAGGGAGTGTCGCAAACCCTACCTGACCTCTTGTTCTTCACTGGTCAGGCCCAGTCCAAATGTGTGGTAGATGTCGTGGCAGGAGTTGCTGTCTTCTAGTAGCCTAGAACGTCAGGACAGGAAGCTTGCTTCAGTTCATGGCACTCAACAAATCAGTGTTTTTCCTTCATATCTTGAGGAATGCTGAGAAGAAGTCAAACTTACCCAACTTTCTGAAACCTCTTCTCAGAGTAGTTCCAAACATACCTGATTTTCTGCACTTGGACACATTGCAGCTGCAATTACAAATGTGATAGAACAGGTGTTATTCACAAAGTAAAGCCCATCAGGGGAGGTGAGGGCTATTTGGCACTAGTCCCCGTGTCGTGCTCACTTTCCTTAATACCTTGTTGTAATTCCCAGCCCAGCACTGTGACATTCAGAACTTCCATCCAATGAACACTTACATTATCCCCTTTTTTTTAAAAAAAAAAAAAACATGCCATTACATTGCACTCAAAATTACTTACTTTTAATTCTGGCTTCAGTACGGCTTGGTTAATGACAGAGTGGCGGTCAGCCACCAGGGGTTCTTCTGGATTCTTGCTTATAGGAAACTTTAGTGCGGATAAGTAGAGGCATACAACCTTCTTCCTCATATATCTTTGAAATTTATCCTACAGAAAACAATCTAGCCAATGAAATTCTCAAATGTTATTTTTTAATAAGACAATCAACCACATATCTACCTAGACCAGTGATTCCCAAAGTTTCAGCTATAGACAAGAGCATCAGTATTATCTTGGAACTTGCTAGAAATGCAGATTCCCAACCCCACCACAAGCCTACTGAATCAGAAATTCTGGGGTGAGGTCAGCAGGCCATGTTTTAAGAATCATTCCAGGTAACTGATTTGCACTAAAATCTGAACCACTGTGCTAGAGCATGAAGAGAAAGACATGCTTTACAGGAAAGTTTTATATCCAGAAAATATTTTCCAGTTATCTTAAAAATGACATTTAGGTGTTTAAAATGTCTACTTTCCCCTCAAAATATGTATTCTTAAAAACCTGAACTATCCTTCCTGTGTTATGTCTTTAAGAGTTATAACACTGACAGTCCCTGCTAATATAATGGCTAAAGGCATTGAGAAATAGTCTGACATGGTAGAAATTTCCCCAGGGTGACACGGAGGGAATGTCCTTTCTTGAGTCAAACTAAGAGATGGCAAGTAGGTTCACATATAGTTTTGCCATCTCCAATTTGGGGACAAGAAAACACTTAAAGAAAGATCTACTATAGAATGCCAGCCAGTCATTGGTTGTGCCACCAATGCAATGCTGAAGGGCTCTCACCGTTGTTTTTAGCAAAACAGTGTCTGCTTCTTGCAAGGGGCATGGGATACAGTTGGCCCACACCCTCCACTGGGGTTTCCAGTAGAACACCAGCAGAAGAAACCCACAAGTCAGTATGGATGTTACAAGGCAGAGGGCCCTGCGTAGATTCTGGGTCCGGTAACCAAACACCTCCTGTAATGTAAATAAAACATGACTCTATTTTTCTTTTTTCACATAAACACACTATTTCATTCCAAGAAACACAAGCTTTAAACACAGCGATATTAGTTGGGAAGGAAATCTGGTTTTGGCTAGTTGAATCAGAATGATTGCTTCCAGCTGTCAACTGATATCATAAAAAAAGAAGGACTCATTTTGCTACCCTGGCATATGTAACTAAAACATTAGACAGGAGGAGCAAGGACCAAGTTGACTTATTTGGTTTTAAATACTGTCAAGAGTCACCCCATGTTTTGGACCAGATTTACTTTTTTTAGGTAAAAGGGTTTTTTTTTTTTTAAAGATTTATTTATTTATTCATGAGAGACACAGAGAGAGGCAGAGACACAGGCAGAGGGAGAAGCAGGCTCCTTGTGAGGAATCTGATGCAGGTCTTGGTCCCAGGACCCCGGGATGATGACCCGAGTCGAAGGCAGATGCCCAGTTGCTAAGCCACCCAGGCGTCTCTAGGTATAAGGTCTCAAAAATAATATTAATGTGAACTTATTGGAGGAAGATGATACAATGGGTGCAATAATAGAAATCAAGAGATTATCTGTGGACATGAAGTACTTTCAAAAGACCACTGATAGGAATTTACCCTGACAGTAACATGCTGAAATGTAGTTGGTATTATCCTGAATGGAGTGAAGACTTTAAGATGTGGTTTTAGGGGTACCACATAGCCAAAAACAATTGATTCTTTTATTTCAAGCCAATTTCTAGTTTCCATCCATCTTCCAAAATCAAGTTTCATAGCACTGGCTTTTAAATTTCAAAAACTAGACTTTTAGTGTACTTGAAAGACCCAGAAGAATGTTGATTATGAATGATAGTATTACTATATATTTTTTACGTTCTGCTGTTATTTGTTTATGTATTTTTTGAATATATTTGGATTCTGAATTCCTATGTCCAGATAACAGAGATGCAATGTCAAGAAAAAAGGTTTTATTTTTCTGAGTTTCTATAGCATTTTTAATGATAGAATCTTTTTTTTTTTAATAAATTAATTTTTATTGGTGTTCAATTTACCAACATACAGAATAACACCCAGTGCTCATCCCGTCAAGTGTCCCCCTCCGTGCCCGTCACCCATTCACCCCCACCCCCCACCCTCCTCCCCCTCCACCACCCCTAGTTCGTTTCCCAGAGTTAGAAGTCTTTATGTTCTGTCTCCCTTTCTGATATCTCCCACACATTTCTTCTCCCTTCCCTTATATTCCCCTTCACTATTATTTTTAATTTAATGCCAATTTAGATCATGTTATAACAAATCTCTTGGCTTAATATTTTTGAAAAGTTTTCATTTTTGAGATCGTCATTTTCATTAGTTTTTTCTAGTAAAGAACTCTGTGGTAGATTAAGATTTTAATAATAGTTGTTGAAAGTAATCCTTAAGCATGATGAAAAGGTCACAGGCAGCAAAAATGTAAATTTGAGTCACTGCTCTACTAGTTATCGGTTATGTGACCTTAAGTAAATCATATCACCTCTAGAGAATCCCAATTTATTCCTTTACAAAACAATTAGAAATACATGCCTTACAGGGTGCTTGTGCTCAAATGAGATAATGTCTCCTTAAGTGCTCTGCAAAGTAATTACAATTTTAAGAGTTCCTTTCCAGTGCTCCTCAGTATTATCATACACCTGGGAAAAAATGTTCATTAAGTTTACTGATGCAGCCACTCTATTTTGAGATTATTCATGATGAGGTTTAAATGTAACTTAACAATGTGTTCACTCTGGTTCTAAAGCACATTTTCAGTTGGGTCTCCTTTCTCCCTTCCTACTTTCCTTCTGATTCTATAAACCTGTTTTAGTTTTATTTCTGAATGATAGTTTTATTAGACTCCAATAAACTGTATACGCCAGTTCACATATTATGTTATAAATATGCATTATTTTACTAAGTTATTCATGGGAGCTTATAGCCAAAGTGTTCAAAATTGAAGCAAAATCGTTTGGAATTTTAGGCCAGTTTGTAGCTGAAAAAGCACATTGCAAATGCCCCCCCCCTTTTTTTTTGTTAACTTACATACAACAATGGCATGGGTAATCATAATTCTGACGCCCTTTCAGTTCTTTTCTACACAATATTTTTTTTTACTGAACTGACAGTGCCAGCAAGATGGCAATAAAATCACTACGACTATATACTGCTAATAACCTCATAAATTGGAATAATTCTTTAGAGAAAGAAAGGTGAAAAATTATATCAAGATTTATAAAGATGTTTCTATCTCTTGAATCAGTAATGCCACGCTTGGAAATACACCCTAAGGAAATAATACACAAAGTAGAAAATGATGTGTATAATGATGTTTCATACAGTATGGTCTGTAATAGCAAAGTTATTGGAAGAACCAAATGATAGCTAATGGTTCGGCAAGATGTGAAATATCAAAACAATGGGCTATGGTGGCACCATTAACAAGAAAATGTGTGAAGTCAATGTAGAAATATGGGCCATTCTACGATATAATATTAAGTGAAGAAAAAGACAAAGAATAGATAGAACAGATGGGAAATACTAACTTTAACCCAACAATATCTGTAATTACACTACACATAAATGACATTAATATTATGATTGAAAACAAGATTGCCAGATCAGATAATAAAAAACTCACTATATGTTGTTTAAAGAGACATCTTTAAATACAAAGAAGCAAATAGATTAAAGGAGAAAGAAAGGGAAATGAACAATGCAAAGACTAACAAAGGAGCACTAGTATAGCTATGCTGATGTCAGACAAAAGAGACTTTACTTTTTAAAAAGGTTTTAGTTATTTGTTTGTTTTTTTTTTAAAAAGATTTTATTTCTATTTATTTATTCATGAGAGACACAGAGAAGCAGAGGGAGAAGCATGCTCCATGCAGGGAGCCTAATGTGGGATTCGATCCTAGAACACCGGGATCACACGCTGAGCCAAAGAAAGGCAAGTGCTTACCTTCTGAGCTACCCAGGTGTTCCAAGATTTTATTTATTTATTTGACAGAGAGAGAGAGAGAGAGAGAGAGAGAGAGAGAGCATAAGCTGGGGCAGCAGCAGGCAGAGTGAGAGGGAGAAGCAGGCTCTCCACCCAGCAGGGAGCCCAATGTGGGAGCTTGATCTCAGGGTCCTAGCATCATGACCTGAGCTGAAGGCAGACACTTAACTGACCGAGCTATCCAGGTGCCCCCAAAATAGACTTGAAAAATAAATATTCTGAGAAAAAGAAGGATACTTCATAATCTAAAAAAAAAATCAATTCAACAGGAAGAAATAATAATTCTAAATTTAGGGGCACTTGTAATTTCAAAATTTGTAAAACTTAAAGTCACTGTCATCATTGGAAATTTTAACACTCCATTCTCACTAACTGGAATAAATACATAATAGAAAATGATCAGAAGGCTGAAACAGGCATTTTACAAAGGAAGATTTCTTGTATAGCATTCAAGAAGATGCTCAATATCATGTCGTTAAGGAAATGCAAAATAAAATTACAATGACATATCACAGCCTAAAATAGCCAAGACAATCCTTAAAAAAAAAAAAAAAGTTGAAAGACTCACTCTAAATTGACCCAGTGATAAAATGACACAATGGTATAGCCATAGAATAGCTAAAATTAAAATGACTGAATATACCAAATATTGGTAAAAATGCAGAGCAATGGTACTCTCATACATTGTTAATTGGTACAGATATTTTGAAACTGTATTGCTAAAGACACATATACTCTATGAACTAGTAACTCTTAGATTTTTACACAGGTAACTGTATAGTTCAGGAAAAGTTTTGCACAAAAATATTCCTATCAGCTCTATTCTTAAGAGCCCCAAACTGGAAACAATCTAAAGGTACATCAATAGGAGAAAGATAAATAAATTTTGTGTTTTCTTACAATGGAATACTACACAACAATTTTTATTTCTTTTTATTTTTTTACAAAACAATTTTTTTAAAGTTTTATTTATTTATTTATTTATTCATTCAGAGAGAGCGAGAGAGAGGCAGAGACACAGGCAGAGGGAGAAGCAGGCTCCATGCAGGAAGCCTGATGTGGGACTCGATCCCGGGTCTCCAGGATCACACCCCGGGCTGCAGGCGGCACTAAACCGCTGCGCCACCAGGGCTACCCTACAAAACAATTTTTAAAATGAACTTCCAATGCAAACAACGGCATGTGTGAATTTCACAGACATTATGCTGAATCAATGAAGTACAGTAAATCGATACACAACTTTATTCGTAGGAAGTTCCCAAATGAGCAAAATAATTGGTGACAGATGTCGTTGAACTGTGCACTTAAGTTCAGTGCACTTTATCGACACCACTGTACTTATATATGCCGATAAAAAGTAAAGGGGGTTGTTTATTATGCACTGTTCCAAGTAGGTGGGAGTTACTTTAATTATTTTAATAGAGTTAGATTGAGGAAGAGAAAATGGCAGTAAATTTTGAGAAGTAAATGAAAATGGAGAAGAGCAAGAGAATTTCTGTGGGAAATGGAAGGAAGTTCTGATAACCTGGAAAGACTATAGCCTCTCGATGTGGATGATTGGGAAATGCTCATTTCCACTGAGCAGAGACAAAAATCACATCCCTAATAATCAATAAAGGGGAAGTGGTTTCTGTGAAAGACCCTGCTTATGGTTGGGGACAGCTCAATTAAAATGTCAGCAGATGTTTTTCCCCGTCTGTTAAAAAAATAGTAAGTAGATAGATAGATATAAAAGAACTTATAAATGTCAGAGTAGCTTTCAGAAACATGAAGCTCCTTGAGCAAAGACGAATAGAAACAATATTTTTGCTTCCTTGACAAATTGGCTCCATAAACCTTGGTACATTTCCTTTCCATCATTTCTGAGTTTTCCCAAGGGTTACGTGCTAGACTGGGACTTGAGGTTTTGGTTAAGAGAATCATTCTTTAATCTGGCATTCTTTTACTCAAATACTCTCAGTCAGCTTGCCAATATTTGTG